TGGAGGTTTTGGCTCATCCGTGGTAGGCTTCGGCAATGTCGACGTGGAAGGAGGTGTTGCAACCGGCATCAAAGGTGCTGGTAAGGTCGCTGAACTAGCCAGTGAGGTCCTCTTTTCCACTTCAGTTTTCCTTCCGAAACCAGGGTCCTCCACCGTTAACGGCTTGGGAAACGCAGCAAGCAGTGCTACTGATATGTAACTTGCACGAGTAAACAGGGGGTACGTCTCTGCATGCAGACATAGTTCACCGAGGAAAGAGTGCAACTTGATCCTTTCGTGATGGATATGATTCCTCTTGTGAGAACCTTTATGGTGTCTTCGTCCTCTACGTCGACCTCCTTGGATGTAATTTGAGGCACCGCTGCTATCGCGACGAGCAAGGCTGGGGCCAGACGAAGGAGGTAAGGAGGACATATTACTTGACGAGTCTTCACTTGATGTCATCGCTTTCAAAAGAAGAGCGGCAGGATCATCTTGTTCTTCGTCTATTTCGGTGTTCTTCTGGTCTTCTACGTCATGTCCTTGTTGACGATGGAGATGGAGATCATGATTACCATCATGATTTGGAGGTTTGCTCACCAGTTGTCCCCTTTCTGCCATGATTATGTTACAACCAACGTCTTCGAGTAGTAGCCCTTCTCCAGTTCTACTTCTATGATCGCCTGGGGAGGAGTTAGTGCTTGAGGATTCCACGACTTCTTCGGATGAAGACTGCTCTGAGGTTGAATTCATCTCTTCTTCGCTAGTGCACGGCGAGCCATCTGCAGCATAGAGGCATACCTCAAAAATACCGTCTCCACAAACCCCAAACGTCCCTAGAGTACCCGCTGTACTGCTCAGAAACCGCACCAAGTTCTGCTTTCTTGCTAAGTGTTCCTTGAGGAGCTTGGCGTTTAGTTGTTTAGGAGTCGTTGGATATGGGAGGTCAGAAGCATGCGAAGATGGAGGAAGAGATGATGTTCGCAGAACGCCAGACAATGCACCCCCTGCAGCAAGTCCTTGTTGTTTTCGTAATTCTTGGTGAAGTGCTGTCACAGAGGACCCTGTGCCCGCACGCGCAGAGAGATCAGATGCCGAACTCTCAACTCCAGGACCACCTCCAGGATTAACATTAAGACCTTGTAATTGTTCGTCTAGCGTTTCCATATCGGTCGGCATGCCGTAGTTGATCTTGTAGTAGAAACAGCGACGCTCAGGATCGTAGGTAGCGAACTGTAACCTTTGTCGTGGGGCAAAAAGGTCACTGCTATTGGTGAGTAAGACTTTTTCCTCGTTGGTGCTCATCATTGGCATGATTGGGTAGTTTAGTCCTGAATGCAGGCGTGCCTTGTCCAGTATCCCCGATGGAATAGTGGACGAATCAAGGTTGTAGTTGTAGTCACCACATCTAGGCGGGGGCTGACCTTGTTGTACCTGCTGAAACATCTGTTGCGCTGCAGCTCTTAATCCTCCTGCTTCATGTGATCCACTAGGTGTAGGGTCTTTTTTCGTCATGAGTGTCTTACTTGCGCTACAGCTAGAGGAGTTTTTGCTTGATGTAGCAATCATCTTCTTGTTCTGGTCGAAGTCGATTGGAAGATTTCTGTTCGCAGCGTTGTCAAAATCGCGGCCTCTCGCAGGAAGATGTTGGCCCGCGTCGTTCTTGTTGTCGTACCTAGCATTGGCTTTCTTGCCTTTGTGTTCCGTAGAAGAAGATGAATGATAATTCTTGTGAGAATGATCAAACCACTCGGCGGTCTTCCCCCGTGGCCCTCCTGTAGACGCTGTAGGTGTCTTCGACTTTCCCCCGTAGACTTGTTTCCACGACCCTTTTGATGAGTGACTTCTCTTCATTTTGTCACTACTCAGATGTCTGAAAGAACCACGGTTGTCCTTGTCTTTGCCACCAACAAGCCTGACGTTGTCTTTCTTCCCGAAGGAGAAAGATGACTTTCCCCCCCTGTCAACCACATGTTCTTGCTCGGTTCTCTCGTGTGGGTACAAGAATTGTTGTAGAGGTTCTGCACGTGGTGCTGATCTAAAAGCGTCATGTTGATGCGGTTCTTCCCAGTAGTTGTGTTCTTGTACCTCCTCATCTGCGTACCGCCGTTCTCCTTGACGAAAAAAGTTGTGATCATGGTAGCTGCTGTTCCCCTGTCCTTTGCTTTCTTGCTGGTGCGAGTCATAGGCCCCTCGACCTCTTCCTTGACCTCTTCCTTTTTGCTGTACGTGCTTCGCTGGACGATGTTCGTTTGAAGGAGGAACAACGCCCTTCTTACTGTTGTCTTTGTTATGGTAGTCCTTGTGCCCTTGCTTGCTACTGACACTGGTTGTCGTGCCGAAGATATTAGCACCTTTCATGATGCCATGATCACCTCCGTTGTGGTAATCTCCTTTGTTGTGCCGATACTGGGTTTGAGACTGACTCCAAGGACTAGGGTTGCCCCGCTTACCTCCGTGCGGAGAAGTCTCGTAGCCTGATGGAGTAGAACCAGCTGACGGTGGGAAGAAGAATTGTTGTTGCGGATAAAAGCTAGTGTGTTTTCCTGGCGATGTCGAGCTTTTGTTCGCGCTTCCCTTCTTTCCTCCTTTGTCCACTTTCCCGCTCCCCATTTTCGTTGGTGAATTGATGTTGTTCTTAGAGCAGGACGAGGGGTCTTGGTGGTAATTCTTGTCAGATGAAAAGCTGGCATTGAAACGATCATACGGAGGTCTGATCTCATGTTGCTGTGCCCGATGATCATGCGCCGGTCCTTTATGAGAAGCACCCAAAGATGAAGCTTGCATTGCCTTTCCGTTTCCGCGTCCGCCAGGTGGAGACTTGCTTTTACTCAGGTCCATAGCACCTTTCCTGTAGTCGTCCGGTCCACTCTTCTGTGCTCCTTTGATGTTCCTATCGCGCCAACCCCCGTCTCTGCTGTGATCATGATGTGGTGACTTACTCATGCTATCCATCTTTCCTCCACGTCCAGGTCCACCCCGATTCATTTGATGTTGCTTCCCACCTCCATCATAGAAGTTACCATGGTTGTAGTTCCTATTCTTTCCACCTCCCTTATGATGATGTTTTCCCTGAACCTGAAGACTATGTTGATTCCAAAATCCATTACCGGGTGGGGGATCGATAGGTGGCTCCATCTTGTGAGAGCCCTCAACAAACCCAGGCTTAGAGGCTCCATCCTCTTGGTGATTTATGTGTTGCGAAGGTGGAGGCAGAACAGGAGCGTGCTCCTCTACATCCTCCTCTCGCTTCTTGAAACCCTTTTTATGTTGTCTTCTAATAATTCTAGTTCCTCGTTTTGTTGAGGTGACGTTGATAGTGGTTGTCGCAGGTGCGTGGCTTGTCCAGTAACCTCGACCCTTATTTTCGCCTGCAGCAGAGGGAAATGGAAAGCGACTGGTGCTACTGCTGGAGCCGCCATATTGCATGCTGCCTCGCCAATCATGATAGCTGCCGGCGCCTGAGAGATGCGAAAAAAGCATGAGCATGACAAATAGATTTGATAGTATTCACTAGTACCAAATGTACAACATCAAGACAAGACTACCAAATTCAAATGGGACAATCAGATTCACTGTTTATTAGAGTTCAAGTTGTCTAAAGTACCTGCTCCACCATAGTCGTGTTGGCATAGAGTACACGAAGGATCTTCGTGTACTCTTACCTTCAGACGTGCCTCGATACCTGCTTCCTCAAAACGTAGGATCTCATCTTTACTCACAAGCGCCAACAAGTCTTCAGTTTCGCGCAGTAGTTGACGGTCTGGATGATGCGGTGGCCACCAGGCAGAAGCGCCACCGTCAATGCCAGGATCCTTGGATGGTGGAGGTGGAGGAGGTTGTGGTGGCACGATGGAGCCATCAGGGTGGGCAGGAGCGGCAGAACGCATCTTGTGAGGCTTCCTTGTGAGCCTTTTCAACAGTTGTGTTGATCCAGCAGATCGCAAAGAGCCAATAGTAGAAGTTGTTGTAGCTTCGAGATAGAGCACCTAGAGGATGCGATGATCTACACACAAAGCCAATCCACCGCTGAGTTCTCAACCTTGACGAGGAACTTCAGCTGTTACACTGCTCCTCCTGCTACAACTGCAGCCTAACCATGCTGGACGCGAGATGGCAGTCGCAGTTCAACTTCACGATCTTCTTGGCGCGGCAAGAACCTAGCGGTGCATGCATGTCTTGGTTTGCGTCTTGTACAAGAGACGCGCGTTTGGCTTCGGACTGGTGCTGTCCCCCCTTTACGTTCTTTACCTCCTCCGTTACAAGATAATTACTCAGCCGTGATGTGCTCTTCAGCATCATGCCCTGTAGTATCTTCGATGTCGCTTTATCTTTATCATTGACGAGAAGCTTTTTTCAACATACATGTTGAACATAGTACCTCCGGAGTTACTTTATTATTATTCGATTTGTCCAAGAACCGTTCTAGTTCGCTAGCGAAGTAGGAACAAGAACAACCTTGTACTTGTAGCGTGTATTTCATCCCTATTAAGTTGTAATAGTTGTGCTACTGAACTAAAACTTAAACTATTTGTTGCAATCATAAGAGGATGAGTCACACAATGAACAAAAAATGCCTCGCAAGGCCCACAACAAAGAAGGCATCGCAAGAAGGCTAGCTCTAGTGATCGGGGCTGCAAAAGGTTCTAGCTAATGCATAGTCTACCTTTACCACCATCAAGATCAAGGTCAAGCCAGCGAAGTAGATGAGTACTATGAATAACACGTTCAAAGCGGACCGAATTTCGGCGCTTCTGAAACCGATACAAATTCTAAGCGCAATATCGCGACCGATTGCCACTGACTGCTGTACGACCAGAAATCAACCTCAAAAACAGATTCATGGCACCGATCGAGCAGCTCTCTTCTTGATGATCAATTTCACATCCTCCTGATGACAGAGACAGGCTATCGTTCGGAAATATCATTGACCGAGACATGATACATGAAGACCGACTAAACATTTGTTGCGGAACAGCTCGCTATGCTGGTACCAGGTACCAGGAGTAGGAGCACGATAGTTGCGCTTCTGATGTTTCAAACCATGGATACAACGAGTGAAAGTTAGTATGATACGCGAGGATAGCGATGATCATGAATGGGGTTTAGAAAATTAGACCGTGTCAGGTGCTGAACATTCAAGGTACAGGGTTTCACGTACTATTTCTATTTCGAATTCTTCTTGGGGTTGGGCGTTCTTTTCGGGCGTGGGCGAAGACACATCTACATGTTGGACGCAGTGCGGTGGGTCGTCGTCCATGGCAAAGTCTCCCCAGGGATCGTCATCTTCCTGTTTCTTCTGATTTGGGCTTTCTTCAGGATTTTTTGCTTGTTCTGATGACTTCCTAATGTTGATCCCATATTTGGCCACAAACACGAAATGTGCATCAATCCATCCTAAACTCTTCGTTCCCTCTGACAAGTCCTCTAGGAGAAGTCGGTAGCGCGTGTGTGCCCTGCCAACCGCTACGTTTCTGGCGCAGAAGAGCTCTAGAGGTTGCGCGCTAGCGCTGTCCGGTGCTACTAAAACCCCGTTTGCTTGGCCAAAATGCTCTAGCACTTGCTCGAAAGCGAGCCCACCACTGTAAGTGCGGTTCACACGACTCAGCAGTTGCTTCGCGACAAGAGTGGAAGCATCGATACTAGTACCCGCTGCTTGGGGTCCTGGAAGTACGTGATTTGCGAGTCGAAGAGAAGAATATGATGAAGTTGCTCCTCCACCAGTCTGAGATACTCCTACTTGTTCAGCCAATAAGATTTCGGACTTGACAAAATCTACGATTTTTGCGTACTGCGCACTGCAAAAAGTTCGTCCATTCACCTGCAAAGTGTCTCTTTGCAAATCCTTCTGGTTTTGTTTGTCGCTAGCTCCTAGTTGCTTGCAGATTTGTTGGGTTTGCTCATCAACTTGTACGTTTTCGATGCCATCGCTATGTCGATTTTCAGCACTAGAAGATGTACCCGATGAACTTGTTGGCGCTTCGACGTCTCTTGCTTGGGCAGAAGTGGTTGGATAAACTCCATCACCCTCTACTTTCGTTATCGGATACCACAGTTTCTCGTTGGAGAAACTAGTCTGACCACTCAGCGTCGCAGCCATTTGGTTCTTGACAGCTGGGGTTCTGGCATCTAGTCGGAATACTCGCTGTCCACGACTAGCTTTCGCAAACCAATCTAGAAAACCCTTTGATGAAGTACTTCCCACCATTCCATCATGGTCACCTCCTAGTCCACCGTTAAAATCGTCATCCATCCAACCGTCATCATCCTGAGGTGAAGACCCTTCTCCTGATGCTGCATTTGAAAAAGACCACAGTTCGCTTTCATCTCCTTGGGGCATCGGTAATGATTCGGTCGCGAGTACTTGCTGAGCTAGCTTTTCAATGATGGTTTGCCTTTCAGGTTCAGCAACGTCCTGATCTTCATTTTCCTTCTTTGTTGATGAGGTACTACTACTAGAAGCTCGCATAGCTCCCAACAGTTTCTGTGCCAAGTAGAGCCACACTGCGTCTTGTCGAAACAAGGATCGTCCTACCCTCTCTTTTGCTTCCTTTATGCCTTTTTCAGCTACATAGGCGACAGCTGCGCCGGCTCGTCTACGCTCCAATTCAGCCTGATTCTCCTTTGAAGATGTTGGTGAATCAGATGAGGGCAGGTCGTCAAGTCCTGATGCTGAGATAGCAGACAATTCCTCCAGATCTAACTGAAGATCAGCCTCCGTGAGCATCGCCCAAGAGCCTGCCTCTCCTCCTGCTCCGAAAACGGGCGCCATGGGTTCTGTCGTGTCGTTCTTCTTTATTCACTGTTCCTAGGTCGACGGACTGGCGAGAAAAGATAGTAGATGTAGATGCCAGTGGTTTTAGATGTAGGAATTCTTAAAACTCTAACATCAGTAGATGTCGGGTTTCACACGTAGTACCATTCGTGAATCATATTCACACAACCGCTTGCGCTTGCCTGATGTAAGTTCGAAAAGGATAGTCGTGACTTGCGTAAAGCTAGAGTTTCGAAATTATGGGCCAGCAGAAGAACATGAACAAACACGCGTTCTTCCGCACGACAAGGCGATGTTAATCGCGATCACTGAGAAAGGAAAGAATTGCATCGACGCAAGAACAACACCTAGAACTCATCTCCAATACTGTACCGCTAGAAGCATCAACATCAAGGAAGAACTGAGTATTGTCATTGTTTTAGAGTTTCCGGCTTTTTAGCTTGCTTTGCTTTTGAGTTTGATTCTAACTACCAGTCGCGTAGCGGTCTCGATTCATCTCTTGCCGTGATTCCGATTCTCATGGTCTTGCCTAGCTGTACATGATACGGCAATCAAACTATTACTATACCTTCTGCTCAACATTCAAATTCAGTCTCCTCGACACCCAGTCGCGAGATCCTTCCTATACTCCCTCTATCCATTGACCTAGCCGCCTAGTACCCGCACTCCCTTTATGTTTATCCATTGAATTAGCCGCCTCTAAAAAGCGCCTCCATGGCAAAGCCTCCTGGTTGATTCGGATATTCCCATGGCAAGAGGTGTTCTTTCAAGAACCCTAGAATCAGTTCGGGCAATTGTCTACACCATGCTTCGGAGCTGACAAGTGAGTGGTCTTCTCCTTCTACACGGATAATCACTGCGGGAGCTTCGTCTGTTGGGGTAAAGCCTGCTTGCAGGTGCATTGGACCTCCTGCTCCCCTTGAGGGACTCTTAGCACCTGCAGAGGGGTTGCTGCCGCCACCTTGTTGTTCTGAACTGAGGGAGAGGAGACCTGGTGGAGAGAAAGTAGTAGGTGATGGAGTATTAAGTTTCTCTGCAGCTCAAAAATAACAAATCTCATCTGCGATAAAGATCCTCTTCACAAAATTAACGAACAAAGCGTCACGAGAACAAAACGCAACTGAAAAAGGAGTACCTTTCGACGCGAATGTCTCTCTTTCCAACGTCAAGTGCGATCCGCCGCTCTTAGCACCAGGATCAAACTTGTATGCCCTGTATCCGCCTTTATGCGTTGCCAAAACCTTCTCTTCGAATTCGTCTGCGTTTTTCCAGGAAACCACTTTATCATTCGTGCCATGCAGCAACATTAATGGCATCTGCAAGGGCACGTCACTAAAGGCTGGACTGATAGCCAACGCTGCTTGTCTAGTGGCTGCTAGAGGTTGGCAGCTGCTCGCACTCAAAAATCCGCTCATTAAAGCTGCATCGCGTGGGTCGCCGCTGGTGGAGTTAGTCAAGATCCAATTCGTTATCGGACAAAATGCCAAAGCGCATTGAAAGACACTAGGAAACGCTCGAAAACTTCCTCCCTGCGTTGTCGCAACTTTTTCCCCACTGCCACTAGAAGTAAATGCACCTGTAGCCGTGATCTCACGATGCTGGGCGCAACGGAGAGTCAGGTAGCCACCACAGCTACGACCCATGAGACCGATGGCGCGTGAGAAAGACTGCTCTGCACACCCAGCATCGCCAAATACATCTACTGCCGCTTGTCTTGTTCGAAAATACCTACCTATATCCAGTATCTCTTCTCGATCAGCAGTCCCAAACCGTTTTGCGCCCCAACTAGCTAGAAACCGCCTCAGGCCATACCTTGTTCCACCTACAAAATTTGGCATCACTACGATAAACCCATGTTGAGCCAGCCATGGTCCCAAGTGTGCCGGTCCCCAAGTGCGTGCTAGTGTTGAAAAACCGAAGGCATTAGGCGAAGTCGGCAGCCAGTCGAAACGGAAGTGACTATTTGGTCCGCCGTGGAGCCAAAGAACAACAGGATATTCACGTTTCGGGAGTCTTTGAGAACGCGACTTACTGCCTGTGCAGATAAAAAGGAAAGTCGATCAGTTGTTGTATGAAGTTACAGCAACAAAGCAGAATCATATTAAGCAAGCATTATGTATGAGTATGTCTATGCTGCTTATCATGAACCAAAACGACATGAAAGAGTATGCTCACTATGAAGCAAGAAAACCACGACATGAAAGAGTTCATTTAGCATCATGTACTTGGAGACGCCGTTTCTTCTAATGTGCCACTGGAGGTTCGGGTGACGCCCTCTTTGATACATTCCACCGTTTCCGGGAGATAGACCAAACATGGCACTCGTTCCCCATCTCGTGACGGTGCTGGAATGCTCAAGCATCGTGGTACGCTTACTTTGTGCACTGTGCGGCGCCCAAGAGAGGTTAGGCGGTGATTAGAAGTGGTGATGGGAGTCATGTGGAGACCCCTGATCTGCTTCACGACCTTCACCTTCATCTAACTAGGCGTATGCATCTGAGTGTGCAACATGCCCTTGAGAAAGAAATTTACTCAGTACAAGCACTTCTTATGAAACAAGCAGATCAAAAATAACGAACTAGAAGCTTGCATGCAATCAAGCTCTCTCCCATAAGGTAAGTCGGCACGAAGTTCGCTGCTCCCGTGTTCGTGCTATTGCAGACACAGTAGACGTCTCCCGAGTGATAGGGTGAAGAATGGAACAACAGAATCATTCCCGACTCTGCCATGTTTCCTCCTGGCCCATTAGCTGCAGTCTTCTGTGGACTGAGAGCATGCTGTGGTGAAGTCGCAACCATCCCAGGTAGCTGCTGCTGTCCTGGAGGCGACACAAAACCGGTGGATGCAAGATGACCGGATCCGCGACGGCTTTTCGGGCTACTATTGGCTGGATTATCTGCAGCACTTGGCTCTGCGAATAGGGGCACGACCGCTCCGATCAGGTCCTTCGTTCCAGGGATGCGGATGGTTAGACTTCTGTCGAAATTCAATGTCCAAAGCTCGTCATGAAAACGTGCGTCGTCTGGACAAACCGCAGTTTGAGCGTTCTTCGGCAACTTTCCAGCCGAGCCAGCGCGAGAAAGAATCGCGTGCCACACACCCTGTGCGTCTTGATACACCACGAAAGAATTTGCTTCAAACTCTCCGGAAATTAGACAAAATTATGGGGTCGTCAGTTGATGATTTCATTTACTACTACGAATCTTCCAACGAACAAGGTCGTGGTGAACGAGGATAGATATTGCAAATCGAGTTTGTGAGCTGTTTCGACATGCGAGGACCAATTATATTCTACGAGGCTCTAGTTCTAGATGTATGTTGGTTCACGTTGTTTTAAACCTTGAAGCCTTCAAGCCTTAAAAACAATTCCGGCACGACATTCTTGTAGGTGTAATTCCAAGGGTTCGGAAAAGCTGAGGATCGCATATCCTTTGCTGTTTTCAAGGCACGAGAAGAAAGTCCTCCTCCAAGTGGAATGCCAGTGCCTGCGGAAAGTACTCCTACATTTCCAGAAGATGCCGTTGTCCACGTTGACGCTTGCGAATACCCTCCGCCACTAGATCCATCAAGTAACCCTGATGGTCCACCAACAGATGCACAAACTTGATGCATGTCTACGGCTGATGAGGTTGCGTAAGCACTGGCAAGGCGAGTCACTTTCCATGCGCTTTGGAGGCTGTCTCCGGAAAAGGTGTCCAAGGATCTCATGTTAAAGGTTGAAACATTTCACTTTCTAGTAGCTATCTCTAGTACATAAGGCTTGTAAAAATGAAATGTTAAATTCAACCCTTAATCATGTAGGAAGACTGACTGCGCCATTTGGGTTCGAAGAAGACGAAAGGAAACACCCCCGAGGTGTACATCCCGTATTTGTCGTCAACAGTCATCAACACCGCAATCTTCGCAGGACCCAGCCACTTGGCACTAGGACGCGCGTACTCACAGTACTGGAGACACTTTTTACTCGAGTCGGCATTGGCTGACGATGAGGACGTTGAACCACTTCTCGAGTTGGAGGATCCACTCTCTAGCAGCACTGCTTGTGAAAACATGTCTTTCCGACACCCAAACAAGTCCAAGTTTTCTCGTATTACAGTCGGCTCCTCCAGCAACACGGAATAATCCCCGTTCGCCAATGACGCATAGACGCTATCGATAGCACAGCTACCACCTCCAGCGGTGTCATTCGTGGAGATCATTCGCTTTTGAGGCGAACTGTTGTCGTTTTTCGCACTTTTCGTCGGTGAAATCGATCCTCTAGATGGAGACTGTGATCCTTCGTTTTCAACAACACTTGCCAACGCGTTCTCGAAGACCGCCATCCTTGCTGAGAACCCGTTTGGTTCTCGCACGACGCATAGTGCGCGCCAGTTGTGCGTGCGGTTGCTGGCTGATAGACTTTGACGCTCCCCAGGACTAGAGTCGGGTCCTGGAGGCGCGCAAAGGTCAACGCAATCGATCTCTTCATGCTCCCCGAACTCGAAGCAGAAAAGAGATTGCGAGGCCGACAATTGCGGAACAAGATCCAAGAGTATGAAAAAGGGAAGAAGATGATGTGAGGTCCTCGTGAGATGTTGATCACAGAGTTCTTTGGGGTTTGAAAAGTCTACCTGTCTCGTCCAAGAATAAGGTGAAAGAGAACTTCTCCTTTTAGTATGACAACGGAGTCAATGGTGGCCATAAACAGCAAATCAAACGCATATTGAGACTCGACTGCCGAAGTCGAAATAACGGCATACAACGATGATGACGCAGAGGTCCGCCTTCTAGATCGCTGTATCGGCAGGTAGCGTTGTAAGGTTTCCAAGCTTATTGTGCTATCGTCCCCATTCTCTTCGTCACGAGCTTGTCGTGACTCAGCGGCAACTGCAGCAAATATCGGTCTCGGGTCCAACACAACGATTACATCCGTAGTTGCTGTAGTTGAGGATCGTCCATCTGAACGTTTTCTCCGCAAAGCAAACACTAAGCGTCCATCTCGATCTGCTGCTAGACAACATTGCGAGGATACAAAGTCGAAACCGGGGAAGCTTAGGATTGTTGGTAAAGTGGTAGAATTAGAGGTAGGTTTTTGGTGCTCGCGGGTTCCCCCGCTTGTGATGCCTTCCTCCTCCTAAGGGAGAGAGGCATAAAAAGCGGTAAGAAAGCACCTTTAACCTACCCTTAATAGAAGTCTCGAATGAAGTAGTTGTACTTGTCCCTTCAACAAGGTTGACGTTACCCTGCTCTCCCTGAAACAAGAACAACTGACCATCTGCGGCTGCAGCAAGCCCACCATCGCTAGTCCAAACTGGAGGGCCATGTGCTAGGTGCAAACCAGATAAAATCCGACGGGGAAAACTGCAGGTACGTGGTTGGCCAACTACTCCAGTACCGCCTCCAGGAGGGATCAAATCTGAACAATAGAGGTCGATACCACCGTCCTCGGTCTTTCCCCGGTCGTGCTTGTGAAATATTGATGGTCCAGCATTTGCACTGTGTCCTCCACGCGTCTGGAACCACGCAATGCCGTCTGCGGAGGCCGCAAAATAGAAATTCTGAGGGCCAAGGTCGTATAACGAAGTGAAGTCAGCAAACGGGGAGAAGTGCGACATTTTTTGTTTACTAGTCAGCGTAACATGAGATTGTGATTGTCTCATTTATCAACTCCATAGCCGAGTTAGCCAATGCTGGGCCTGCTCATGATCTTCGTCTTCATATACGTTTACCACGTGGTCCCTCGCTCTCGATCAATGACAGAGGCCCGCTTGTTGCGGCAACATGAGAACAAGTACTTTTACAGGGAAAGTAATCAGCCGGCGCGAATGTGCTAACCCGGATCACCGGTATTGCTTTGGCTAACTCTATTTGTCGCTCACAAGACAAGTTTGCCATTGCGCAATGGGTTACTTGAACTTTATTGAAAAGTAGACCCCATGTCCCCACACGCACCTCGGTCCCGACGCCTCTTCATCAATGAGTTCCACTTTTCCCGTCCCCAAAACCCCCACCCTCCCCAAGCTCATCTCCCCCACCATCGTCCAATCTAAAACTTTTCACCCTTCTCCCCTTGTACGTCAAAGGCCCACTGCATTCTAGATGGACGCCTGGTACGCTCCGCAAACATGATTCCGTATTGGAGAAGCCAGCAGCTCTAAAATCGAGAGGTAGACCAACGGTCTTCTCGAGCATCTGCTTCACATGGTAGAGCTTGCGGTCTCGTATTTCTCCGTAGTTCCGCAGAATGCGCCTAATCTCAAACACCCAGTTCTCCTCTAACCGACCCTGATGCTCCAGGAGGATAAGCTTGAGTGGCTCCAGGTTCTTGAGTATCCTATTCTGGAAAAGATGTAAGGCTTGCTCTGCATGCGAACGCTGTGCAAACTCGCAGTGGAGAAAGGAGTTCTTGCATCGAACGTTGAGACGCTGTATGGTCCCTGCTTGTTGTAACAATCTTCGCCACCCACCTTCAGCCAGGCCGCCTTGCGACTCGGGTAGAAAGTTCCAGACGAATACTGTGCGGGCGCGCCTGTTAGAAGGGGACCTGAAACTACAGTTATTTCTGATGCTCTTTCAACAAGTTAGGACTATGGATATACGAATTATGTTGATCATAAACTTAAGCGCCCTCAAACGCGATTTCTCCCTGCGCTGTCTCGCTGCTCGGTCTCGCATAAGGCGTGCCATGTCCTCAACGGACGATGACCGGTCTGTCGCAGAATTCACTGAAGATGATTTCGCTAGGCCTGGTTTGGTTTGTCCAGGTGAAAGCGGTGAGATCGGAGTAGACGATGTGCCAGAGGGAGGCTTCTTCTGTTCGCTCACCTTTTTCGTCACAGTTGCTTCTTGCGGGACAGCTACCGGTTTGCGACGAGGCGATCGCCCACCGTGTGTGGCGTGCTCTCCTGTTAGGTCTCCACCTGTCGCAGTGGTCGTACCTTTTCGAACTCTCTCCGGATGTGCGCACAAATCACGCAGCGCATCTAGCATGGGCTGTGTTTCCCCGATAGGCACGATCAAGTTTCGCCATGTGCGTACTTCATCATGACTACGACCGAAGTTGAGTTTCCTTGCTCGCTTTTTCGTTTCGCCCATGCTCGAATCTGGGGGTGCAGAAGCTAAAGAGGACGAAGCCGCTATCGGAGTGGAAGCTGGCACTATTCCCAGTGCACTTGAAGATGTGTCTCCTTCTACGATGACATTCTTACCTTTATTTGCGGTAATGTTGTTCAAGTTCATCTTCTTCACCTTTTTCATCATCGAAGAAGTTGAGCTTGAGGTGCTACTAGAAGTTGTACCAATTGCAGGAAATGCTTCTCTTCCTTTCGCGGTCGTTGTGTTAAGAACTTCTTCCTTTTGATCAACGTCCACTAAGCTCAGCATGTTGTAATCATCTAGGACGTCCTGCACCACTCGGCTTTTGCTGAGACTGGTCAGGCGTGGCGATAGGCGTGGGGAGGTTCCGTCGAAGGAAGCGGACGACGAGGAGGCCGAGAGCGGCGGTAATTCGAGATGTTGGAGCTTTTCATGTTAGAAGAAGGTTCTTGGGCGCTGTTGTCTTCATTATTCCAGATTATATTCACAAATGTCTTCTAATTCTATGTGGCCATAACGATCATGATCCTCCCCTCCCACGACAGGCAACATCAGCTCTACATGTGATCGCTTCCAGCGAGGATGGAAGCGGCGCAAGGCTTCAAAAATCTCCCGAAAGACCGGGTATGGCACGTTTCTGCAGTTTGGATTAGATCAGGAAGATTGGGACTGACAAGGAGCGAACACGTAGCGCTCTCATAGCGCTCTCATAGCATAGCATGAGTTGTCTCACATAGTCTTGTGACATGTACTATCTGGGAGACTAATAACAATATCAATATTAGTGCTCTCTGTCCTGAAGATTGGTCGTGTCTTATTCATGCAAATCATGTACCACATGATGCATCGCTGGTAAAGAATTCAATCTGCCATAATCATCACATCCCCACTCTGATCGAGCAGCCTTCTAGTCAGCATCAGATGGGCTTTCTTCGGATGCACCATGCGGTTGTGGGGAACACAGCAGTCAAATACTGCACTGATGCCATCGATCAAGGCTCGAAACTGCATTACAGTGAGGAAGTCAGGGTCCTCCCTATCTGAAGATGGTTCTTGTGGTGGAGGTGCTCCTTTCTTGGAGGTTATCTTAGGTGAACTGCTTCCACTCGAAGATGTTTCTCCTAAACAAGGCCTCGCTGTCCGTGTTTTAGTTTTGCCTCCAAAAATATTAGCAGGAGCACTAGAACAAGCAGCTTCTTTCATGTCCACAACAACGCTGATGTCTTCCCTCGCGTGACCAGAGAGTGTTAGATAGCGCTGACCACTGCTGATCAGCTTGGACACAAAGTCTGGTGGTCCCAGCATTTGGGAGTAGGGTTCTAAGTCATGTCGAAAAGAGTTGCGATCCATGCGGGTGTTGAGCTCGTTTTCATTGGCGAAGCGTGCGCGTGTGAGGGATACAGTTGGAAGGTCCAACCGTTCTCGATTGCGACTTGAGGATACGAAGAGTTCGGATGCGGCGGGTGGTGCGGGGACTTTTAAGAGAGCGGCTGGTGCTGAGGGTGGTGATGCAGTGTCTTTAAGAATGAATGTGTCCTCTGCAAGAATGGAAGAACCAAAACGAAAACTCCGCAAATTTAAGCAGACGTTTCTTCTTAACTCGACTTCTTCAATAAATGTAGAGTCGAGTATTCCTATTCTTGTAGTGCAACATCTTAATATCTGTTTTGATCTACTTGAGGTAACTTAGTAGACTTTAGCAGACTCAGCATATTAATATATGTGGCGGAGCCGACCTAACTAGAAAAAAGACAGACCAGACAGAGGAAGATATAGAAGAGAAAAGGGTAACTATCGACAAGTAACCTAAAGTGTCCTGCTAACTGCTAAAACTAACTAAGCTCCGGCGCTATCGTCGTCCTGTCAGCCCCATGCATAGGCCTCACCTTCAAAGGCAGGCCGGAGCCCTGTGCAACGCCTCCGGTGAGTGCTCAGCTCTCTGGTTGTGTGCACAGGTTTATTCGCTATGGGGTACAACCGGTTCACCAAATAAACCCACAAGCAGAGAGAAGGACCCTCGCTACTTTATATCTACTGCGAACCATATTAATATAAAATCATAGAAGCAGGAGTACTCTGTTTCACGCTCAGTTCCTCGACCAGAGTCCCAAAACCGCACGCAGGGTCTTCTAACCTCGCCAGCTGAACGTACAGCAGATCGGACAAGCAGTCATCCAAGCAATAGCGCACAGGGCCACGATGTTGATGGTAAACTTTCATCTTGTCATCTACGTTTTCGCACAGCTCCAGTCGATAGGTAAAGAAGGAGGTCTTAGAGGGTGGAGGAAGAACCTGATGGAGTTTCCTTGATGAAGATGAGTGACAGACTCTACTTTTTTATGTGAGGTTGAGAACGAATACAACAATTTCTTGGTGATATTAAGTATCATCTTGTTCCAAATGTAGTCCACGACGAGTCTTCTTAAAGTTACTCCTGTAATCTGACGGACAGGCGATTCCGAGAGGTATTTCTTCCTGTAATGCAGAAAAGCGGTAGAATTTCCAACGCAAAAAGTCTGCTACCTTCAAGGATGGGGACGCTCCTTTTGAGGACAATGTTGATGTTGATGGTGTGCTGGCACCTCCTTGAGCCACACTTTGACCACCTTGTACTTCCGCAGCTTCGTCGTCTCCTGACGTGTTGATATTGTCATCTGTAGCAGCACCGTCGTGGTGGTCCTTCTTTGATGTATTCTCCTTGTCACGAGTTGTACTAGCCTTTTGAATATCTTCCTCTTGTAGTGATGTAGAACCTGTCCTGTCACGACGACTTTTCCTGGAAGAACTAGCTTCAACACCACCGCCATCTCGTTTTCGCAAATTGTCGAACAACACTGTGGTGTGGGCACTTCGAGATGTACTTTTTCGTTTCTTACTTGGTGGTCCATCATGCTCTTCACTTCGGAGGCTGCCACCATCACTTAACTCGTCATCGGAGTTCACCGAGAGGTCTGAATCTGTTCTGCTAATCGAACACGTCATTTGGATTAGAGCTACAGCAACAGATAGCTTTGAAGGACAACGGTGAAAAATCAATACAACTTCGTCTAGCTCTAGTATGTAAGGGTAAGGCAGCTCTAGTATGTAAGTAGGGTAAGGCCACTTGTAACAGTGAGTAACACAAAATCATCTCCCCATAAGCTCAAACTGTGCCCAAGTTGTGGTCTCTTTCCACTCCCAGCACCACCCGATTGCCCTTCTTGAGGGTTGTCTCCATGATGAGGCAAAACCGTAGCACGCATTTTCGAGAGCCATTTCGATTGTAAGGTAGGCAGCACCTTATCCGTAAAGTGCTCCAAGGCGTTTTTCAGCTTGTCTGGTCGTGTGTCTTGTTCTTAGAGTCGTGGGTGTGGGTCTCTCTAATAAAGTTCGAATAATTGGTTCCTTGACATCATTCAACGTCACAGTTAAAAATCTTGGTTTCTAGTCTTCAAGATATCTTCAGCTTAGATCTTACTTGTGACGTCATGATCTTAAAAAGGCAGCCCAGAGATTCCCAGTACTTCTTCCACCGATCCACCGAGGCACGTACTCCGAAAGAGCGGCGGATAGATTCCGACGATGCAGAGGCGATCGTAGAGCTCACGCTTTTTGCTGTGGCTTAGACAGGACAGAACCTCCCTCCGAAGTTTTCGTGGCAATCGCACGTACTCCTCTAAACCCAGCAAGGCGCGAGCCGCGTAAGGGTCACCGTTGGAGGCGTTGGGGTACATTTTGCTTTTGGTGCTTGTTCGAACGAACTAAAAGGTTGGATGCGGATGCTCGCTGGAAGGGAAAAAACCTAGCTTTGATGCTGTAGTTCTAAGTGCTTCTACCAGTAGTTTTTGTACAGTTCGACACGTTTGTAGTGATGCGTGTGACTTCAGTGGGACCTGCACGTGAAGGCTACTAGTTTGACCATGCGCACCTTACTTAGTAAATGAATAAGGCATCGATACACTTAGATATTCTTTGTCGCGTTGCTAGTGGTTCCATTTTCGGTATTTTCCAAATTTCAATCTCGAGGAGCTGCACAATATCGGCGATTCTTCTACCTCGTCGTACGATAGCTAGCATGTATCGGGAGGGGGACGACAGATGAAAATGCCATATCATGATTGATGATCATATGATTAGCGACCAGACTTATCAATGTTCCGAGTGCTGATGCTGTTCAGATTCAGATGACAGAGGAATGCCACTCAATGCAATGCAATACAATCAATCTCGCACAGTTTTCAGGTCAGACTGCCTCGCATCAGCTTTTTATTTCATTCTTCATGATCATGTTGCCCGTCGTTCGGGTTCCACGCAGAGCGCAGTCTCTTACAACTCTTTCATTCTCCATCACACAACATCAGCAATGCCGTCTCGTGCTCCACGCCTCGGCCAACGCGACCCGCGAAATGCGGATAGAATTTTCACTCGGTGTATCGATTTCCAGTATGCAATGTTCAGCAATATGCGTCTTAGATCAATCTTTTTAACACTTTCACTTAGTAGACTTATGTTTGCGTTCATAAGCGTGACATTCCTGTTCATCAACTTCAACGCGATTCATGATTGAATTACAAATACACTTCAAGTCAAATAACCAACGCAGGCGCAACAAATAACCAACGTAATATCTTCACGTTACAACAAATTTTTGATGTTACAAATACAACAACAAATTTTTGATGTTACAACAAGAACAACTACCAACGATACTACTATGTATTTCAATCATTGTTTTCTCCCACTGCAGCATGTAAAACAGAAGCCGTCCACCTGTTCTTGTGGCGGTGCGGCTGGCAAGGGCTCTGGAGGTGGTAGTTTGTTCGCCTCTTCATACATCCCCAAAGATTGCAATACCAAACTCTGCGTGTCCACATCAGCTTCGAGTCTTTTCCTGATGACAGCGAGAATAGCTGGATGGCACTTCGTCCTCTTGTTTGTGGATACTGTCGTGGCTGTGGAAGAAGAGATAGCAGTCGCATTTGATGTCAGAGCAGTCGTGCTAGCTGTAGCGTCTCCATCTCCTACCTCAACTCCTAATTGAGCTAAAATTCTAGGAATCTGCTGCGTTTTCAAATCTTGAAGCACCGCAGCCGCATGCTCGTGAGCCGTTTTTATTATGGTCAGCTTATCCAACCTCCTTTGTACAGCTTCCGCTTCGGCTTTAGTTTGTTTCTCAGTGCGCTTCATATAGAATTCGAGCTCTTCTTCGTGTGACAACTGCGACTGTCCTCGTCCTTGACCTTGTGGAAATTTGAAAGCCGACTGTCTCCCTTCTCCATTTTCGTTCATCTTCCTCACCAAAGGTAGCCTATCCAGAGGATTTCGTGTTGGATCTACTCTTAGTTCCGGAGACTCATCCAGCAGAATGCGTAAGCATTTAGCCGACACACCTCCTGAGCTAGCTTGAGTCAGCAGACTCACTATTGAAATCCCAACAGCGTCTTGCAAGGATCGATAGTTTCCGGCCAAAGAGCTTTCGTACGCAGCAATAGACCTCTTCTCTTCTTTCACTTTCGCAGCGGCAGAGGACAAAGATAGAGGGTTCTTTCTAGAGAAAGCAGTTTTGGCTTGTGTGTTTGATGTCGAAGACGATTGTGTTGAGAGACCAGAACCCAGCATCGATTCAAGACCACTGTCCATCTTTCCCACAGTGGTTTCCTGTTCACCAGCTAATGTACCGTACGTGCGGAACTCATCGTCGGGAATGAAGCTGGCACCGTAGGCGACTTGCAGGAGTCGCGACAACGCGCGAGGTCGGATCGTATCCCTCACGTGGAGTTGAATATCGAAGCACTCCTGCATCAGGTTCGCCACCAAATTTGCTTTGTCGTCTTCAGAAATGCTTTCCTTCAGCAATTTCTCGTGGAACGTGTTCAACTCCACCAAACACGGGATCCTACCCGTTTGCCACGCTTCGACATTAATAGCGCTATGGCCTACTGGACTGGTCACTTGGAACAAGTCTTCAACGAAAAACTGGTTCTTCTTACTCTTGAAAACTTGATTCACCAAACTGAAAGCGTCGGTTCTTGGGGGCGCAGAAGGAGCGTAGTTGGACGTGCTCGTTGTACTGCAGCTAGTGAAGATAGAAGACGTGATTAGTGGACCCAGCACTCGTGCTTCCTCATCTTTATCCGCAAATTGCACTTGGTTCATGATCTTTTCGTCCATCTTGATCTGAGCCAGCTCTTTCTGTCGTTTCTGGTAGTCCTTAGGATCCTCGTAGGCATTCGGTAGGAACTTGCCCATCAGCGTTTTCTTTTCACTCAGTCTTTTGAGTTCCCGTTTCTTCGCTTCCAAGTATTCCTGAACTAAGTTTTCGACGCCTTCGATTTCAGCTCCTAGTTTGATCGTATAAACCGTTGCTGCAGTGGAAGCTATGGGGTTGTACTCCTCGAGATCTGGGATACCATGTTCTGGACAGATTTCACGGCTGACGTCGTTCAAGGCCAGAGAAAAAACCGTATGTCCATCAGCTGCTTTGTGGCTCAATACGTCTCTCCTCACTGGCTGACCCTGCACTGACTTTTCTTGCGCAGCTAGTTGTAGAAGAAAATCGAAGCTGGCGCCGCCACCGTGTTGAAGGGCCAACATAAGGGGAGAATAATCGTCATGCGGATTCTTGCGTCGTGGCTTGGTTTTAGAGACTGGATGAGTGTCCGGAGGCATCCGAAGCTCAAATTTTGGAAGGTACTCGAGGATCAACTCTGGCGTTGACTTGGTCAAAGTATCATCTTCATCTGCTAAGGCATTGTTGACATTACCACTACCGTCTTCACCGTCCTCAAGAACGCCATGGAGTTTTACTACTACCTCTGCACGCTTGTTTTTCAGGTTACCCTGCTTGTTTGGCTTGTCCTTTTTAGGACTAGAAGCGGATGTCTTCTGAGCAGTTTCGTCAGTACAACCACTGTTCCTTGTCTCTTTGAACGAGTTAAAGTGAACTGCTGCCTCCACTGCACTAGCCCTGGCTTGCGCTGGTGTCGGGAGGTTGTCCCCAAGCGCCAGCTCTAGACTGATACGAACGGGTTCTTGTATCAATGCTCCAGCAGTCGTACTAGCAGGTGACGCTGGACAAGCAGGACCATCTCCTTCTGTGGCCTCGTCTTTTTCATCATCGTCGTCATCCTCATCGTCAAACTTGGCGTCTTTTCCGATGAACTTTGTGTGCATAATGAGCTTTTTATGTGGGACTTCGTCCTCGTCAGAGGCAGGAGCGAATTGAATGGCCTCTCCTGCGCTCGCTCGAAGCGCTTGTGGAGACTTGTTCACTTGTAGCTTGTTCCGTGGTGCTACAGCACTCTTCTCAGATGAAGGAACGGTCTCATCTTTAATTGCAGCAAGCAGATTCTCATCGTCATCGTCGTCATCGTCAAACTTGGCGTCTTTTCCGATGAACTTTGTGTGCATGATGAGCTTTTTATGTGGGACTTCGTCCTCGTCAGAGGCAGGAGCGAATTGAATGGCCTCTCCTGCGCTCGCTCGAAGCGCTTGTGGAGACTTGTTCACTTGTAGCTTGTTCCGTGGTGCTACAGCACTCTTCTCAGATGAAGGAACGGTCTCATCTTTAATTGCAGCAAGCAGATTCTCATCGTCATCGTCGTCATCGTCAAACTTGGCGTCTTTTCCGATGAACTTTGTGTGCATGATGAGCTTTTTATGTGGGACTTCGTCCTCGTCAGAGGCAGGAGCGAACTGAATGGCCTCTCCTGCGCTCCCGCGAGGCGCCTGTAGTTGGGCCGTCCTCACTTGCAGATTCTTGCCTCCTACAGCACTCTTCTTAGAAGGACGAACAGTCTGACTTTTATTTGCAGCTACCGCATGATCGTCATCGTCATCCTCATCGTCTTCATCGCTAAATTTGGCGTTTTTGCCGATGAATTTTGTGTGCATGATCAGTTTCTTTTTCGGGGCTTCGTCCTCACTGCTATCTGCGAACTGCACAGCCTCTCCTTCAGGTTGGATAGGAACGCCAGCTCTTGCTTTCTTATCCAAGTTGTCTTCACTCGTCTTCCTCAGACCAATGAAGTGTATCGGCTTACTCTCACTAATTTCTATTTCTACCTGCGGTGCTACTTCTACCTGTCCATCCCTGTCTACAAAAGACAGCTGGTTTCCTCCAGGCTGTTTACTGGACGCTCTTGATTCGCCCATCAGGGACCCGTCGATACTGGAAGCTGTATGCATCATGTAGTATGTTGCTGATGTCGCTGGCGCCAAGCCGAGAGCTCCAGCACTGCCATAGCTAAGGCTTTCTCCTGCTTGTGCATACGGATGAACAGACTGTTTACTCGATGCTCCGCTATTCTGATCGTAGAAGTTGTACCCGCCAGCACTTCCGTCAATATAATTCCAGGAGTCTGTAGCTTGTACTGTGGAATCCTCGATAAGCGAATAGTAGGTGGTTCCCTGTACTACTGGGGCGAAGCCGAGTGCTTTCTCCAGGTTGAGGACTACAGGAACTATCTGTGGCGTCGAGGAGCCTTGTTCTATGACCATGGAGGTTCGGTTCATAGCAGTCTTCAAGTTCATGGCGGGACTCTGTATTTTCATATTCATCAATTCTCCTTCTGCCTTTTTTATTTTTACTGTTCTATGAGTGTTTTTGAGTTTGTTTGTTGTGCCTCCGATACCTTTGCTTCCTGACCTCCTAGTAGCAGCTCCTCCTGATCCTGCAGACATTTTGCTGCCACTCCTTCTCGCTTCCCCTGAACCAGGTTCAAGCACTAACGGACTCAGTGCTATCTCTTTGACAACATCGGACAGCAGTTGGCTTTTCGCTTTCTCTGGCAAATCTTCTACGTGCAGTGGAGGCCCAGCGATGCGGTTTGGCAAACGGAATCCTAGATACTTCTGTCCTGTGAGCAAAGCCACCTTCATAGGCCCACCCGTTTTCTTCACACTTTTGTCGTCAGCATCAGCTACCATAACCTCAATTTCCAGCATCTCCGCGATCCATTGCAATGCCTGTAAATCGTTCCGTTTTGCCGCAAAGCACATGGGTAAAAAACCCGTTAAAGCTTCGCCTTTCTGGACATCTACGGTAGTCAAGGATGAAGATATTCGTGGCAATATGGCTTGTTGTCCTTTTTCGTTATTGGCTCTCCCAGCTCTACCTGCTTTCGCGTTCGACATACCAGCACGTACGTCAAACATCAAAGCCTTCATGAACTTCTGCCAATTCTCTTGTTCCGCAACAACGTGATGCAACTTGCGCTTCCTGTAGACAAAAGCATGCTCTTCTCGCATTTCCCCACCTAGAAGAAAAGACCACACTGCGCGTGGCTCAACACGCAACAAATGCATAAACAGTGGCCCCGCAATGCGATTCTTATCGACTAAGCCGACGCCACTGGTTAAGGGGTCCGCTACAACCATGCTGGAAGAACGGGGTTTTGCACGCATAAGGTGTTGCTCAGCGACGACGTGGTCGAAAGAAGGAGGGCTTGGATTACTTGCAAGTCCAGGCTCTTGTGCTTGTCCTTCGTCAAACAGCGTGCAGTTGTAATAGTTACTCCATCCGTAGTCCAAAGCTGAGACTTCGTTGATGTCAAAAGGCACACTTGCGGCACTCTCCATACGTCTGGTAACCAAAGCGTCCAACAGGTGGCAGCGATCGCTCCACGATAGAGCGTGGGCGAAAGCGGTTAAAGGTAATGAGTCCGTTAAAAACCGATCCCATTCAGGTCCTCTGCGTTTTTGGCACAGTTCTTTCAAGGTATCTAGAGAACGGTGAGCAAAGAACCATTCGCACAAAGTGGCACCCTGACCATCACGGACACTGGCGTTACCACGTTGCTCAACGCGATTGACGATTTGCGTCAACATGTACCATTCTTCATCCTGGACTTCTTTTTCCGTCTTGCTCGAAAACGCCTTAGTTTTGTCCAGCCCAGCCTCATGGGTGAGAAAGGAGCTGTAAACTTCTTGACGTTGGTTAGAACCATCATTCTCAGGATCGATCACGAAAGCATGAGAGCAAAAGTGATCCCTTCGCAAACGCGTAAAAACCTCTGTCCACGTTTCCAAGACACCAAAGTAGGCCTTGGGATACAGCTCATGCACTGGAGCTACTGGTGGTTGCGTGTAGATCAAAGACCAGGGAAGACCAACTTTGGTTTCGTCGTCGTCCAACCCTATTCGCGTTTTTCTTTGGCGCTCTTCCTCGACGAAATTCGGGTCCATGCGCAGCGAATCACCCTGCCCTGGTGACTTTTCCGAATCTGCTGCATCAGAACGACGGTGCAATTTCACTTTCTGCTTGTAAAACTCCACGTCGATGAAACGTAAGAGCTTTTTCTTTTTCTTGTGGTGTTTGTTGCCATTTCCTCCATCTTGTTCTTCTCCTTCTAGTACCTCTTGATCACCCGCAACCTCAGCAAACCACACAAATCGAGGTGGCACACCTCCAAGTTGTTCCCCAAGTTGGGCGCAGAAGTCTTTGACGCGATAAGCTACAGGAACATGCTTGTCCTTGTCTTTACTCTTTGAGGCTGAGGCTCCACCTGAATTAGGAGCAACAACTGCAGCAGCTTGACCCCAGTGAAAGATGTTGGAAACATCCGTACCAAATCGGTTAGGCCCATGGGGTGCAGTCAGATTCTTCGGTGCTGCGTAGAAGAGAACTTCTCTGGACTTTTTCAGCTGTTTGTCAATTTCTTCCATTCGCTTTTGTCGCTCTTCTTCCGTTTCTAGAGAGCGATCTAAGCCTGGTCCATAATGTCCTGAAGAAAGACTATCAGCTGCCACAGTCATACGTGGCATATTAGGATTCGGAACAGGCGTGATTGGAGTTGCTGCTGATGCAGTCGTTTTAGCAATATAATTACCAGTGCCGTCAAGAACATCTTTCTTCTTCTTGTCGTTAACGTTATCCAGATCTTGCTTCACGGCAGGATGCACCATACGATCACCAAATGCGGCTTTATCCAGTTTGAAAAGGTTCTTCTCCTTCTTTTGCTTCGCCTCTTCTTTTTCCTTGTGTTTATGCTCTCGTGCAGCCTTTTGCAGAACGCGTTCTGCGTCGAGTAACATCCCGACGCCTCTGAGATTGTGAGCCTGTTTGTGAGCTGCCTGCATGTGCTGAGGCGTGTTGTCCTCGTCGTCGTCATCACCGTCAACCTGTGCAGAAGCCGGCTTGTTGTATTTGTTACGCAAGTCGGCCAGTTTGTTCCTCTCCCGGTCCCGGGGAGACGTTGCATTGTTCGTGAATTTCGTGGGCTTCATTTTGTGCGCGACACTTAAGCTGAGGGTACTTACGCCTTAGGAACAACTAAGAATATCTAAATCTTGATCTTGAAGATATACGACAAAAAATCTGTTATTTCGTGTATCCGAAATTACCAAGGTGGAGGTCGTGGTGTGAGTGACCAAAAAAATTAAAAAAAAGTACTTACGATCGCAACTACTTCATATACGCATTCTCAACAAGCTCTGTTTATCCCAATGCAAGGTCCTCAGAAAAAGAGGAAAAGGAATTATCAATTTATGTTGTATTTAAGGGGAAATAAAAATATGATTCTTGGTCAAGAACGTCAACCAATTAGTTTCGATCTCAACAGGTATATGCAAAGAAACGCAAGCGCGAAAAAGAATGAATTATAAAAAACCTGCATAAAAATCGGATGATGGAAAAATCGAAAATAAGAATATCAAGGGTGGAAGGCGAAGCCTCAACAGTTTACGAATATCGGAGAAGCAGATCCATCATCTTTCTCTCCTCGTCGTGGTCTCGTGAAACAGATTTCTTTTGTTGTAATATACCGATACCTGTATCTTCACCACTATGTATACTATAGCACTCCAAATGGTTTGATGCTACTGACTCTCAACAGAATTTAACAAATTCACTCGCGACAGAAAAATATCAACCCTCACGACAGATTTACTTCACGTTTGGTCGTGTCTTCATGGTTTGCTAGCTCGAGCTCTTACAGATGAGTAGCGCCGTGACGAACACCATCAGAAAAAGAAGCACCAGTCTTCATCTTCTACGTCACCTTGCACACTACACGGCGTTGCAAGAACAACATTAACATTTCAAGAACATAGACCACATTCATAGTATTTCGTTGCACTCTTGCAGAGACGCACATTCATTATGTATCATCCCTCCGGCAATCTTTGCTGAGCAGCTGCCGAAAGTTTGTACCACTTCCCATATATCCTGTACCATCCGCCAGGTGCTAGGCCTTGACCTCTGATGATAGATGCTGGAAGTAGTGAGAAGTCCTCACTGATTTCGCGAACAACGTAGACTGGGCCGAACTTCAAATGTTTCAAAGAACTTTGAGAATCTGCTTCTATGTTCTCAGCTTCTACTTCTAGTTTCCTCTGTCTAGCTTCCAAATCCTCGAAGAAGTCCCTGACAGCTCTGAAAACAGGCGGAAAGACCCACATATCGTCGTAGTAGATCCAAGCCCGTGGCAAAAGCGCAGGCGTGCCAGCTTTCAGACAGTCTTGCGTCGAGGAGTAGAGGTCACCGTCACACATCAGGAGGGACACTGATGGACGAGCTGTAGGTGGAGTTGAAGATGTAGTTGATACTACAGATGGAGATGGTTTCGTTCGTCCGCTTGCCCTTATGCTCAGGCTCAAAGGACAGTTGACCGTTCTTCTCGTCAATGCACTGAGAGTTGAGAATACTGTCGATGTACTGCCACCTTTACGACCCTTCCCCTTTCCTCCTTCTTCTTGTTCCATACTTCCGCTTTGCGATTCTCTAGTCAAAAGTCCACCAAGCGACGGCCCATTCAAGACGACTGCTCGTTCAAAATCTTGAACTTCTATTCTCTCATCTTGTCCTCGTTGTCCCTCAGCTTCTGCCGATCCAAGTAGTGCCTTCTCCATCGTATCTGCGAATGTCCCTTGGTATAGCCTGAAGTGATTCTGAAGATGCAATTCCCAGAAACATCTGTCTTCGATATGGGCGAGATAGTCTTTGGTCGCTTTCGTTGAAATTGATTTTACTCTAATATCGTCTTGTTCGTGATCTTCTGATGAATCCTTGTTGGTCCAACTCACACTGCTAAAAATGTGGTCGAGCGTGGAAACCTCTGCCTTTGGCTCGAAGGTACTCGATCTAGAAGGTTCACCAACAGCTTTTCCATCCGCACGTCGCTCTTGATGACGTTGGCCAACTTCTTGAACAACAACTCGTCGTTGTTCCTCTCTTATAAAATCGAACATTTGCCGATGTGCTTTGTCACGCAAGAATGGAAACTTAGACCAAACGCCATGAGTCTCATTTTGCACCCTCATTCTGAAGAGATCGCCCATAGCCCTTGCGTTGTTCGTGAAATCCTGCAACGTGACATTGAAATCCCCAGGTTGAAAAGTGTGGTCAGCTAGTTTGTTCTTTTTCAAACTAGCTTGTCTAGAAGTGCGTTGAGGTGGAGTTGTTCCCGGTATTTCGCCTTGCTCTCCTGCTTTGTCCTCATCTTTCTGTAGTCTCAAATCCACTTCTTCTATTGATGCTCCACCTTTAGTCGTCTTTTCCTGAGGAGGCAGCCCGTTCCACGTATCAAACAAGCGGACAAACCTGTGGTTCACGTCACCCAGACATAACAGGTAGAAAAAGACGGAAAACGCCGTGTAACCACCTGCAACACCAGCCTCGACTATGTCACCGCCCTGGGGCAGTGGTGCTGCTTGTGGATGTGAAGAGGTAGCATCTCTGTTTGGCGCGGACCCTTTGGTGATATGCTTCACTTGCTCTGCGAGGTGTAAAACGGTGAGCATTCGGTTGCGCCGCTTCATGACCCCGATGGATTATAGTGGGTATCATCATGACCATAAGATATTCAGTTTATCTCGACAGAGAAAATGAAAAACCATGTCCATCAGCGTGCCCTAAGAAAACCCCAATTCAGCTTGTTCTTCTGAGGCAAGATCAAATGCGACCAGGTGTTGGTCTGCTATGCCGTTTTGACCTTTGGGTCTGGCGATTTCTCCCTGCTCCTCCCGTCCTAATGGCACGGCTCGTAAACATGCTTCTGAGGGGGTGAGCGGCACGAATGGAGCACGTGGCGATGCTGCCACGAGCACGAGACTCGGTAGAAGAGCAAGCATCAGCACGTGTTCTGGGAGAGACGAGCAAGTGCCGCGTCTTCTCCTCCTTACAGCAGGCATCTTTATGCAAGTTCTAGTTCATGCGCTCCAATTGAGCTGTTGACTACGACAGAACGAAAACATTGCAGTACATCACCCGATCTCATCCTAAAAAAGCTGTGATCACAACATCAAGAACATTGCAGCACACCCGATCTCCCCCTAGGAAAGCTGCAACTGGCACGCAATTCTCTCGTTGCAGTTCAAGTTTTTTGTTCGGGAGAAGTAGTTCTAGTTCTATAGTTTTCAAATTCGATTTTCTTACACGACGGCGCAAAGGTGTTGAAAAAGCTCTGTTTGGTTCTTTGATAGCTTTGTGACGGTCACTTTCATGTGCAATTGATTCATGATTCAGGTACATCGGCGACAATGGCCACTAAGTCTACGCGTACGCACCATCCTAAATAATATGAAAGCATGGTATCGATGACAACATCGGAGTAAGCAGTCGATTTTCTTGGATACATCGACTCTTCTTCAACTTTTTCCATGTGCTTGTCCATCCATCTCCACTAGTCGCGTCTACGACTTCTCCCAATAGCACTGAGAGAACATCATGCCTAGCAAGGCTAGACAATAATTCGAATCCGTATCCTCGAGACTGTCAAAAACGCTCTTCTTGATCGGAACTGGACCATAGGTAATTGCCGGATCGTTCTTCCAGTTGTTCAGGACAGTGCGGCCGACGACTTTCAGGACTTGCTTCCGAGATTAGAGAGGGAAGGGCGTAAATGGAGGAGAACGCAGGGATGAATGGGAGGCGGGTCATCTGTCTTCAGTCCTACTTTTGCCATTAGAAAGAGAAGATCGACAAGCACGACCGAGTACAATACAATACAATTACTCTCGCTTTTTTTTTTGTATCGTGAGCGAGTTCCGATAAGTCAAAACCTACCTGCGTATTTTCCGCGTAGCTACCGGCGTAGGGGGGAGTTCTTAATCTCCTTAACAACTACGCTACTGCCCCTACGATTCCAAAAGGGTCAAGCCTAGGAGCAAAGGCAGGAAAAATTACACACCTAGTACCTGCCACCCGGGGCGTTGCCCGTCTCACTACGCACAAAGTTCAGTGCAGACTGCCAAAGGGCCTCCTTATCCATAACCAAAAGAATCGTTCTCTGGCTGAACCCCAACCCAATTCATTCGCTCAGCAAGGGCCTCAAATGGAGAGGCAGAAGCGTGTACAGCGTTGTTTCCGATATCCGGAGGCGCATCCAAGTTCAAATTGCGCCATGAGTTCATGAAGAGACCTTGTTTGATGAGTAAATGAAGAGACCTTGTTGTTTGATGAGTAAATGAAGAAAATTTGTTTGATGAGTAAATGAAGAGACCTTGTTTGATGAGTAAATGAAGAGACCTTGTTTGGATTTGGTGAAGATTTGTGAGGTAATGCATACTTCTCGGAGAGCATGACTCTGCGTCCTCTGAGATTGTGCCACCACGTGCAAATAGTCTTCGTTAAAAAGTAACCAGAGTACCTCTCAAGCTGTCACTCGGCGCCGAAGCCGGATCCGTAGGTCCGAGGACTTTTCCTCTGAAATCTTCCCACGACAACTTTTTCGCATCCCACTGCACAATGAAGTAGTAGATACTGGCACCAGGCGCAACGTAGTTCTGTCGCATGCTCATGAAGAAACCGTTCATCACGTAGAGAGGAGGCTTACCAGGCATCGAATCCACGAGGCCGCAACAAGATTAGAAGGAGAAATTTGCTCTTGGAACGAGTTTAAGTACAAGACATTAGACAGACTCGTAGAGCCGTTCTTGGAACGAGTTTAAGTACAAGACATTAGACAGGCTAGTAGACTAGAGCCGTTGTTTGTACGAGAAAAAAAGCACCATGTAAATCTAATTTATTCATCCCGTATTTAGAAGTACCAGGAATTTCATTTCCATTTGCAATGAATTGCATTTCTACTACCAGCCACCATAATAGAATCCTCCTCCAAATTTCACCAATTTTCCTGCGTTCTTGCTCTTGGCCCATTCTGCATTGAGGGTCTCCGAATCCACGCCCCACTTCTCACATGCTTGCTTGGCATTCACAACTATTCCTCTTTTCAGCGCGTCGTCCCAGGGGAGACCTTTTTTTATGTTGGAGGATCAACGATGGTGAATGAGTTATTAAAAGTGCAACACAGGGGAGTACAAGTTGTATTTCCTGTTTAGAACAAGTTTAGTCAGAGCAGTGCAAGCCTAAAACGAATCAGAATCCTGAAATTAATTATACCAAATTTCTCCTTGAACTTCTCCTTGGGGACGTTCAAATCCTTGGGTTCTAGCAGTGTGGCTTTACTAGCAATGGCGTAGTAGTGATTGTCCACCAAGTTTTTTTCGTCGATGACTTTCCCACTGATTTCCCCTTCCTGCGTGATCTTCAGTCCTCGTGCGCGTAACTCATCCCTGACTGCGCGTCGCGCTTCTGGTGTTTGCGCATGCGGCTTGATGAAGACAAACGCTTCATTGGGGATCTCCTTCAGATTGCGAGGTGGCGCGAAAGGAACAAATAGACCGAGTGCAGCTAATGATGCAGCGGCTGCACCTAGAGCGAAAGGGATAGCGCCGCCGTCAGCCGAAGCATAGCCGTCTTGCTTGTAATTGTTGTAGTAGTTGTCGTTCATTCTATGCACGACGGCCGAACCACTTGGTGCGCAATTCCTTGAGGACCTCGAAGCTGCCGAGAATGTCCTGTGGATGCCCTGCCTGCTGGATCGCAGAGGCCGCATCTTCGATGCGACATGCCTCATCATCTTGTCTCCACCTCCTTTCAGTAGCTAGTTGTTAGGCTGTTAAGCTCTTGTTGAGTTCAGCAATTGAAGAAGATAATAGGTTTTCTATCGACCATCGAGAGCCGTTTTCGCTCAACAGTTTTCTCTCGTTTTCTCTCATCGTGAGTATCTACGGGAGCCTTCGGCGAACGTTCCTGCACTCGTTCGCGCCAGTGCTCGCAGCCAACGCTTCATCGTAGAAGTTCAGTCATTGTTCACTATTATGTACCGCATTCCAAATAATTTGGAAAACATGCTAAACAAGTCATGTGCAAAAATGCAAAATTGCATCATGTCGATAAGAGATTTGTGTTCTCAATCTGCTTTTCACGGAAAGCACCTTGCGCTTACCCAAAAGGAAATCCAAGGAAAATCGAAACGGATACGGACTCCTAAGTGGTCCTAACTCGAACTAGTACCAGCTGCAATAGAGGACAAGCTAGCACCTCCAGCATCCTCTCTGCCAGATTCAATCCACCTTGCTATGAAGAAGAAAATCAGGGAGCCGATAGATGACCCATACTGAATCAATTTCCCAGCTGTTGCCAGATTCCGGCTAGCGTCCCCCTCTTGTGCTCCTAGAATAGCCAGCAGACACACTTTCCCAGTTGTCAACAAGGCCATGCCGCTAATGGAGACAGTGACGAAGAGGTATTCCTCGAAGAAGGAAAAGGAGGATCTTCGGCTTTTCGTTTCTTCGTCTATCAATGCTCTGGCTGATACGCTCCACTGCATCAATGTGGAGAGGGAAGAACCTTGAATCTTCAGCGTGGTAGGTTCTTCCAGACCAAGCTGGGACATACTCGCTGTGACTTCGCCTGCTTCTTTTACTGTCTCCACGTCCCTGCTCTCCATGGCCATTGCTACGACAAGCACGCCGATCCCAAACCAAAAGAGATTCAGAGCTATCACCAGAGGCTTCATTCGCCAAATGAACTGGGCCAGTACTGCAGCCAGCGGAGTGAGCCATCCCGTCGTTGCCGTGATCAGGGGTGTTAGAAGCAGCCAATTTCTAAATGAAACCCTCCCCACCTCCCTCGTAGTACTTGACGTAAGTAAGCTACTGCCCTCATCCTCGTCGTGATCTGCATGATTTTTTGTGTCTGCTTCTGATATAATGACCATTCGTGATCACCGTAAAGCAAATTAACATGTACAAATTCAATTTCAGACGTGATCAGGCGTGTTAGAAGAGGACCTTATCTAGGCAATTCCTAAATCAAATTCAATTTCATTCACAACCAACCATAAGAAATACAGCCACATCTGCTCTCTCTTCACTCCATCTGCCATTAATCGACACGCGAAAATGGTCATGGAAAGGAACAGCCCGTTTTGAAACGACCCTGCGATGAAAATGACAAAAAACACGAGTTGCGTTTTAAAAGGGCGACGTGGTTCTTCCGGTGGTTCTTGCTGCGCCTCTCCATCAGCACCCTCAGTATTGTCCATCAACCGCGTAGCACTCAGCGCATGAGAATCTGCCAAGCCAACACGTCGGCTGACACTATTGGGGCTCACCGACAGTGATCTCGTAGTCGACGTTCTCGCATTTGCTTGCTCAGCATCATCACCTGTAGCCCTACTTGCCGCAGCTTTCACTGCTTTCCTCTCTAATATGAAGAATACTGGCAGGAACAGACCAACGTAAATGCCTGCGAAGATCAAGAAGTACACGGTGGGTGAGAAGCCGATCCAGCGTTGAAGGGTTGCGATCGCCGATATCAACGACGTAGCCCCAGTCGCTCCGCCGGACAGGAAGACGCAGCCAGATGGAATCGTTTTTTTGGACTCTACGATGTAAGGAGGAGTTAGAGAAAATGGACCTTCTCCAGAAGAACAAGACAAAACTACCAAAGAACGGAGAAGCAAAGGTCTTAAGACCACGGCGTGCGCACTCTGTCGTGGAATTATAGTTTGGTAGAATTCTACTTCCAGTACAACTTCTCTCTTTTTATTTTTTGATATTACGACGTTGCTCGTTGTCCATAGCTGCGAATGGGAATGCGAATCCTCACCATAAGATAAACGGCCAATAGGAGAAGTTGGTTAAACACGCAAGCGACGCCAGAGCCACGTAGCATCCGTAGAGTCCTATACTCGCAAAACTCGCCCCCTTCTGATGAATGACAAACTTATCCCAGCACAGCGCCATCGCGGCCAACGCTACCATTAGAGCTGTCCGTAATTCAGCTCCCAAGTGCATCCTTGAAAAGTACTATGGGAGAGTATTATTCCCTTAGGTGGATACTCCTCCATACGTAGTTCCAAGGATACGTCCAAAGATGTATTAGGTACAGCCTTAATACCACGTCGCCCAACAGGACGCATCTGATCGTCTTCCTCAGCAAAGGCAGGGACCGACCTGCCGGTCCCCGAAACATACACCCGAACACCAGTGCTGCTAGCATCCCGGATTGAGCGAGAAGGGTCAAATTGCCGGGTAGCGCGTCGCCTTCTGGTAGCTCTATGACTAGACGCCAGCATTCTGTGTAAATGCACAGAATCGGACACCACGCGGAAGCGCCCCAAATCGCGATCAGGGCTAAGCGAGTCCATTCACGCGGTTCTTGTTCCGAGGAAGTGCTCGCAGCTGTAGAGGAGTCTTGTGAACTAGGTGGCGACATGTCTTTTCTATTTTATCACGCGTCTATCACTTTTATACTCAGTACTCATATATTTCCTGTTTTGCACTCGCATACTTTCATCTTCACATCACCGTCCGTGGTTGTGCGTTTTTTTTTGCAGTTTCAACTGGGCGGGTCGTAAGCGAACAAATCGTTTAGACGTTGTACTTGTAGCTTCTCATGCCGCAGAGAAAGCAGTGGAGACTTTGCTCTTGTTCTTTTCATATGTAGGAAAGTGAGATTAGACAAAAAAAGACTGTGCATATTGTAATAAACTACTACATCCGGCCCCATCATGATATCATCAAATGGAGTTGGCACTTTTCACTGCTACACGCTGTGCACAGAGAAAGTACTAGGTACATTCATGTCCTCCTTTTCAATGTTGTACAGTCTTCTCCAATAACATGTCTGTGGTGCGTGGTCTACGTCTACAGCCGCTAAAGCGTCGTCTTATGACCTCGCAACTTGTGCGTCTAACCGTTGCGCATCTACAGACATGTGCGCTGACAGGACATCTGCTTGCTGTCGACTTCTGTTGATATCTCCCTGTAAGTGAGCGGGTGCCTTCATCGAAGCGGCCTGCGAGATCGGTTGGCCGACCTGGAAAATGTGATTGTGATAGGTTACGGAAATAATTCTCCGTTTTAGTTAGTACCAAGAAGTCGTAGTTTATTGTGTTGACACTACATCACGATGAGACACAGAGCTTATAAGAGATGACTGTTGCAATACCTGAGTATGCAGCCTCTGCTTATACGCCACCAAGTCGGGAAAGAAGCTCATACTGATATGCTCCGCAGCGCTCCAGACGATGTATATGAGATAGAGGAAGACTCCCAAATCTATCAGCATCCAAAATATTGCGAACGCGTCAGTGAAACCACAAACTAGTGAGGATCCCATACGCTGGAGGTCCTGTTGGTGCGGAAGTGGTGGGTCGTGGTTTTGTGAATATTACAGGTTATAAGAAGTTCCTGAGGCTTCAATGACGACGCGAATCTATTCGGCAAACTGCCTAAGATCTCCCTGACGACTTCTTGAGGTTTCAATATCACGCATCAATATTAAACCGAATGAATTCATCTCGGTCGTTCAACTTCTTGATGCAATCCATCAAGTGACTAGTACATCAAAACACAACATGGTTCAAAAAATCTTCAAAAATGTATACCAATGACACCACCGTCGAGCAGACGTCGCCGGAGAAGAGCATGAGAATGAAATAGAACATCATGAGGAACATCTGCGCTCCGAGGTAGTAGAAATATGCTCTCAGCTGCGACTCGACCCGGTAGACAGCACCGACTCCGGCGCTGATAATCAATGGAATGCCGATCAAACACCATGCTCCGTAGAGAACCTGAATGGGATGGGGCGATGCTTGAGAGCAGAAGGAGAGCAAAGTAGTGAGCAGAAGGAGAGCAAAGAAAGTAGGAGTAGTAGTAGTTGTTGAAAGATTTGTTTGAGTGAATGATTCAGAATGAAAAATTATCCAAGTGAGTATCTACTTAACGTGCTGAATCCTGGATTTAAACTTGAATAAATTAGCATAAAATCTAAAATTTAGGAAATCGAGGAACTTGAAATGTATAGAATCCTAAAATTTTGATTTATCTCATTTTGAGCAAATTCAAAGGAAAGAAAACGTATGCATCAAACTTCTGTATTTCGTTTTCTTTCAATGGTCACAGAGTCAGAAGTTCTAAAACACAACTTCACAAGAGGGAAAAACGAACCTAAAAAGCTGCCACTGAGAGAGTGGCTAAACAAAAAAAAATACCTGCGTTGCTGGTGGAATCTTTATCCCTGATATGGTGAGGATTTCGGTTGAGCTAACCAGGGACACCACGAAAATAGCTGATATGAGGTTCAACAGGCAAATCACCTCGACTCCGAAGAGCAGCGTGAAAACGCCACAGCAATTGCTCGCTGGTCTTATCATCCTGCGTCGGCCTTGGTGTACGGATCACCAAGTACAGTCCCGAGAGTGGTGTTACTGCTGCAACATGTTGTTGTTCTTGATCATGTTGGTTGTCCCGTTGTTCCTATTGAGATAACCTTTTTCCTTTCAAAAGATGGTCTACCAAAAGAAAAAACAAAGATTGGATATCGCTGGTAGAGATGTTGACCAATTCACGTTTACTCCTGCTTGCATGACAGTTTTCAATCGTCTTCGAAACTGAATACGCTGTGTAGCAGCAAAATTTTGTTTTTCGCTTTCTCTCAGCTTCACTCTTCGTCACACTTGCCGTCCACCTTGTGCACTCGGTGCGGCACGGCTGCAAGTGAGCAGGTCGTGTCTCCACTTATATATTATTGCTTGAGTAGTTGGAATACCAATACGCAAAGATATCATCCAGTGAATCCAATTTCTGTACAGGAATTGTTACATTGAAGATGGAATGTCATGTTGGTAAGAAGACTCAGTGATCGTAAATCCTGTCCAGCAAGAACTGTTCATCATCTTCGTCGTGCTTGTCAAGTATTCAACATGTACTTATACTCAATCGGATACTTCTAGTACTCACTATACGTCGCATACCAGCACGTGCACGGGTTACTATTCGTTCACTGTCCAAAAACAAATTACAACTACTGTGATAAGATTCTATTTTCTTTTTCCGAACTCAGCTTTCAACAGAGCTGCTTCTAAATTCAGCAGTCCTTGCTCGGGTCTTGCTTGAGTTTAATGGCCGGCTTGACCTTGTTCGTGCCTTTTGAATTCTCGACTCAGACCAGAAGAAGCCGTTGGTGTGCCGGACGTAGAGGCTGCGCCAGATAACGGATCGGCAGAGTTGTTGCTTCTGCCGTCTGGTTCTAGCTTAAAGAGCCTAGGAAATCGCGCGATGTGGCGCGGAACTTCGATGTGAAGAGGAGCATGATGGTGCTCATCTTGTGCGATGTGAGGAACAGAAGAACCAGCGGAAGTAGCTGTCAGGTGATCTGCTCCTCCGGTACCTCCTAGTCCTGCTGGCTCTGGCTGAAGAAGAGGATGATAGTTCAAAGACTCGTAGGTTCCTCTCCTCCTCTACCAATTCCGACACCTCGAGGATCATAGTTTGACTTCACAAAGTCTGCTAAATTTGTCGATGATCGTGGTACGAGCACAGGATTCGTTGGATTTCCTCCAACATTTCTATCTATGATAACTCGTCCACCTCCACCCCCAGCCCTACCCGTCAACATTGACCGCAAATCACTATCAGTCCTTGGTCGCCTACCCTCCAGGACTTCTCTTGTTTGATGCACTTTCTGCATACCATGATCGTGATCTAGCACATGTAACCCATGCTCCGCGGCAACACTTTGACGGGATATCACAGTAGACGAAGGAAGCGCGACACCAGAGGGTCTAGCATGGTGGATCAAATCTGCAGCAGACATAGGAAGCTTTACAGGTGAAGACAAGACTGAGTCAGGGCTGTTGTCGAGAGGAGCGAAAGAGTCATCTAGTTCATCAGCTATCTGTTGGTCAACTTGTGACGTTGAAGAGTCAGAGAGGGACCCTGCTGAAGCGTTGTCCTTGGCCTTACTAGTAGAGGAATCTTTTTTAGCCCTGTCAACACCGTATGCTACTTGTTCTTGATGTTGATGTTGTTCTAAAGATGATAGAATCGACAACCGATCTTGCGGAACAGCCTTCACAAATTGCCGTTGTTTAGTACTTCCATTTGATGTCTTCGAGTTCGATTTCGAGTTAGAAGTACTCGAAGAGGTAGAGTTGCTACTGCTTCTAGTATTTGGAGCGTTTCTTCCAAGGCCAAAGGTTGGAACGGCGTTCGTTCTAGGCGGATTTTCTGCATGTTTCTCTTCGCCTGACGATGGTGGTGACATGTCCACGCCCTCATCAGCAGGAAGTAGATCGTCTATGTTTAGCGCTCCTCGGAGATCTTTCTGCGACGGCGGAAGCTTACGACCTCTTCTTTCACCAGACTGATCCTCGGCAGCTTGGATGTGCCTAGCTGGTGGCATCAGCGAAGGAGAGGGTCCACTGTCACTAGCTCCGGTATAGAGCTGTGAAGAATCGTCCTGTTTCGGAGCTAGAAAGCCGACGAAAGTCCTCCGAGCCCGAGGACTCGAACTACCAGAAGATTGGCGAGGTATGACTTCATCTTCCGTGCTCTTAGTGATAGATGCGGCGGGCGCGGGAACGAGCTCTTTCGCCATACTATTACTAGTAGACGCTTGTTCTGGTGGAAGTGACTTCTTCTCATTTTCACGTGGTATGATATGTACGCGTTGTCTCAGAACTGGTAGAGGCTCCATCAGCTTCGTATCCTCTGCTCCGTTTGTATCCGACCATTCAGTCTCATTCTCTCCGCCAGCTTCTTTTTTAGTTTTTGTTTCCTTTATCTTCTTGTTAGCGTTCTTAGCGTTAGATACCCCGTCTACAACTTCTGTAGGTGAGTTTGGTCCTGAGGGGGTCTTTGCGCCTCTCGACTTCGCGACAAGAGGCGGACCGCGCCCCGTTGAAAATGTCTTAGCTATAGCAGCAGTGGCAGCTCCGGTTGTAGCAGCAGAAGGAGTTCCCTTTCTACCAGTAGATGTTGTACTCGCAGATGAGGCAACAGACGACCTAATTGCAGCTGAGGTGCGCGGCCGAGGTAAAATCCTGGATGGTGCCTGTTCTGAGGAAGTATCTTTTGAATTTGCTTGCTTAACCTTCATCTTGGTTTTTGATGTAGACGCAGCTGTTTTCGTTGCTGAAGTTGCAGATGTGGTTGTACAAGATTTAAGCGCTCCTGCAGCAGAGGAGAGCGCAGCAGCTGCGGCGCTTTTGGTAGTTGTAGAAGCTGACGACGTGGCATTTGCATTCCTCAAGGCATTTGCAACGATATTCATTGCAGTAGCTGCCGCCGATGGACTTGTGGTCGTTGAAGAGGTCGCCGCGGCACCAGCACGAGCAGTACCACTAAGACTAAAAGGGGACGGATTCTCATACTTGAAAAGAGCACTTGCACGTTGTGAAAGCGGCGGTCTCAGACCAGAGGCATTGGATCCCGCATCTGCTTCGGCTGCTGAGGAAGAAGAACTTGGGAGGCTACTTGGGTCTCCGCCTAAAACTATCTTGCCAAATGGACTCATAGTGAAGATAGGACGTGACGTTGCTGGTGCGGCATTGGATGTGGAAATAGATCCAGCAGATATTGGGGCAGGAGCCGCTTTCAAGGATGTGGAAGAAGAAGGGACAGACGTCGACGTGGTAGGTTTTTTGGGTGCCTCAACAACTGACGCTGCAGAGGGTTGTCGCTCGTGCAGCTGCACATCATTTGCGTCGTCAGTAACAGTATCTTTTGATTTCACCATCAAAGAAGTACCAGAAGACGACGTAGCCTGTTTTTCAGGTGGACGAGAGGCTGAGAAATTTGCAGTAGATGTATTTGAGGATGGAGAGTCGTGCAATCGGATTTCTTTGGAGTTCTTTTTTTCTTCAACAACGTAAGTCTTTCCACTTCCAAATCCATGCAACAACTTCTCCACCGCCGCATCTGCCACACGCTTCGCCTCGTTCGCACGTGCCAAGGTGTGAAAATCCAGAGTCTCAATGCCGTAAGGCGGACTCGCAGGTGACGTCGACTCTTGGACATCAGTAGGCTTCTGTTTACTACTCGACTTCGTCTCCTTCTCCTCTGGCGCTGGGGCTGCACGAAGAAGCAAATCGGCAAGAAAACTTGAGGCTACGGATGAAGCTGAAGCTCCATGGTCTCTAGTCTTGTTTGGCTCAGAGGTAGACACGCAGGTAGAAGATTTAGAAGATGTATGATCGAAAAACAGCATGGCACTTGCTTCTGTCGCAGCTGCTGCGACTTCGTCAGTGTTTTTGCTACTCTGCTTTGCGACCTGAGTTTCGAAATTTACAGCTTCAGTTTCCCGTTCTGTCTCTGGCTGCTTGTCCTCTTCACCTCCCTTTCGTCGTATTATCAAGTCATCCGGAAGAGTCGCTTTCTGTGATTCCTCCTCTCTCGTACCTTCTGATGTTACTGCAGCAATCAAATTCCAAGAGGGAACTGGTTCTGTTGTTGATACCTGTTGCTTCGTATTCGGCGGCTCTACTGGTGAAGTCACAATCTCTTCTAAGCGTTTGACAGCAGCTTGCATTCTCATGAGAAATTCAACAGTAGATTCTCCTCCGGCAGTGGTTGCCGGTAAAGCTGAAGATGGCAGTGAGGACTCGTCTGTTTTTACTTTATTGTTATTCATCACTGCGCCCGCGTCGAGCTTCGTGTTACTTTCATCAGTTGCAACTCCGTCCCTGGTTGCCGGATTGAAGTTGTATGAAGAAGGGTGGAGCCTTTTTTCCTGCGGCTCCTCTGATTCAAACGTCTTCTCTTTTCTTCCCGCCGCACCAGGACCTTCGTCTGCAGCTGCAGGTGGTAAACCACAATCCAGTTCACCATTACGAGACCCTGTAAGGCTTCTCATGATTGAGTCAAGATCCACACTGACGTGATGCGGTCCAACCCCTACAAGTTGCTTAGATGTATTCTGTGCGTTCCGTGATACTTCCTCGTCGACTTTCCTGCATTTCTGCACAATTTCACCAACTCTCTCTTGCATTTTCGAAGGACTTCTAGCACTGTCGAGCACTGCTTTACTACGAAACTTAGAAGAAGCCGCTCCTTCAGTTTCACTCCCTGAAGATGATGTGTGCTGCATAACGAAACTGGCATAGCTATCCACGATCTGCTTCAACGCTTTCTCTGTCCTCTGTAACTCATCATCCGCTAGTTTTGGAAATTGAAACCTGCCACTTGTCCGTGATTTATCGTGGGAGGATGTTCTACTCGACGTAGTCACGGTTTGGTTTTCTTCGTATTAGACCTAAGAGAAATCCATCTTGAAACGCATCTTAGAACCTTTTTCCCCTTGGAAACGGTCTCAGGATGCACGTGAAGATGGATTTCTTGTAGCCTTAATCGTAGTTGATCATGTTTTTCCATGATGATGACAGGGAACTGCTAGGAGCTCCTTGCTGCACCTGCATCTTCATCTTCGCCTGCTGCTCATCTTCTTCCAGTGATTTCTTGAAGTCTCGATGTATCTTCTCCTGTGTCTGCTTCAAGCGCTTGTCGATCCGATGCCAGCACAGAGAGAACAATGCCGATCCACTATCCTGGTACTTGCTGAGAGCAGCCAACTCGTCACGCAGTACCAAGACTTCTCTCTGGATTCGACTCAGTTCCCGAGAGCTACGATTAGACGAGGTCCTCGTGAGCAGGATGATGACGAAAGAGAGATTTGATGATCGTGATGAAGATCTTGATGCCAACAACTACGAGAGAGCAGAACCTAGATCTTCAACCAGGAACCATAATAACACTCGCATGCGTCCTGCTTTTGCTTTCCAGCACGCGCAACCGCAGCAACGTTGATTTCCTCTTTATCTCATTCTGCAAACTGCTCTCCAGATTGCGTCGATGTATCTCGATTCGGTCACGTGCTTTTTCTTCGAGCTGGGATTGCAATGTCGATCCATAGATCTTCGTAGACGAAGCAGATGTTGCTTGTGTGGTCGTTGTGGTTAGCATCTCGAATTCCTGTCCCATCATTTCCTCAGTTTCAGTCCTTAGAGTCTGAAGCCGCAAATCGAATGATTGAGCTAGGCTTTTCCATTCGGCTTGGATAGATGGGCTTTGCGAAGATGATGACGTTAAAGTTGACGAGAGGAGATTCTTGAGGGAGTACTTTTTCGCATGATCGTCTACTTCAGTCTTGATTTTGAATGTTGTCGGTGAAGAAATTGAAGGTACTAGATGATTCTCTTTCTCGCGATGATCATCATCTTGCGCAGCTGCCTGTTGTACGCCACCTCTTCTTTCGAGCAAAGCAATCTTCTTCTTGATCCTCTCTACTTTGTTCAGAAACATCTCCAGTCGCGCTCGTTTGTCGACCAACTCCGTTCGCAAGATCGGCAATGTCAGCGACATCCGATACATGTCTATCGCTCTTGCTTTCGCTTGATTTACAACCTCCGTCTGCGCCTGCACCTTAGCAGCAGCTGCACCACGAAAAGAGAGAGGTCCTTGGCGCTCTGTTCTTCCACTGGGCTGTGCAGGCGCGCCGTTACTAGATCCGGGAGAGTATTGTTCGTGCTTATCGTCCTCGTCTACCGAGAGCGGCCCCAGCAACATGTCGCCGTAGTCACCACGACCGTTCTTGTCTGTTTTGACGTGATTGACAGCTGTCAGGAGGTCTCCCACTTCTGTGCCACACTGCTTCACTTCTTCTTTGAGTTCTAGAAGGTCTTTTTTCAACTCAACACTTTCTTGTAGGAGTCCTTGATCAGTAGAAGCTCCTGCGGTGCTTGTGCTAGTAGTTCTAGCAGTACTATTTGTACCACTACTGCTCTTCAAACTCCTCCTATAGTAAAACGCGCTCCGGTCTTCTACTTCGCCCTCTAACAGAGTGATAACGTGCGAAAGCGTTTGCAAGTCCTCATCACATCGCTCGAGTTCAAGAAGTATTGCTGGCACAAGGTTCTGATCAGCCTCAAGTGGATTTACTTTCTTGTTCAGTGTTGTAGGTGCTGGTAGCGCTATCGGTGTAGATGGAGGTGATCCTGAACGCGCTGCCGGAGACGAACCACTTCTGCCTACGCGACCAGCAGCTCTCAATGAAGATGATGATCCTCCTGCTGTAGCAGTGTTTGAAGAAGTAGGCGCAACTCTCGCGGACGAAGTAGGCGCAATACCCGCTCCTATGTTCTTCCTGATACTTTGCAAGTATTTTGCCGAAGCGGGAGATGCCTGACTAGCTGAGAGAACTTTCAAAGAAGATGTCGACCGAGTTGAGTCCTTACTGCTTCTAGCTGAGGGCATTGGTTCCGCTACATCGTCACCAGTACTAGCAGTACCCCCTGGAGCAAATCTACGTGAGAAAAATGATGATGGGGAAGGTGACCTAGACTTGTCGTTCATCTGCAGCTCATCTTCCATCTTTGCTCGTCCGGCTAGTGCTACATTTCCATCATGATTATTCGTAGTTCGCATCCCTCGTACTCGTTTCTGCAGTCTCATGTTGATCCCGAGAGCGTTCAAAAACCCTGCTGCCGATTCTGTCGAAGGTTGTGTGTTTTGACATGCTGAGTACAAGGTTTCCGCTTGTCGCTCCAGAAGATCCAGTAGCCACGATGATTGATGTGCCAACAGGAGTACAGCTTGGGTCGTTTTCTCTCGCGTTAGCAAGTCACAACAGTCTTGATTCATTTCTACACACTCGCCCGCTGCTTTAAGGATATTCTCCAACGCTTGCCTGGATTGAAGTTCTTTCGTGTCCATGCTGTAGCTCTTTCGGCTGTGGCCGCTGCCCTGAGAGTGCTTGCTATCGATCCTTTCTAATGTCTTTTTGATCTCTGTACCGGCTTCGAGGATGATGCGTAGTTCCAAACGTTGTTCTTTAAACGCTCTAAGGATCCAATCGATGTCTGATGCATGATCTGGTGTAGGTGTAGTACTCGTCGTCAACATCGTATTACTACTGTCCTCCCAAGATGAAGATTGAGGTTGAGCAATACTACTTGATGCGCCTTGCTTTAACGCTGCAGCCCCCAGAGCCGCCGCAGCGCGGACACTCGGCGTAAACATTGGGAGCATGCTGGACAGATTCACTCCAGGAATCCTTGGCGCCATGATGGTATCAAACCGCGAATTCACTTTCGGTTGGAGGTTGAGCAAGTTGGTTGCAAAACTGGTCGTGTTGTTGGCACTCGCAGACGCAGAGGCAGGTAAAAGTAAAGACCTTTTAGTGGCCATAGACGCAACTCGTGGTGATTGAGTAGACGACAAGATTGAAGTACTTCCAAAGACGTCCATTGGAGACTGGCCCGATGTGCGACGTGGTGACGACGGACCAAAAGCGCGAGGCGTCAAACGGCTGAGAGGAGACCTGAAGATTATGGCAAGTTGATTATGGTGGGAATCTTCTTGGTCTTGGTGGTTGTACTGAGCGCAACCTCCAAAAAGGGAGGGTTGATCATGTTCCTACTTGACCCTCAACTTATCGGGCCAAGACCACTGCTGTCTACAGACATCTTTCGACAAACTTCGTCTACAACTTATCACAAACCAAGCAAGGCTCCTTAGTACCGTGCCCCCGCCGTCAATCCCGTCATGAGTGATGTCCTACTCGGACCTCCTGTAGTCGAGGATGTCGACGAGTACGAAGGCAAGAGGGGCCCTGAGTCCAAGGCAGCGAGCTTAGGCCCGAGCTGCTCCAACTGCAATGCTAGCTCTTGAATCCGTTTTTCTTTCTCGGCATTCTCGCGTTGGAGGCGCGCATAATCAGCGCTTCGAGACGCGGATAGACTGTCCATGGTTTTTTTACTTTGATCGTCTATTTCGACTTTTCTCTACATCACGTTGCAGTGTGCCTGATATTTCCTGAGCATATTTTCAGCGCCCTACAACTTCTTGTGCAGTTCATTTTCACTCTCGTGGCGATCATTATCTCGCTTATTCACACTCTACTCAGTACAACTCACTCGGAGGTACTACACACGAAAGAGTGGAGGGTGCGGGTGGCCGGCGCGCTTCCCGCTAAAAAGCATCTGGCCTGTCGGTATGACTCTTCATCTGCGAGTTGCATTAAAACTTCGCGTGCGTTACATCGATTTGATTTGCGTCTTCTTGCGTGCTCATCTCGTTTTTGTTTCAGAATGTGGCTATACGACCATCATCTCTTGTTCACATTGAGGATTCGTTTTCAATCATTTGTTAGGTGTCGTGAAGTGAAGAACTGCGTTAAAAATCTTTTTTCCTCAAAGGTTTCTCGAGACATATGATCTTTATTGCAATTCAGTTGAGTTGTACATCACTGGTTGGCTTGGTTCATTTTCATTAGATGTCTACAGCTGCTACTTGTTTTACTTGCTTCATAGAGTACTCGACGTCTACTTCATTGTTGTCGATTAATTCTCCCCTACCAGCTAAAACTTGGTCTGTATTGCAGTTTCGGAGCGTCGTCAGCGTCCCTCAGCACGTGGTTGCCATCTAATGGCTTGTCCGGATGAGGCGGTGGTGTATGGACACACTCACAGAGGTCTGCCAACTGCATGTCTTGTATCTTCGTGCGTTCCAAATCCATGATTTTTGGATCACTTTGTAGGTAATAGTCGAAATCTATGCCCTGTTTCTTCCGTTCGCCGCCAAAATTCGTCAACCACATTTCTAACTGTTGTTCTCTGATGGTCTTTCGAGAGGAGTGCTTCTGTTGGATTGTTGTTGGAGCTTGTTCTTGTACTAATCCGAGGCTATTCATTTGTGGAAGACCTCCCAACGATGGCATTGACCCACCGGGACCACTTCTCGGCACTTGCACATACAATCCTTGGGCCACGTCCTTCTTGAACATGCAGACTAGCTGTTCTGGCTTCATGTGGTGGATGACGTAGCTGCGGTTGTTCAGTGGTGCCCAGCAGTTATTGGGATGCGAAATTTCAGTGCAGCACTTAGCGTCCATAGCGAAATGCTCCTCCATCATGTCGTAAAGAGACACGGAGCTGAGGCGGGTATTAGATTGATTGATTGCTTGATGTGCCTGGCAAGAGGTCGTTGTTGGAAGATATCTATTTCTTCTTTTCTTCCTTTTTTGCTCCTTTTTTGCATGTGGTGTTGATGCAGCAGGGTACATCCTACATGGAGGTGAATCGACGTCGGTTATAGTTCAGTTTGTTTCTTCTAGCAAAAACCTACAAACAGTTGCAGAACTCAAAATCTTCGACAACATTCCTTCTCAATCATAACTCTCGTCACCAGCTGGTGCAAGTACAACCCGTAGCTCGCGTCTTCAACACGGATAGGTCGCTTCAATCGTTTCTTTCTGTCTTCTTCCACGAATCTGCGGACCAGATCCAGAGTGATCACGATTCCAGCACCACGAGCATAAGGGGGGAAGACGTCAGACGTAAATGTGTCGTCATCCAGAAAGTGCGCAGAGCCTGGATCCCGAATCACCTCACCACTGTAGTCAAACGCACCAAGGTAGAGCTGAGCTCTCTGCAGTTGGTTCAAACAGAGTTAGAACTTGACCACGTGGAAATAATTTAAGTTGACTATAACTTAAGAAGCTGAATAATTTAAGTTAGAAGTTGTCTTAAGCTATAAGTCGTGTATAGAGCTGGAGCTGCTCCTGGCACTCCATGTCACTGTTGTAAAACATGTTTAGTTTCCACATCTTCCCCATGACCTTCGTTCCATAAGTCTGAAAAAACTGCACTGGTCTCAAATAGATATCGTCATCTATCTTGAGAATGTAGCCGGCATCTGTATGATTCGCAACCCAGTGCCACATCTTCAAGCCTTGATTCCCGATGGGATACTCTGGAATCGCATCAACAAAGACGACATCTCGGAACAGTTCCGCTTCTCCCCTCAAAAGCCAGTCGGGGTCCTCGGCATCGCTGTCTTCAGACGATGAAAGGAGGGGGACGAGGGGATTGTCTTCGTCTGTGGGTGTGATCGTGATGTTTTTTCACTGTGATCTGAACAGACGCTAGTGTCGTGCCTGCCACCCTCGAGAAAAAGTTCAAAGTGATCAGAACCAATTAAGCACGAATGACAATGAGTTCATCTTCACGCAACTTCTACGCCATTCATAAACTCCCCACCCGATTGACGAAGAATTTGTACGTTACACGCAATGGCGTTTCGTCCCTCTGAGGGCGTTCCGCGATTGGCCCCACGCCTCTTGGAATATCATTCTCCAAGATTTTGAGCCATGTATCCCTCAACGCTTGCCTTCTATTGAAGTTCGGTTTTCCGCTCAAAATACCAATGAACGCGAACGGCGTCAATTGCGCTTGTTCTTGCTCGCGGCACACCATCATCGCTTGTTGGCGCAAGTTCTCCCGGAACGGCAGCCTATATCTGTAGAAGAAGAAGTCCTGCACAAGTTTCAAGCTACTCTGCATCACGTAAATGGCGTCTGCGTGGGCATCTTCAGTGAGGAATTTGTGCGCAGCCTGAGGCGTGAAACTAGGAAACCGGAACTTCGCAACGGCGTATTTGAAGTAGTAGCAGTAATCGAGAAAGTGCCGAAACAAAGGCTGTCCCGTCTGCTCGTCTTGCCACCAAATGAACGCAGGAACCACGCCATAAGCTATGCACTCCAGCAGTCGCGCACTCGGTATTTCGTTGTTGTCTTGGGCGAAGAGGATAGAAAACGTGTAGTTCTGGAAAGCGGGAAGCCGACTTTCAGGCGTGCCGAGATCAAAATAAACGTCGTCAGGAAAGTTTTCCTTGGCATCGGCAAGAAGAGAAAACATCAAGTCGTCCATGGGCTCTAATGCTGGAAACAAAAATTAGAGCTACCCACAACCCGCGGTCCCATGATGAATAGATCCCGCCAAAATACTCGCCCCAGTACTTGCCTCAGTAAAAAAGTCCGAGAATTCGGCAGGCACCACCAGCGCAGTATTTCAACGGAATCCACGTCCGTGAGGTCGGGTTCTCTGGAGCCTTAAAAAAACGACAATTTCCTTACGCCCATTTTCGCTTCCGTGAACGCTCTAGGGACATGAGGGAAATTTCGGTCATCCAAATGGTACAGAGGATGACTAGATTTGCCAAACGGCACCAAATCTGTGGCATCGGTGAAGGTAGCCCTGAAGTGCTGCAGTTGCAGCTGCTGACCCGTAGTAGGGTCGGTGAGAGGGTCTTTACTGGATAGGTAAAGGATTGGGCATGGCTGTGGAGCTTGTTCAGCTGCTAAGGATGCGTTGTTTCGGAAATAGATAGTCGGCTCATTGACATTGAACTCGGCTATTGCTTGCACTAAGCCGGTGATGGAGGCGAGGAGGAAGAATTTTGAGGTCAGAAGACGTCGGCGTAGCAGAGCTAGAGGCTTCGTCCACCTGCTCGTCGAGTAGTTTCTTCTTTGCGATGCAGCTGTCATTTTCTTTGCTGCTTCCTCCTGTTGATAGCTGTAAACGTCAGGACATGCATACGAGGTGGACGGGGACGCCGATAATCGCACACCAGTAACTGTGGTCCTCTGCGTAGCACACAGGACAGTGTCGAACCAATCGCGCAACCGCTGTGATGCCGTCCTGCAGCTAGAAGAAAGCAGGACTTCTGAGAAGAGCAGGAGCATGAGAAGCAAGTAAAGGACAGGCGCAAACAAGCGTCGTCTTCATCTCATCTTTGCATAGAAGACTGTCGTGAGCCACCAGCTGCTCAGCTTCTCTCGTTTTTACCCAAGATCAGTGGTAGGCGTAGACAGTTCCTCATTTTGATCGTCACATCAAACAAACCGACTGTCTGATCATTATGAACAGATTCGTTTCCATCACTGCGAGATGACGAGGTGTTTCAAGCCGAAAATTTGCGACACAAGCTTAGTATGATCAAGCCGCGGCGGAACACACGTGTTTGTGAGAACCGTTGAACGGAAAAGGAGAACGTCGTTCAAATCTTTTTGTAGTCGGAAAGATCAGTTGTAGTTTCCTTGGCGTGGTTAGGTATAGTTTGTTTTCCCATTGTTCAACATGATAGTATTGCTTACCTTTTTTTGTGTACATGTACATCTATACTGAAATTGATCATAATCTAGTCGGGTCGCCCATTGGTCCAATGATATATATATATATACATGCTGTCAGGTTGACGCTTACCCAATCCCAGTTCAAATTTTCAACGTTCGTCAATTACTGTTCATGTTCATGATAAGCTCCTGCGCAAACGTGTTTTACTAGGTAATAAATTGGATAGACTCGAGAAGTTCTACAACGAAGACTCAGCTTGCCCGGTGACTGCTTGAGCCTGTTCCTCCTTCTCCTCTACTACTCATCCTGATGATGTGAATCTATTCGGCAATCTGCCTAAGAGGTACTAAGTACTCTTCCTATTTGGTGGAGGTGTTTCGTCAAGAGTGTTCGCCCTGCTGCCTTTTTCCGCCACTACATACTCGGTCACGTGTCCGACAAAACTCAGTCGAAAACATACATAAAAACAAGGAATAACGCCGTAGATTACGCAGTTGTTTATGCCTTGGGACTGAAAATCGTTGAAGACTCGCAGGCCAGTCAGAAACCTGCCCCATTCAGTCAATGAGCGCTTTTTCACGAGAGCGAAGTAAGCTTCGTGTTGTTCTTGCTGCTCTTGAATAGTATAGGTACTCATGTCCAGCTTTGTGTTCATCAACGTGTTCATGTTCGACGTGTTCATCCGATCGTTGTTGACGACCATGATAGGGTTATTTCCCCCAGAGGAGCGCCCCAACGACGAAGCAGTTGTTTGCAGTGTATCAACATCAGTATTCGTGTGCGAAGCGGACAGAAGCCGTTGCGTAGCACTCCCATGAAGGGGATCTGACAAGAGTCCACTGCTCCTGATCTTCTCCTCAGCTTCTTTTTGCCGGACTAAAGAGGACGTCTCCTTGAGTTCCTCAGAGTCACCTACTTCTTCAAGAACCTGTTGGAACGTTGTGGAGGATGACGATGATGAAGATGATGAGAACGCTCTTTGCTGCTCTTGATCATGTCCTTTAGTACTGTAGTTCTGATCAGCAGGAGATGTAGTTGCAGCAATCCCAGCTCCTACCTGTTGTACGTTCGACGTCAAAGCCTGTTGTCGATTGTCATCGCTTGCACTAGTGCTCTTCTTCGATGAAGCATGTGAACTACCCTTGCTGGATCCTCCACCTTTGTGCAGCGTACTGATAGTGTTTTCTAACAACCTAGATGCCACGACCACTTCCGCGACTTCGCCTGCTGTGTTTGCTTTCTCCAGAATATTCGGCAGATTTCCGGATCGATCCTCGTCATCCATGAAAAGCTTCGTCTCGCCTATTACGTTGTTCATTGCATCTCGCTTTAGACTTACATGTTCCTGTTCACGAAAGATCCCGCGTTTACCGCACCTGGGACAGGAACCTTTTTTCTTGGCTTGCTTCTTTTCGTCCTTCGTGTTGTCCGCGGCTAAGTGGTAGACTCGGCAAAACTTCCCTTCCAATGTCGCACAAACCGCTTTTGCCGTGACAATCGCACTAGGGGTCAGGAAGATCACGGGTATGATCATGTGCAGAATGAACGCCGCAGCCGCTTGGCCTTTTGCACTGCTGTCTAGATGTGGGAAGTGGTAACCCGGTGAAAAAGCAAACAAGATTGTCCACGCGGTCCAGCCACCGCCTGCTTGCTCGGGAAGGTTCATAAAAGCAGCACTCAAGCTTACGAAGCAGATTAGCACGTTGATGAGCCCCAACAATATGACGATAGCGTACAGCGGAGTGAAAATCAACATGGTGACAATGTACAGTTCTAAACGAAAAAGTTGTAGATGCCCAGCCAAGGAGAGCTTGCAATTGCCGGCAAGTTTCATGTGTTGCAACATGAGGTAGGACCACTCGGTAAGGAAGTAGTAATGCCGCATGGCTTGACCAAATCGGGCGTTGATATGCGCATTGGGGGTGTCTTCAACGGCTTCCACGGTGTAACCTAGAGTTGGCAAATCAATGCAAACTGTCTGCATTCGGGAGGTTGCGCAACACGAGCCTGTTTTTCCTTGATCCTGAGAAGCAGTTGCCATTGAAGGGTCTTTACTCTTCATGTTCAGCGAGTTTGACGCTGGAGACAGCAGTGGTTTTTGTTCTGCACCTTCTTCAACACCTCCAAGATCTTCATCTCCTTCTCGTACAGCTCCTCCTCCTTCTTGTTCTCCCGACGTTTTATCAGTACTACTGGTCGCAGTGATGTTTTTATTCTTACCACATTCCCCTTCGTCCAGCCAAAAGCTTTCGCAAAAGCACTTCAAAAACATGTGATGGTCCTCGCAGATCAGGTCCACATCCCAGCCTTCGACTCTGCGCACCAGCTCGAGTGGTAGCGAATAGGTAGAGTGGATCATTTTCGGAAAGCACGGGTCGAACCATGTTCCGATCTCCACAATGTAGTGAGCATAGCTACTGGCTCGGACTAGGCCTGGGACTTTGTTCAAATTCCTGAATGGAAATACCGCACTCTGAAATGCGCGCCAACTACGATCCCTTGGAGAAATAGCGAGTGCGGTGCGTGCGAGTTCTGGGAAATAGTCCCTATGCAGGATACTATCAGCGTCGAGGATCGTGATAAACGTGCGGTTGGGATCGTAGTGAAAACGACCCTGCTGAGACGAGTTGTAGTCAACTTTGACAATTTTGTGCTGATCTTCTTCGTCGAACTCGAATGGGATAAACCGAACTCCCTTTTCACCCGAAGTCGGCTGGGGACTCCACAAAAATCCTCCGCTATTGGTGACAGCCTCACCCCGAGAAGCCCGTGGCGGATAGTTGTTGTTCCCGGAAGATCCTCCACAAAGAACGTTTTCAATCTTCAAGTACGCACTCTGTTGATTGCTGCTCTTCCCCGCCACTTCGTTCTTGAACTCTCCTGGAGCATGAAAATTCACGATGATGTCCACGAATTGTTCCTTGTGCTGCTCCACGAGTTCCTTCGCCTTTTCATTGTCCTCCTCACCAGCCCGTTGCTCCATAGCTAGGACTAAGACCAAGTGACCCTTTGCATACTCTCCTCCACGTGCAGCCGCTAGAGCATCTATTGTCTCCGACATCATTTCCTTGTCCTCCTTGTAATTGGGAATAATAGCGAAGTGCAGGACACCCTGTTGTGTCAGTTCGTCCTCCATCCGTTCCAATTCGGGGGTAAGTGCTACGAACTGGGATTCACGTAGAAGCTCCTCATCGTCTCCCAACCAAGGAGAAGGATCCTCCTCAGCACCATTTTTTGATGCTGCTCTATTAGACGAGCTGATGTCCGCAATTCATCATCTTTCAAGTAGTGCATGATAGATCCTTGAAAAGTATCTACTTATGGGCGGGAAGTATTGGAATTGGTTTTGTTCCCTTAGGTGGTGGATACTCCACCTCCATTTACGTTTGAAGGATGCTCTTGAAAGATGTATTAGGTCCTCGTACAGCCTTAACTCTAAGTTGTGCTGGAGAACCTCCCGCTATACTTGGTAGCTCTCCTGCTCCATCACCAGCTACTCCATCCACCTGACCAGCAGCCTCACCCTGTTGCATCTCATACTTTCTTTCTAATTTGTCACAATTCCGCATCAGTGTACCAGTTGCAAACCACGCATAAATACTCGTATAAGCCATCCACAAGAGCATGTAGCAAGCCAATGTTACTGCGGGAATGTAGAAGGCTAGGGTATGCGCCACATTCAGTCTGGCTAATAGCAGCAATAGGATGTACATGAGCAGCAAGGAGAGGAGCAAGATGAGCGGAACATGCTGAACGAAATTGCTGGCGCAGTCTGTCTTCCGGTTCGACAGCGAGATGTCCCGCTGAAGAGGGCGGAGTGGAGACAACGATGCTCTTGCTGGATCTGCCATCGTATCTTCAAAACGTTTTGCTTTTGTCAGTTACAGTCTCGTTAGCACAAGGTAAGCTTAAGCGTGTGTGTGCTTTAAATGTTAATGTACAACTTATTGTTATTTTTATCCTCGTGGTCATTAAAGATACGTGGAGGAGTTGCAATCATGAAGGCGAGGTAAGCCTAAGCGCCCCTTCTCACACCTTCGAACACGAAGATAATTATTGTTCGGGCAACCACTCATAATCAAGAGGATGAGGCACGGGGAGCGATGGGGCGCAATTACTAAAGATGAATCGAAGTCCTGCAAAGACAATGATGAAGATTGTGTTGATATGAGCTTGATATGAGCATGGAGTAGAAGTAGATGAGGTTGAGGTTGTAGGTGAAAGAAGCAATATTGAGTCAAGGAGTGCAACTTCAACAGGTTCAAATAACGATATCAAGAAAACTACATCTCTCTCAACAGAATGCAAGACTGCGTCTTCATTATTAGTATTACAATCTCTCTCTTTAACAGAAGATTTCTTCACAACTCGATTGCCACATTTTCATGGGGTCTTCTCTATGCATGATTCGCTCCATAATCATCTCATCAAAAACAGAAGCCTGTGCGCGTGCTCGGTTCGCACGTAATATATCATGATCACCTCAAATACACATTGCTCTTCATTATGATCATTCAACTCAGAGACAGAAAGGGAATGCTCTCGCTCGATAAATACATTTGCTTGGAACTTATCGACGCACATGCATATACGAAATTCAAAAGCCAAGCGAGCAGCGTGAACAGAGGTAATACCCCCGAAAAGCATTGCAGGAGGCACTTCATAACGTGCTCTATTCTTCTACATCTACATCTACTTGGTCACGACCACGATCAACAAATGACTTCCTTTTCAACGACTTGTCTTCAACACAACTAAAGTCTTTTCTTCTGTGCACTTTTACCTGAGCCAATACCAGAGAGCAGAGCACTTACTAAGTCTTCGCCTAGACTCGACGTCGTTCCTCCTGATAAACCTAATGGTGATGTAGTACTAGTTGATGCTTGTGTGTCTGTGTCTCCAACGTCTACTTGTATGCCGAACGAAGCTTCTGCCTTCTGGTGCTGGCAAGACGAAGTCGTAGTCGGTGTAGGTCTGCTCTGACGCTGCGGTGGAGCGCCTGAGACCATGCGGCTGCGCATATCAGCGGTTGTACTTGGATTTTTTGGAAACGCTGGAAGCGTTCTGATCGTCCTTCCCGCTTGTTGAGCAGTCTCAGCTCTCGCTGTGCCTGGAGTATCCTTCCTTAGCCGTTCTTTTTCTTCGCGTATCACGTCTGCTTCGTATTGTTCGCGCTTTTTGAGGAACTTCTCTGGTGTCGCGCGATCTCCTCTGAGGACGCCGATGTTGAGACACAGGAACGACAAGGCGGCTCCTCCGTAGCATACAAAGCCACCGAGCGGAGAGAGGAAAAGAGAATGAAAACGGAGGGATAGAAGATGAAGAGTAGGGTAGGGGATCAAGCTGGTCGGGAAATAAAGGACTGATATTCTAGTATAGTAACATGCTCTATGTAACTCCCTATCATGATCCCATCTTACGTCAAAGCCGGTTCTTCTCCAAGCTGCCCTTCTCTCTGCCTGGCTGCGACATCAAACGCTATCGGCACGCAAAAGGCCATTGCGGTCATCGACATCGCTACATGAACAGGCTTGAGCTGTGTTTGCCCAGTTGACGCGACGTCGTCGACTTTCATGCATAGCCCTTTGAGTATCCCATGGCCAAAACTGCGTGGGAGAGACAGGATCGTTTGTAGAGCGTAGAGAACGACGAATGAAGACTGGATGACGATATCCTTGTGACGGTCTTTGGCGAGTGGACTGAACATCAAACTTGTTTTACTAGAAAGGGTCGTAGTGGCAATTGGTAGCAGGTCCTGCTTCACCTGGCCCAATAACGGGATCCCAACGAAGAGCAACAAAGCCCACACAGCTTCCTCTGGTAGTGGTAAGGCGTCCCGTGGTGTGGATAAAACTGAAGAGGAAGTCGGGCCACCGGTTTTGGCGCCGTCAGTGATCGTCCTCGTCGAAGCAACTAAAATGATGGAAAGAAACGACACACAGACCAGAAGCAACACTAACGTTGCTGTGCTGGGTAACTGACTGGCGAGATCCACCAGGGCATCGATGTATGCGTCCAAAAACGCGAAGATTCCACTGTACACACCGAGGCCTCCAAGTCCCACATAGAGATCCAAAATCGAGCTGACGAAGCGAGACGCGAATACACCACACTGAGCCAGAACAAAGCGAAATCCATAAATATTTGGAGTAGTTGTCCTGCGAAGATGATCTCCTTCATTGTTATGCGTCACAGCATCAAATAGGATACGGAAAGAGAGAAGCAAACTTGCGGTTATCCACAGCCTGAGATCTCGATCTTCGTTCTTCGAGTTCTCTCGATTCGAACTCGCAAACGGGTCCTTTTCTGAGTGGATGGCGCAAAAGAGGAACAGGTACCAACCACGCTTGCAAGTTGCCAGGAAGAAGCAGGAAGGACGCAACCACGAATCAAGAAGCATCTTTGTCAGGATTGCTTTCGTTGTATCTGCTTGGCTTTGGCAAGAACTTAATTTTTTGCCGCAAACAGATCCAGGCAGCCTTGCAGGAAAAATTTTAAAACGACAGCGCTATTAAGCTGTAGGTCATTCCTAACCCGTTACAACAAGATGGCAGAAGTTTAGCGCCATGATATCTCGTTAACTTTTCTTGTGATCTTTTGCCGCGATGGGTGTGACTCATGCTCCAGGTCGGAGAGGGTAGTACACGATGCTCTCCTCTCACTTAATTGTGAGGGTCTCGCTTTGAAGCAACAGCTCTTGTCTTTCGCGAACGGCGTCAGGATCATGTTCGGTCGTGGTCGCACTATGAGATACCAGCACGATCGAAGGTAATTATCCTCAAACGTCAAACGTCAACATTATCATCAAGTTCAATTGCAACTGCAAGAGTGTCTTCTCAAAAATAAGTGTATGTTTTCATCTCATCCGTTTTCAAAACAACTGCTGGAAAGTATAGTTCATTTCAAAATCATCATACTAGGTATTGGTATGACAAAAAGAACTTCAACTTGTTAGCCTCGTTAAATATTTGATGCATCAGAATGAGTGTGTCCTCGAAAAAGTGATACCTTCAAAATAACTTGTGACTGCAAGCAAGTAGACTATGACTACAACTACTAGGTAAAGATTCAGAGTAGCCCTACTAGGGTCTACTTCTACTCAAATCTATTGACCACACATACTGTGAATGCTCATCTACTTCCTCCTCCTTCTCGACTTCCCTGACTTCCCTGTGACCTCTGCGACTTCCTCGAGCCTCTTTGTGCCGCATCCACAACATCAACACTCGTATCACTTTCATCATCATCCAGGTTGAAACGCATAGTATCTGGAGCCTCGTCAACCATGCGTCGTATTCGATCGGGGTTTGCACCTGTTGACAAGTTGTACTGTTGTAACACGGGTGGGGGTCAGTATTAAATTGTAGTTGTGAAGATTTATCAGAAGAAGTAGCATGTGAAGATTTATCAGAAAAGCAAGCAACGAAGTTCAGAGAGTACATCTACTACCTAAGGGTGTTGATCTAAACCCAAAACAGAAATAGCGATATCATCGAAAAGGAGAACGTTCAAGTACTTCTCATATTTCCGCAAACGGTGCATAGGATGCAGACGATGATCAGCACTACGGGGACAGCTATGATCACGATGAGCATCGTCATTGACACTTCATAACCGAATATCTCCATTGTATCACTCGCCTCCTCTCCCGCTTTCTCCGGGGTGGCAGGAGTGGCTTCCTTTGATGGTGAAGATGGTGTTGATGCGGAGGGGGTTGATGCGGCAGGTGTTGATGCAGAAGGTGGGGTGGCAGGTTGTTGTTGCTGTTGTTGTGGGGTGGTGCCTGCTGGGGTAGCTGGGCTCTGTGCTGGAGGTGCTGGTTGCTGTGGGGTGGCTGTATTTCCGCCTTGTGGTTGTGCTGGTGTGGTGGCGGTACTAGTTGCAGCAGATGCTGTACTAGGAGCAAGAGGCGCGACAGCTGTCGGGGCCGCTGCTCCTGCACCTGATGTAGCGGCGGTCACGGGATTTTGCTGCACTACTGGAGCCGCAGCCGCTGCAGCTTGTGCCGCATCAGGTGGAGGTACCGCTGCTGACGCACCCACTTGTGGTGCAGCTCCAGGCACGGCCGCTAGTGGCTGTTGTCCGGGTGGTGGACCAGCAACTTCAGCAGCACTAGGTTGTTGTAGGGATTCTAGGTTATTCGCAACACCTCCTATTATTGGCACCTTTGGGCCAAATGCGACCGGCGCTCCTGCAGGCACTGGTAGAGGTGTTTGCTCTGGCGCTACAGCTGCAGCATCACCTGTCGATGGAAGTGAGATAATGCATCGTCTAAGTACTTCTCAGGTAGAATCATGTCATGGTAAGAATTGGTGTTCTATCAACAACAATATCGTGACGCGGAAGTAGATGTATACCCGCTGCTGGAGCAGGAGGCTGATTTGGATTCACGGCTGGAGCTACTCCTGCCGGAATCGGCGCCGCCGCGGCTTGGGCGGCGGGTGCTGCTGCTTGTGCCTGTGCCGCCTGGTCCGCTTTTTCTAAGAGGTTCACGCTAGAATCCCCGGAAGCGGGTATTGCGCCAGCTGTTGCGTTGTTGTAGATGGTGAGATCTCAGTCAAACTATACACGGTGGACGAGAATATTGATTTTGATTCTGATTGAATGATGTTGTTCTTATGATTTTCTTTTTCTATTCATCATCATCATCTCCATCTGCCTATTCAAGATAGAAATACTTGCTTCGTAGACATAGCTCTTTCTTGCTTCGCTATCTTGCTCGGTGCTGGACCATGCCTTCTGCTCATCTGCTTCCAACTTGTCTACGTATCCAGCCATCTGCTCAAAACTAGCGTCGTGCTTCTCCCCTTCCGACGTAGCAGGTTCTGCTTCTCTTCTCAGCATTCGATGCTGATGCATTCTAGCTGCTACGCGCATGATCGGGTGAAGGGCGACGAAGGTCGCGAGGACGCGTCGTCCGGGATGTCGTGGGAGGACACGACATCCACGGCGACTCGTCCTTCTCAGAGAGGAGCCTGACATTTGATCTAGTCGGACGGTAAAGGAGGGCGTAGCTGCGTGGGTAGGATCTTTAGGTCTTTTTGTGAGAAAAATTGCTTTTTACGCATGTAGTATTTACTTACTTGGCTCATTTTGTATGTGTTTGAGTGATTGTGCATAACAGCGATGACGTTGTTTTGCGAGAAGTCGAGGATCCTTCCGTCTGCTCGTCCTTTTTTGAAACGCTTCATCGACAACGAGTCCCATTGCCCGACCGCGACGACCCAGACACTCGCCCCCGATTTTCATAGAAAACTGACTTTTCTATTGCTGCACATGAGCTTAGGTTAGGTTAGGTGTTGGTCCACTAGATAAACCAGCAGACTTCAGTGGCTACTGAGGAGCCAAAAACCACCCTAGTATTTACCTTTCGCGCGAACGAAAACGAATGTCTCAATTGATATTTCTTGAAATCTGTTTCATTACCACGATAGGGTCAGGGATGATGAGGTTCTCTGGGGGGATTCTTATTTGTATACATCGGGCAGGCGTTAGGGCTTGGGCTACTCCTACTATGATACAGCAGGGTCAGTCGCGCTCGCGGTGGCATAGTTCTATTACCTATTGCGTCTGTTTATGTTGAATGTGCTGATTCGGTGAATTTCCCTGGTAAACATGTACAACGATACGATTTCTCCGATGCACATATAATTAGCTATGGAAAATGCTCGATGACATATTGTGATGGTCGATATGGATTCTACGTCATTGTTCTACTTTTCAATATTTCTAGGAAGATTGTGTCTGTAGTAGTAGTACTTACGTGATTTCTGTCTCTTCATAACTTTACAATTGCAGGAGAATCTAGTGTGATATAATTTCCGTCTACGTTACGTTATGGTGATGATCTGCAATCGGTGGTGTGTCTGAATCGGTGTGGTTTGATCTACTTGTATTGGTTTAATCTATTTGCTGACCTTTCATGATGTGCCGCAACTACTGCTCGCATTATGCTCTACAACTCACGTTCTTGTTGTCTACTGCGTAAACTTCTTCTCATGTTCTAGTCGTGTTTGTGTATGTTGTTCGGCTATGCTTGATCTGGACCATACTCGTTGTGAAGTTTCTTAAATTACACTATGCAGTCCTACTTCTAATGTTATTGCGTCTATCTAATGATGTTATTCATTCATTCCAGTCTTAGAAATCGTCTACCCATCTTCTTATGCCCCAGTACTCCCATCTACCGTCAATGACCAGCTTTCCTCTCCAAGACGACGACGGCGATCGGAGCGCGATTCGTTTACCATAGCTGGCAAAACTTCGACTCGCGAGTGTTGGATCAATTTGCCACCTCGACTCTTCGGTTGTTCGTGGACACGTGTTCGCCGCACACTCGTCTTCCTCTCCGAGTCTTCGCGAGTGGCACGTCCGGCGACGACCATGCTGTTACAGTATTGAGTATATTTGGATTTTTTTCTTTTTTTTTTTGGGAGGATGGAAGAAGTGCATGTTCTTGCGCAAGTGTAAGCAGTTACTTGCTTGTGATTGTGTCGGAGAAAAGTTAATATGTTGGTAGGTAGTTGAAGCTGGTAATTCCCTTTGGTACGAGGACTACATTCCAGGAGGCACATAATTAAAAGAATCAATAAAGGCAAAAAAAATATTGTAAGTTGTACAAGTAAGTAGTACCTTCCAGTTCCAGTCCTTTTCTTCGCAGGTACCTCTACTACAGTCATTGGAAAATTTTCTCGCATTGTCACGAGCTTGGCGGATAGGAGCTCGTCTTCAGGGCTTTCGACCTGGAGCAGCTGCCGATAAGTAGCGTTCTGACGGATATCAAAGACCACACTCATCCAAGTTTTCACGTGCTCTTCGTATCGGACAAGGCCTTCAACTGGTTCGCAGGCGGCGAGCAGACTGTGTATTTTTTGATGTGAGAGTGCTGGGGAAGGTAAAAGAGCCTTTATCGTTATTCTGCGTTGGTCTTGGTTCACAATCAAAAGAAAGCTAGAGGACTTACAACATCTGCATCTTCATTGTGACTGATTTATTGCAGAAATTTCACCTTGTTCAGTCACCGTTACCACCACAGTTACAGAAGTTTTTAAACTACCCACACTTCTCCGTATACAGCAATCCTCCTTCGTCGCAATAGTTGTCCCAATCTCCCAAAATAGTCTGCGCAATCTGAGGCATTTCCAACAGGCCAGTTCGTTCCGAGTCCACTACCGTAAACGAAGCAAGCAAGGCCCTCTCCACCTGATCTTGATTGTCACGCAAATGGATGGCAGCTTTTGCTCCGCCAGATTGGTCTTCGGGAGACGCTCCGCCAGATTGGTCTTTCGGCGAAGCGCCAGAGAAAGCTTGTAGTTCTTCCGAGTATTAGAGAAGAAGGAGGAGGTGGGGAAGATGAACTTAATCTGTATTTGTAGTAGTTCTAGTCACAATGGTTACTAGTTGTAGTTGTGAAATTTTAAGTCTAAACGAATAAGTAATTTGAATTCAACGATCACTAGGAGATAAAAATGCAGTTTAAATTCATTGTGATGTTCCTTCTCCATAAATCTCTTTCCTCTTCCTTTCTGCTTCGACTTCCATCTGCTGTTCGATACCATCGTTGTACACCTGATGCGCGTCGTGCCAGGTGTTGATACACGACAAAACGATCAGACTTGCGAGATCGACGTCAGTGTAGCCCTTCGGCACTCGATGTCCCACCGCTGGCGGCAACACGCATCCCAACAAAAAGATCTCAAATGACGATAGCCACACCATTTTACGTTTGAGCAGGGGGTTGAGAATTTTTTCGCGGAAGACGTGCAAGGGTACATTTGCAGGCATGCGTTCTTGCCTGGCTAAGGCGCACATGGATTTGCGCATCTCCATAATCATAATGTTGCCTGGGAAATTAACAGCCCTAGCTGCACGAATCTCGGAGAGATTGTCCTTGAAAACGGTGAAGTTGATGAACATTGCCGGTTTCTTCTTCGTTTGGCCGTCGGAGGTTGTGGTGCCGCCGAATGTGACACCTGATGGTGCTGATTGTTGTGTTGATTGAGTTTGAGGACGGAACATCAAACAAAGACAACCAAAATTTCTATCTCCTCGTATCAAAAGATCCATGAGTAGAAGTACTTCCTCCAGCTCCATCTCCCGGAGACGGTGCTTCTGGCAGGTTGATCGTGCTCTTGCGTTTCATCGGTGGCGCATTGATGTCCACTGCATTCGATTCTGCCAATTCAGCTGGCGTCCGGAACAAAACTCGCATCGGCATCACCTGCATCAGCAAAGATTTTTCAGACTCGGAGATCCTCGTATGTAGAGAATCGAGCACTCTTCGCAAAGTCGCACGTTTTAGCAACTCTGGATGGCTCGCTTCAGCGAAGGGTTCGCACTTCTTCTGGACTAGATCATGGAGAGTGTTCACTTCATAGTTCTGGACGAAAGCGACCATCTCCTGAACGCGTTCCACAACGTGCCAATCCTGCTCTGGCGCTGTGCCGGTAGTTCCACCCCCTTCACTACAATTAGCGCTCACCCTAATCCATCGCGGGATCGATTCATCAAGATGATCTTGGGCCTATTTTATTCCCCTTTTTACGTGACAGGAGGTCTAAGAAGATGCTTCAGGTTCAGAAGATGGATTAGGATAAGTAAGCCTTAATATTACCGCTCACGTGGGCTTGACCATGCTCAGGGATCGGGAGCATGTAGTTCCCTGATTGCTGGTTGCCGATGGCGCCTGAAAAACTTTATAGTAGAGGAGAGGTGTTAGATGAGATCACGCCTTGTTGTGGGACGGTTGCAAAGGGCTGCACCGCTGTACGAATGTAAACTTAAAGTACTTATAGAAGAAGTTGTTGTGTGTTGTGACCTTTTTGAAGATTTTGGATCATCTAGTAGAAGTACAGCAGTAGAACATCTGTACAGCAACAAAGTTACCTGCATTCAAAGCCATCGCCAGCTCCGAAGGTGGCGACTCCAAACTTTGGTTTAGTGCTTCCGTTGCACTGGATGACGGCGCTCTCATCTCAGTGATCAACCTGGGATATCGAGCCATTCCGTCTGCGTCGACTCTGTCCTCCAAACGCGCCATAAGGACCGTGATGTCCCACTTCGTCAGGAGGCCGCTTTGGTTAGAAGAGAGGGATTGCTTCTGCGGCTGTCCATCATGCTAGATAATTGCTCCTAGAAATAGAGTCATTTCATCACTCCCTGCTCGATGAAAACGAATAAGCAGCTAGTGGTATCCCCGAATACAACAATCTCCTGTAAGTATGTCTAGCACAGTGTTAACTTTGGAGCAAAACACTGCTTCCAGCATGCGAATCAGTATGTCTATCAGTCTTAACTTTCGAGCAAAACACTGCTTCCAACGTGCGAATCACGTCACGAATCGGCAGAACGCCTTCGCTATCTTCATCCGCAGCCGCTAGGACTTGAAACAGCAGATCTTGAAACTCGTCAGTTGGGATGTTCTCCAACTTCCTAAGAGGTTCCAAGGGATCCGGTACCACACCACTGCCATTCCCATGTGCTTCAGAGTGTTCACTGCCCGCCTGAGACACGTTGACGGTCACCCTCAAATGATCCCTTAGACTGCCTCGATGATCACCTGGAGAGCTTCCTGGCGAAAGGGCTGGACCACGAGAACTGCTCGGACTTCCATGGGGTCCAGGACTCGTTGCGGCCGACGGTGCCTTACTCCCCTTCATGCTTGCTGTGCCATGTTGATGACCACGGTGAGCATGATGTTGAGCTCCTTGTTGTATTTAGAACTTATAATACAGGACATACTCATCTTGAAAAGCATCTTGGACGCGTTGAAGAACGTGTAGTAACAGTGTCGTTAGTGTTAGTAGCGGGTAGTTCACGACCTTCAAAAATGCGTGGTCCTATAAGATGAAGTACGCTAGAAGCCTTAATGTGTCTTCGCTTCTGCTTCGAGCATCGCTGGTGTGGAGTAATCAGGCGATGGACGACCTGGAAGACCGTGGTAGGACGTTGTTACCGGATTATGCGCACCTCGCTTGTCCACTCTTGGGTCTTTTGCGCAATCGAGAAAGTGCATGCGGTGCACAGCGTAAACGGTATCGCCTTCTTGGTGCAGTATAAGGCCGTCTTGCGTCTCCAAGGTTGGCTGGTCGAGATCGCCCATTTCTGTAGTATTTCGTTTTCTGGGGCTCTGCTCCTTGGATGACACTTGGGGTGGATTAGAGAAAGAGTTGATGATCAGGTAAGGTAAGATTTGTAATCTTCTTTCACGTACATATGAATCCACTTAATAACCACATTAGAGTAATTTCTTTAAGCTTGTTGTCATAACTCCATCCCCCTCGTCATCCGGAGAAGCCCCAGAGTTCTGCTTCCCTGAGCCGCCGCTGCTCGGAGATCGAGGCAGTAGTGCACCTGCCCTGATCTTGGAAACCAATTCAGGCTCTTTTTCCGCCAAAGCCTCGAGATTCATTTTCTCTTTGATCACCACTTGTTGTTGTTCCGAAACATCCATCATTTTTTGCTTCATTGGGAGTTAGAGTGTGGACTCGAGGTTGAGACATGCGATAGTGAGAGGATACTGATCCATTGAAGACAGTGATAACTCTTACAGTTACATTAGCATTACTCACTCCACCTCCAGTAGTCCTCATCATAATTGATCCCCGTCGCTGCGTTCATTGCCATCACGGTTGCTAGTCGTTTTACGTCTGATGTCGTCAGTCGCATTGTTTGTGTGTCAAGCAAGAATGTCACTTGCTCAGTGTCGCCGTCTGCTGATTCGTCAACCGGCAAGATCTCCACTGCGCCACTGATCTGAACAGGTGGAACTGGATTTTCGCAGGCAATTTGTTTGTGTGAGAAGACAACTGAAGCAGTTTTCTTCTTGGCATCCGGGTTTTCTTCTTCGATGGGCATGACGGCAACAGCGAGACTTTTGGACTGAGCAGCCGCCTCAAGGGCGGCTGTCACGTCAGCAAGACTGATACGGATGCCAGGCATCGTGATGATTCTCAATTTGATGATTTTATGGGGTCAATGTTAGAAGCGAATCTTCATAATGTCCTACACAGGAGTTGGGAGCAGGGATTTGAAATCTATCTTGTCGTTGTGTGTGTGTGTATATGCAAATGAAGTGAAGGAGATTTTGGAGGACCTACTTCTCGTGGTCGCTGGAGATAAAGGTAATGTCTAAGACAGACATTGACCTACCTTTTTTGATTGGGTGAGAATGCAAATTCAATCCGATGGAAAATGGTATGTCGAACAAGCCAATGTAGTCTGCCATGCGCTTTAAAAACTTTATTAACTTCGCCTAAATCTACTAAGGGCGGGCTTGATGAAGGGCAACGGTGCGGGTTGAGAGGCGGGTCATACCAGGTCTGTCGTACAGAATATTGCTGTCGTGTTTGATTGGCGAGATATACGTTTTTCTACCGATTCGAAACGACAAGATTATACCCACAGGAGCCCCCACTCTCGTGTTTACCGAATAGCATCACTATTCTACTCTCTAACTCCATCCTTGTGCAACGAACACACAACATGTCGACCTCCTGGTATTCCTCTTCCGAAGACTCGTCTGCATCATCTGTGCGTTGGCTTTGATGCCCCTACTACGTATAATCATAAGTTATCAGATAACTCCTCACCATTTCATCCTTGTTTGAGCTTCGGCATCATTGGTTGCCCCAGAACGCTCTGGCCTGCGTAGAACTGCGCATGTTCCCTCGCAGCCCGTGCGAACATGTCTTCAGTCGGTAGTGCCAGAACCAGACTCTTCTTCTTAGCTTCCATATTCCCCTTATCTCCTGATATCAAGTGATGCTGCTCCGTTCCCCTGTACCTGCTCTGCGGATGCCCTACGGTGATGACGACTTCGCCACCTTGGTTGCCATTCAAAAGTCCATCGTGGATAGCAGCAGCGCAAATCTTGGAATGCTCAGAATAAACGCCAGTGCCGTGTAAATCGGCGGCGACGTCACCGCCGTTTGAGCCGACGCACTTGGCAGGACATCTTCCCATCACGGTGGTGCCGACGGGACCTTTGCTCAGCTTTGTGTTTTCAAGAGTAGAATTGCAGTCCAAATCCAAGCGGACAAACGGCGCAGGATCCGGTGCAGGGGGTAGCTCCTTAGTCGCCTTCCCACTCGGATCACCACCAAATCCGGCGCATGAGATAACCAAATTATTCTTCGGTGATGGATGCTTGCCGGGTGGCACTGAGTGGAGGGTAGTTAATTGACCGACTGAAAAAATCGATCAAAGACCAAACTACCGTATTAAACAATGTTGACGGGTTATGATCATCAAAATGGCCTGTTCAACATTATCATAAGTAGTAGTGTTTTGTTTGAAGGGCTAAACCTAAGGGTACTAGATGAAGCGGGAAAACTAACCGGGCGTTTATCTTTATTCCGAGTAGTATAGTAAGAAGTAGTAGGAGTGAAGAAAAGTTGTACTGTATTCCTTGTGTATGATCCGGAATGAGCATTCCTTGATATCGTGCTCTGACCCCACGCATTGCAAGTCCTTCACTCCAGGTCCACTGTTTCCGCAGTAGCTTTTGCCATTCACGTCTTCACAGTGTCCGGTTGGAAAATGGAACTGAATCCCAGTGTAGCCCATAGACCGACAGGCAGTCGCAGCGACTCCATCTGTGTATAAACTCTTGTGGACCGGTCGCCATTGATTGCCCCACCACATCTCCAATCGGCCTGTCCCGGTCTTTGTGGGCATTCCGCGTTCATCGATGAGTCTCAATCGTCCATCCTCGATGTCCCACGGATGTTGCCGATTGGAGCACCAAACGAGGGAGTCGTGCTCGTGGGTGCGACCTGTGGCGGAGCATTAAGCATGGTAAAGGATATTATGGCTGAAGGGAATCCTTAGACTGATCAGAGACAAATGATCATCAATTCTGTGTATCCCCGCAGGGCTTTAGATTCGTTGTAGCGAAAGTCTGTAAAGTACATTCTTTATCCGGCGTTTTCCTTTTGCAATATTGCAAACTCGACTCGTCTCCTTTGCACACCAAATTTTTAACTGCGACCGGACTCCCCTTAGGTCCACACAAGACGCCGCATTTCGATGCCGGGATTTTCCATCCGCGAATGTAGCCCATCCTTCTGCAAATCAGTTCCGCTGATTCGTGGTTCATCGAGCAAACAGAACCCCAACCTTGATCAGTCCGTAGCTCAGCACGGCCTAGATTTGACAGATATCCATCTTCGCCAACGACACGGATGTTTCCTGCGACTTGTTCGATCGTGTCTACTGCGTAAACCTTGAAATGATCGCTGACAAGATTGCTGCCGGGTTGAGCAGCTATGCCTGTCGCATCGCTAAGACCAGGACTCCCTACAGAGCCTTCGGCTCCTCCTCCACTGGTTCCCTCGTAACTTCCTAACGGCTCACCCTTGGTAACGACCAAAGCGCCACCTTGAGGCGGCAAAACGCCATCCGCAATGCCACTCGCACACACAGCTGACTCGGCTGGATGCACGCTGAGACCTATGACCCTGGAGGCTGGGTCTTGAGCGCAGTTTTTGGGACAGACCACCCGCGCCATGTTCCGATCCCATCGCAAGTCGTGGCCAGTGGCACTGCAGGAAATCGGCCTGGTGGGAAGGAAGCCTGTACGATCTGCAAAGAGAGGGACGGAACTGAAGGAAGTGGAAGTAGCTGTTTTTGATGTGCTAGATGTGAAAAAGTGGTCTGTTGCGGCTTTTCCGTTCCTTACCATCCGCATCACCATCCTTTGGTGACGTCTGCGACCTGCTCTGGAGGATGCAAAGGAACCTGGGTCAAACGATGCACCAGAAGAGCCTCCCGGAGATGAAAAACTCGTTTTGAAGATGCTTGAAGAAGAGATTTTCGAGGATTTCGCGCCACCTTCAATACAACCAGAAAGCAGGTGGGCCAGCGCAGCCTCTGCCTGTTCATGCAAGTTCTGCAAGCCAAGCGGCATCTTGTTGGTGAAGATATTTCACGAGGGTTCAAGGATGAAGAAAGACGACATGCTAAAAATTCTAAGCGTTTCTATTAGAAGCATCCGATGGAGGTTGAAGATTGTCAGCGGTAAGTGTAGTAAGTCTAAAGTGTAGATGAAGAATGTTCTCAGAAGTATTTTTGAGTTAAAACTAACTGATGGAGACGTGTAGTTCTGAGCAAGAATAGCAATAGCTAGCTCGTAATGGAGATAACAGGACAGAGTGAGGAGACCGGGTATTACTACATGAGAAGCACATGATCACCGATTCTGTGATGACATCTACTCGACTTCGCTCGATGCTTCTTCTACCGATTCTACTTTAGAACGTTCTACCGAAATTTCTAACGTTTTTGAAAACCCGACTGATTGTTCTTGTGCAGAGACAGATGAGCTTCACCCTAGGATGCCTACTCCAAGTAGGAGACAGGTGCTCTTGCGCTGCTTGTGACCAGTGCACCGATCGCGTTAGTTCATCTCGTGGATACTTACACTTCTTCATGAGCGAGGTACGAGTAGGCCCTGGTACTCACAGTTCGTTGTACTAATGGTGTTGGTGATAGAATCAATACTACTTTTTTGAAATTGTATCGAAACGATGATTGGACCACTTGTCATCACTTTCGCTTGTGTAGTTGCAAAGGACTTTGTCGTTATTGTGTTTGTCCTGCATCAACAATACTAAGAAAATCAAACCACGAATAAAACGAAGACTAGCGAAACTGAAATCCGAATAAATGACTACGCATGAAAAGACAGTTCAAATGTTGATGGGTTTTTTTTAGAAACTAATAGAAATGCACATGCACCAGATGAAATTGGTGGTAAAAGTAGACATTGACATTCATACATGACACACGAAAAATCTAAGTCGCGGCTAATCCTAAATCTAATGTAAACATATCTGACCACGTCGACACGAGCACGAGGCAGAAGTCCTCTCATGATCAGAACGCCAATGGCGTATCGTCTTCATCTTCTTCTGACGATGACTCAATGTAGAAGTCGCGGCGTGAGCCAGCCGACCGGCTCCCAAATGACTCTTCCACTATGGTGTAGCTAGGTCGTGGTAGATCTTCTACATCTTCAGCTTCTGTGGTACTACTCGCAATATCATAAACATGCACATGCTGACCGTATTCTGATGTTATTGCACGACCTGTAGACAGTCCTCTAGATATTCTTTCAGATGCACCAGTAGGCGTCTTTCTGGCTCCACTAGCTTTGCTCGCATCGACCACTGTGGTTGATGAAGTAGTCTTTTTTTGGATTTTGAACTTGGAACTCCTTGTACTTGCAGTTCTTGCGTCCGTATTTTTTGTTGAAGATGCTGGCCCAGCAACTGCGTCACTCTTCGATTTTGTGGTTCCATCAGCACCTCTCACTCGGCTACTGCTACTGCTATTAGTCGCGCCATTTGTAGTAGTGGCTATCTGCTCGGCTGGACCAGCGGCCGCCTTTATTGCAGATTTTGCTTTACTACTTCTGGTCGACTTCTCTTCGATAGTAGCTGAAGTACTGGATTTTTTCATGTTCTCTTCGCCAGATGTTGTCCTTGTCTTCTTTATTCTAACTGACTTTTTCTCTACTTCCTCTGCTGTTTGCTCTAGTACTCTTCTGTACCTGTCATGATCCACTTCTTCTGCTTCATGATCTAGCGCATCTACTTCATACTTTTCATGATAATATGATCCTGCTTCAAGAAGAATTTCATGATCAGCATAGAAAAGTGGTCCACCTCCAGGTTTCATTCCTTTCATAGGCGGTTTCCCCTGCATCATTCCAGGCGGAGGTCCTGCACCTTTCATGACCATACCAGGAGGTGGACCGCCGCACTTCTTAGAGCGAGGGCATTCAAATTCGTCATAATTCAGGCCTCAAAGAAAAAAGATCTTTCTCAACAATCATCTCAAGATGAACTACTTACAACTACAGAACACAACAAGCCTTAACCTTCATCATCATATCTCGTGGGGAAGGACCCGGTCCTTTCATCATCATGCCAGGAGGCGGCCCGGCACCCTTCATGACCATACCAGGTGGAGGTCCTTGCATTAACCCCTTAGGATTCTTCCCTTGCATCATTGGCGGCTTGCCATGACCCGGAGGTGGACCTGATATAGATATGTTCGTGAGTACGAAGCAAATGGAAAAAGCATTAAATCGCGATTCATGGATCTGAGGGTAAGAACTTATGACTTGGAGGTAGACAGAGGTACTACTACTAGACGATAACGTACTGTAAAGAAAATAGTAAAAAGTACGATGTACTGCGAGGAGTTCTTGTTTCGTTTGTAAGTGTATTGCCACCGCAAGTGCTATGAGACTTTTATCATGATTATCCTCATGATTATACCTGCCAAAACTGAAATCGGTTTGTCTTCCTCTATGACTTCGTGTTTCTGGTGACCACCTCTGATATCGAACTCCCCTAGTGCTTCACCTTCAGATCTCGGCCGCCGACCTCTACTTGGTGCGCCACCCTGAACTATTCCGCTAGGGCTTTCATCGTCTCCACCGCCACCGCAACAACAAAGGACACAACTGTTGTAGTGGTTGAGAATGATGAGATTTAAAGCCTGCTCTAGTACACCTCCAACCAATGATCTAATTTCGTATTGTTCAACACTTCTGCGTTCTTCTAAACCAAAAAAACTAAAGTACTAGTACCAGCACACTAGGAAAACCGCCAAAGCAGCGCTGACAATGAGGATGAGCACTTTGTTGTTGTCCCATATGTCCTTGATCTTGTCGACGATACCTGTCTTTTCATCTTTGTCTCCTTTATTCTTGTCATCTGGAGTTAGAGCGTGGCTTGATTTCTCTACGAAGAAGAAGTGGCCCTGCTTACCTCGTCTGAGACAATGACTGAGAAATACTAATACTACCAACTTTGACATTTTACTATCGCAGATACAACTCCAGTGATAAAGATCTACACCTAGTACAGAGTGAAAAGTCAAATTATATGATGGGAATTTTTCCACCCAGTCAGGCCATAACTTTTTCTTGTCCTTTTTTTTTCCATCGGCATCGCCCTCTTTTTCCTTCTCGTCTTTGCCATCCTTTACCTTTTCCTCCTCCTCCTCGCTTCTAGTACTGGTCTTAGTCTTACCCTGTCCTTCTTTCTCCTTTCCTGTGCCCACTTGTAACAGTGCCGCATTTGAAGAGTAGACATCGACGCTCTCATCTGTTCTGGTGTCGTGGTTATCGCTATCTCGATGTCCTTCTTTATGATGGGGAGCTGTTATTCCTTTTTCTACTCTTCTAAGCATTATGTGAGCGTGGTCTGGCGGAACGCTTCGTGCCTCGACCATCATCCCTGCAAGATGAGGTACTACAGCGAGGGTATAGAAGAGAGCTGCCATCATCACACGACACACGTGGTGACGGGCAAGGGCAATGCGGTGACAAGTTGCCATGATGCTCCTCGTCGTCCTCGAGAAAAGCACGAGATAGATGGGCAAAATATTCCCTGCTTTCTCCAGAAAGCAATGAGAGACTTAGTTTGAGAAGAATCTACGGGACGATAATATCGGAATCGGATAAACGAGGGTTTCATTAAGATCACTTCTGAGGTGGTGACTATCTTACTTTCATGAGGAAAAAGCTTCATCTTGATCTTAATAAATTTCAACAGCTAAAATAGGGGCTTATTGGGAATGGGAAGGCATAAGTTTCAGGGAATAATCTTCACACCCGTGCCGCCACGATTTCGAGATTTCTATATGACGATAATAGCTCTCGAATTTTGAAGGTTTCCCATCGACTTCTTACAGATGCGACAGACGATGCTCTTCGGTACTTTCACACGACAACGAAGTGAACCGAACAGAGAGCTCATCTTTAACGGAGGACATTTTCTGATTGCAGACCGATTGCGCAATGGCCTCCTGAACAGCAGAGACGAAAACACCGAGTACATGATCGGTATTCATCTTTCAGCGTCTCCCCTTCGAGATAGTGTCCATAAAAACAATTGCCGATAAGGCGAAGATGCGGTTGTCTACCTGGTATGCTACTTGTACTTGGTATGCATATTATCATCCGGTCAACAAGAAGAATCATTCATGACACATTTGTTGTTTGCACATCGTCAATCTCAATCTCTTGTTTACTAGACGATAACGAAGGCGGATAAGACAGTTTTTGACCCGGGGAGAGTTGAAAAGCCTGCGAGAGGTAAAAAGCCGTTTCTACACCCGGTGAAATGCCGCCGGTTGATGCGCTGCGTGAGTGTGTAGGGAGTAGTTGATTTGTGATTGGAGGACTCCTCCAGGAGGTGGAGGAGTGAAGGTCGTCATAATTCATTGTCGACGAAAAGGTTTGTTGCTACAACATCAGTATCATAAATTCAAGAGTTAGTCTTAGTAGTACTTGAAGAACTTCTCATCTCTCACGGAAATATTACCTTTGCCGTATCGTATTGTTGGTTAACCGCTGTGGCGAAGTCCGTATGTTACCAGACGTACTCGCTCTCGCCTGCCCCCCGCCACCATTTCTACCTCCTTTTCCTCCTTGTTGTGTCAATATCGGTTCACTTCGTTGCTCTGCTTGTCCTTGCGGTCCTTGTTCTCCTTCCATTCCTTGTAGTCGCCAAGAATTACCGGCGTCTAACTGCAACAGAATTCGTTCCGACTCCTGTTCTAAACGGTATTGTCCCACCATCACTAAGATAAGCCACCAAAGACAACCAGCTAGTGGAAGTAAAGTAAGCGAAAGTAAAGCCAGCGAAATTGTGAAATTGACGAGATGCTCGCTTAGAGAGAGTCTTCTGGGAGGTCCAGCAGCTACTGCTTCAGTGGATTCTTGGTCGGAAGATGTAGCATCATTCGGTCTTGAGACTGAAGACGAGTCTGTTTTCGTAGCACTGGCAGTCGATTTCGAGGTGGAAGTCAAAGTAGATGATGTTTTCGCCTTCATCTCAATATTCTCTTTCTTCATCTCACCACCGAAAACCCATCGATCAAAAGCTTCTATCGGAGTCTCAGTCTTTGCGTGCTGATCGTCCTCACCTTTTCCATCAACATCTTCGCTAGAAGTTGTTGGAGTTGTTTCAGGGACACTCACCTCGTCATGGTCTACACGACTTGTTGTTGTTGGAGCGCCAGTACCTGTGCCGCCGTCAGCGACTACAGGCGTCGACGCAGTATCGCGTTTCTTCAGCGAAGATGACTTCGGCAACAGGTCACTCTCCTGTCTATCTTCTTGCAATTTCGATATCGTGCCATCTGCTGTTTTGGTAGAGCTACCTTTGCCACCCTCCACGATATCGTTGAGACTGCCAGCCTCATTGTAGTGATAAACCGAGTTCTCGTCCTCGGGATTATCGTAATTACTCCCGCTCGTCTTGCTTATGCTTGCTGAAGCAGGTTGTTGATCTCCAAACGCACTCGCGGCAGACCACACCAGAAGCAGAAGAGACAGGCCCAGACGAATCATGATGGTCATCCTCGACATATTGAAGTAGAACATGTAGGAGGTGAGGCACAGTGGAGCCTGCTCATCAACATCCATCTTCAGCGGGGACTTCTAAATATTAACGCATGTCTGACATAACAACTGCATGTTGACAACATTTTATGACTAAAAAGAACAAGAAGTGTCCTTTTTATTATTGGATTTGGGTGAAACTAAGTAAGCCAACCACTTGGGTCATGATGCGCATGATGCGTGGGAAGTAGAACTAGGACATTCATCGGCGGATCATGTTGATGGGTAGTACCTATGAGACAGCGCTCCTCATCAACCGAACAAGTCTTTGCAGAATTTGAAATCACGACTATGGCTAACATTTGTTCGCGTGTGTAACCGAAGGGAGATATACCGATTTTTCAGAGCAGAACCGATTCATTCATTGAAGATTGATATAGTATCTTTCTCTCTCTACAACACCATGCACTACAAAGAGTTCTTGCTGTGCACAGGATAGTCTTGTTCTAAAGTTTTTAGTACGAGGACCCTCGTCACGATGAAATCTGTGCTTCGCAGACTTGCAGACTTTGGTATACAGTCTCATGATATCCAGAGTAAACCTCGTTTGAATTATAGAGGCAAGCGTGGTTCTAAGGGTGCATTGCACTACGGCAATTCTACCATATGTTTGTTGATCGGTTTTTAGTACTCCTAACTTAGCAGGAGTGAGCAGTAGTAATTGAGGAGAAAAATCAAATATTAAATGAATGAGATACTTCCTTATGCTTTTTGAAGTTATTGACTACATGCGGAGAGATACAGAAAAATAGTACTGGACTACCCTAATTCAATGGGTCGTGGTGACTTATGATCCACTAGTACAGCAAGGCCTCAAGTTGCTCACTTTGAGCGGGCGCTTCCACGTCGTTTCCCCTCTTTTTCAACAATGCTTTTTGCACTTCCTTTTGTCCCTTGTTCAGAAGAAAGCCTGCACAACAGCCGCAGAAAACGAGTAGCCTACTACTCTTCACAGACAACATGAACAGAGCCTCTCTGTTGCTATTTAACGCAAGCAGTTCATCTAACTATGGTACTGAATTACAGTGCAAAAAAGCTTCAGGCTGGTCCTTCCTCAGAAACTCAGCTCCGTTTTCAATATACGCAAAATCCTCTTCAGAAGGACAGCTGCATCGCCTAAGTACGATTCACTCAGGAAGACAACCACATTCCCAGCATACAATCCTTCACTCAGAATGACAGTTGCATCCCTGGATTTGATATTGCTTTCATCAAATCCATCATGGCCATATCCGGGATAAAGTGCGTCAATTTTTTGAAACTCGGCTCCACGACTGTGGTTAGACTTTGACTCAATCCATCTCCGCCAGCATCTTGGCGAGTCGGTCGTTCCTCTCACCAGCAGAAACGAGGACCAAGATGTAGATAGATGATGGGGAGGACGGATTTTATCAAGCCTTAATGTTGACAGAATGTGCGTCACGTCTTGACTCTTCATCACCCCTTCTTTCTCCAAGTGCTGCAAGGTAACTCGCTTGTTAATCAGAAGTAAACGAGCGGCGAGGGAGATGAAAGGGGTTCACAGAGATGCGGATGGGATAAGATAAGTCAAGTCAAACTCAGAGAGGCGAAGAAACTGATCAACCGAGTCTGACGCTACACGATGAAGCTTATGAGGACGAGCAATTTCATGCAAGATTAAATATAGTTCTTTCATTTAGGCATTATACTCATAATGCAGGTGCATCAGTTATTTATTACTACTTATTCAATAGTCAATGCTGTAGTCCATAAGAACATGCTCCATCATGATGAAGATCTCTGGGCTCGTCTTATGCAAATGATACAAATTCTCCGCAATGGCTTGCTCCAGCAAGTGGTTTAACGAGTTCTTGATATGCGGAAAGTCATCGAAGACAGGCAACTCCTCTATCAAAGTTTCGTTCACGATGAGCAAATTAGAGCAGTTGTTTTTCTGACTGCTTAGTTTGTCAGTGACTCGTGTTGGAGGTATCCCTTGGTATCTTCAGATGAAAGCAAAAGACAAATCGTGTGCATTTCCCCACGTCGTCGCCGTAGTATCGTTATCCTTCTGGTCCTACTACTTCTAAGAACCGAGTACGAATTTATCGCTTGTTGGTGTTGCCTTAATGAAAGAAAAAATCGCTTCGAACTGGCGCTTCGTGTACAGCCACTTTTGACGGAGCAAGGTGCGTTCACCTGAAAAGGCGAAGATGATGAGATCAAAATCACGATCATTCGTCATCGTGATCATCACATGACTCATTGCATCTCTATGCTAACAAATCAAGCTGCGAGAACTAGAACTCCAACGGTAATAAATGTCAAAGGCAATTATTTTTGAATAAAATGTAGTACTCGAACTACAATGAGATCTCTTGTCAACAAAAATTAGATCTAAGATCCGTTGTCAATAAAATAAATAGTACTCCAACAATGTCCAAAATGAAGGGACATCCACTTAGACGCTTTCCATCGCATTCCAACTCCATGCTCCAAACTATGCAGGAGGCATTCCCAGAAAACCTTGAATTAGAAGAAGATAGAGAGCGAGCGAGCTAACCAGGTCGGGCCACAATGAACTGTAAGTGACAGACAGATAAGTAAATAGATGGATGGCTAGACAGAGATCCTGAATCATTGTTGAAAGTCTAGAAATCTAGCCTTAATCCAAGCTTGCCTCGGTTTGCACTCGATGCGATTGCTCATGTAATTCAGGGAAGTGTGGGCGCAAAAAGTCGTACCCCTGCAATTCTCCCTGGACAGCCTCCTGAGCGTATTCAAAAGACTCCATCAATGCGCGATAAGCCAATTCCGAAATCAACTCTAGCTCGTATAGTTCCGTGTATCCAGCAATCGATCCATCCAGAATCGTCTGATAGAGTTCTGCTGCTGTGTTGATATCGTGCGTTATGGCCTGGCGAACATTGAGCAAGGACATCTGGATTGTCACACTACCTCTACCAACAGCTCCGACGCCACCTCCTTGTAGAGCGCTCGTCCCATCGTTCCTGCTATTCCTATTTGTCCATGTGTCCTTCATGTCGCTGACCCGGTCACTAGCTTCGCCTAGCAAGTCTGCGCCTTCGTCCCGCGAGGTACTAATATGCATCTCAAAAGATTGATCGCTTGGTATGAAGGCAAAGAGATCATGTAATTGGGGGTATGGGGTATCAAGGCTAAGTCGGTCTTGCCTATGGTATGAGAAAGAAAGTTGCATGCCTCAAGAGTTGCAAAATTCAAAAAAAAAAAAAATCTTCGTGCTTCACTCACATTAAAATGACCCCGACTACATATCTTTCGAACTGCCCTCGTGATTTCCGCCATGCGCTGCCCCGCTCAAATCCACGCTATTGCGTCGACAAGCCGTCGTAAATGCCGGAGACATGAACTGTGTGGCTGAGAGCCGATTACTCAACCTGCTAGGAGCACACCTGGAGACCGAGTAACGTCGAAAAGTCTCCGGGAGAGGCGTGTAGCCAGGAACGGCAGGACCATCACGATGAGCTGTTGAGTCACGGTCTCCCTGCAAATCCGTTAAACTCTGCAATTGTGGTAAAATCAATGGCTCACCCTCAACAATAGGCGGATGCTGTCCGCCAACGTCAGTAGGCAAATGCATCAGAGGCGTCCCGGTGGCAACTGCTGGGACTACTTGAGCGGGGAGATTAGTGGAGTTGCAAATGCACTACACAGTAGAGAGAAGCAAGAGGAAGAGAGCAATGAAAGTCGCAATGATACCCAAAGATCGGAAGATGAAGAAGTAGATGTGGTCATGGAAAATCTAATTTTTGTCATCAGCAAAGAAGCTCCAAAACATAATCTGTGAATTCCCATGCTCTCCATTTTTCGGTGTTGACGTCGCCGCTAGTTCCTTCGGCAATACAAGTCCTCCAACGACGCTAATCCGCACAGACTTTCGCTCACCACCGCACTCAGCACTTCCTGTTTGGTCTCCTGCTTTGTGATGTACCAGAATGCCTTTACTACAGGTAGTAGTTGTTCCTGCTGGTCCGCCTAACTTGTTGGTCGAATTGATTTGTGTGGAGGGACCTTGAACCTGAAGCTCATCGTCGTCACTGATACAGGTGGCCGCCCCTTTCGACTTCGCTTCATCAATTTTTCGTTCGTCACTGGAAGAATCACTGTTATCGAAACTGCTCTCGATTGCGTCGAGTCGCCGATGGGAATGAACGAGGAGACAGAGCTAGGATTATGATCGATTTGTAGCAACGAATCGTTACAACGAGTCTGGAAGCTTCATTCAAATCAGACAAACTCCATCTTCTTTTCATACCTCCCATGCCGACTACGCTTTCCTCTTTGTCCGCTTTCCGTTTCCTCTCCTTTTTCTGGCGAAAGAGGTACTCCCTTACCTCCAAAGAATTGTAATATCGACGTAAAATTTCGTGGAGCGTTCTGCGGCAAAGCATCTGCAGCTTTGATAATCGCATCGGTGACCCCAGGCTGTAGTGCTTCGATTCCTTCGGGAGTTAGAGGTAGTAAAAAGCTTGTCCTACATCCACCTTCTTCATCCACAAGCAATATTCCTTGTTGCTGTTCGCGTCTTTTTTCTGAACTAAGAAACAGCAACAAACTCATACTCGTCAAGCTATTGCCTTAACAGGTATTGCAGTCCGCTCTGTCGCTGCTCTTGCGAAGCTCTGGACTCGACGTCACCTGCAGTACAGCTCTGTCGGATTAAATGCGTTGTCCATCGATCTAGATCCCTCCGGATATCATCTGACGTTCTCCCTAATGCCGCGACAGAAGCGCGATCTATCCGAGAAGGCGAGGCGGTGGAGCGGGCTTTGGATTAGAGAGGAAAATAAAAGGTGGTCCTCGTCTCCTGAAGTCAAGTCTTCATGTGATATATAATCTTCGTCATGTTATCAGCTTTTCATTTCAATGTTGATAGCCTTAAGTAATTCTCTCTCCTCTAGCAACCAACAATGGCCCATCAACGACCACCTCGGATCCTTGTCCCACAGGCAAAGACGTCCCGTCCGTTGTTCTGTCGTGAGAGTCGCTGTGTTCTCGACCCACACCAGCCTCTTCTATAATCGTACCTCTCGGCGACCTGCCAACGTCTGAATCTTCATCATCAGACAATGGTCTATGCACAGCTACAGCCGACTGCTCTGACGCAGCGACAGATACGGTAGCTGAATTTGCTGATATCTTGATGTTGCTCGAGGCTGTACATATAATGCCACCCGTGCTTCTCCCAGATACAACCTGGGCGGGTGCATTTCCGCCCGCGCGTCGTGATCCGATGCCTGCTGGTACTAGTGCAGATGTAGTAGAAGTAGATCCTCCGGAAGAAGAGTTTAGCACTTCTGTACCTCCACCGAAGCCAATTTGATTATCCACCTTTGCAGAATATGCTGAACTTTTTCCAGTATCTTCGACTTCACCTATTGCTTCCATTGTTGTCATCTCCACACTGTCAGGTCTCTCTTTTTCCAGCTCCGCATGCAGTTCCTTCGCTACAGAGCGCAGTTTGCTGTGGCTAAATCGGTCACGACTCGTCTGATCCCTTTCCTGCTGCAAATTACACAAGCCTTCTAAAACAGAAGCCTGAGACTTGAGTGGGAATTCGAAATTCTTCTTCTTACCGGACCAAACTAAGGGCGTCTTCGCATTTCTGGCGTACTTGCAAGAGGAGCCAACGCCCGGTCTAGAACCTTGACCTCGAAGATGTTGACCTCCTCCTCCTCCGGCTAAGCTCAGATTCGAGCTTTGAAAATTGCAATCTGAAGGGCCATGGTTGATCCCGCCACCTCCGTTGTTGGACGAATGGAGATTCGTGCCACTAGTCGGTCCTTTGGAGCCGCCAACAATTTTGTTCTCGTACTGAGCGTGATACAAATTGTCCCGCAAATCGGTAGCATTTAATAATTCCCGTTGCGTGCAAAGAGATAATCCGCGCACTGACGCTAATTCTGACGCAAGCTTAGAGCTACCGCTGTGTCGCATCTTCCTCGAGATGCATATCCTTGGGCTTGGGTGCTTCTTTATTTTCAGTGTAAGAAGATGTCCATGACTGTCCTTGATTGTCGTGATGTGATTTTTGTACTTGTTGAGGGGGACGTTCTTGTTCGCTTTCAAGTAGAAAAAGAGTCAGGAACGAAGACGAGGATGCTGAGCATGCTGATGCTCCTCCTCCTACCGCGGTAGTACTAGTAGCCTTAACAAACAAAATCTTCGCACGATAGCGGTTCTCCTTGTCGATGTTCAACATCGAAGCCAGTTGCATCATCAATTTCTGGATGCGCTTATCGGTAATTTGGGCTTTGTTGCTTTCGGAGAGGTTCGACACCGAAGCAGCAGACCCGCTTTTGAAGAGTCGATGGAGTTGCGGCACTAGCATCTCGAGAATCTCGAAATTGCAATTGTGGAAGAACCAATGCCGCTTCATCTGTCTAGACTGATTCTTCGACAGAATCTCCGCTTGCGTCAGCGCGCGATGCAGCATTAGATGACCTTAGCTTACTTTTATTCATCTTCTTGAAGACGAGCATCTCTATCGTACTCTCGTCCCCTTAAAAAAGGCGTCGTCAAAGAGGCAGCTCCTTCTGAAGATGTTGGATTACTGGTGTAAGCCTTAATAGTAGTAGAGAACGGTGCTTAGGTTCGGCGTACACTTCTAGCCAGTGGTAAAATGGGGTGATCGCAGTACCATTGATGAAGATCGTGAGCAGAGCTATGCCGGAAACGTGGAACGCAATTCTTGCGCGAGTTTCTAGTGGCAATATGAAAGAATGGCATCTATTCCATCTAGCCAGACCATCGAGGCCCCCATTATAACATCTACAACTTTATGAAAGTGGTAAGGGACAGCCTCGATGGTCTGTTCAAACAATGGGAGAAAAAACGACATCCATAGGCAAAACAGTGGCGCTCGTATCACTTTCCACCAATATAGCCATTGCCAGACCAACAGCGCCTCGCAAACCGCTGAAAACTAGGATGATGCTTTCCTTGGCAGTCAAACCATACCCGCTACGACGCAGAAAGGGGAAAAGCACGAGGACCACTGCAGCACGAGTCAAGTGCACTAGGACGTAGAGGAGAGCCAGTTCAACCCAGTCCCTCACATGCAAACTAGCCTGGAACGAGTAGCGATACCCGACCACGCCAGCAAGTACAAAAATGATCTCGTTACTTACCATGGCGGGATTTAGAGGATTTCAGGTCCTGAATTGATGAAAGTGGGATGAACGTCAGAAGTGTCTGTATCCTCCATAAGAGAAACTGTATGACCAAGTGGTGACTGTGCGTCTCGTTGATTGAGTATTGCCCCGTTGCTGACATGCAAAATCCAAAAGTCACGATCGCCAGAACCGCTGAGACTTCTACATCGTGATGGTCCGCGACGAAAAAGGTCCCATACGCACCTACTAGGACCACAAACAAGCCAGTCTGGTAATTCTTCGATCGCTTTAGCAAGGCCAGAACGAGTAAAAAAGCGGCGCCACCGAGAAACAAACCACCCAGAGCGAGATAAAGGAATTGCAACGTCGTGTCCCACAAAGCGAATTTCTTTAGGCCTTTCGCTAAGTCTAGGAAAACCAAGAAAAGCAGCACCCCTGACCCGTCATTCAGCAAAGCCTCGCCTGAAATCAACAAGGTCAATTTCGGTGGTGCATGTAAGTTGTGTAGTGCCCCGATCACTGCGACGGGGTCAGTTGCAGACAAGATCGCGCCCAAAAGCAATGCCTCAGTGAGTGAGAAACCGTGCCAAGAGCTACTGTTTGTCGATGGGGGTGTAGATAAAGGTGGTCCAGATAGAGAAGGTGCAGTGGCTGAAGACGGAGTTGAAGCTTCTGATGTTTCCAAAAGTGGCGTCGTAGAAGAAGACGCGCTTTGCATTAATGACCTCGCAGCTTCCATTGTCATAGATCCGAAATCTTCTAGGTGTGCGTCTGATGAAGATGGGGGAGAAGGTGAAACTTCAGGCGTAGTTAAAGTTACTGCGGAGTAGTTCCCACTACTTCCACCACTACTCGTACCTCCTCCGACGAAGATCTTCCCGAACGTGAAGTACAACGCCACGCCTGTCAAAATGGTATTCAAAAGTGCTCCTGGCAACGCCAGTAGTAGCGAGTTTGGCAATACGCGTCTGCCAACATGCCAATTCGTACAGGCAGAGTCCTCGTAAAGCAAAGCGGGTAATAGGATCCAGAAGATCACCTTCGGGTCCACGTTTTGTGCTACCTCGACAGCATCAGACAATTCCAAAGCAGGACTTAGAGGTAGGTTTTTGGTGCTCGCTTACCCCGCTTGTTATGCCTTTCTCCCTTAGGAGAGGCATTAAAAGCGGTAAGAAAAGCACCTTTAACCTACCCTTAAAGGATAGTACCTCGCGACGTGCGACAGAGACAGGCCAGCACAGTAGAGAATGACACTGTGCGGGAAGGAGAAGGGAAGTAGCTTGGAAAGCATTTGACACACGGCCGATATCGACAAGGCTAATAGCGTGAAGTACAACGGCAAAAAGGCGAAAGATAAAATGTGGACATGCTGTCCGTGATCGGGGTCATCATCGTGGTGCTGGGAGTCATCGTGACGAGCAGATCCAGTTCCAGTAGCACCGGAGGCTAATAAGAAACCACCTGTACTAGTGCCATGACCTCCATGACCATAATCATCATCCACCTGTGTCGTATGGCTCAGACAAATTGCTAGATGAGCACGGAAGTTGCGGGATCGGTCTCGAGGATCACTGGTCGGCTGAAAATACAACTTCCCCGCTGTTTGGTCGGGGTTTTAGAGCAACCACCTACTTCTCAAGAATTCTCTAATCATGTTCATTTTGTTTGTCGTGATGTAGAAGAAACTGGAGATGCAGTCTTCCAATAAAAAGAGTGTCATAATAGTAGCACCCAGCATGCTTGATCAATTCTGGCGGAAGTGTAGGCTCCACCCGCAACGACGAGAGGCCTAACTGAGCCGCCACGTCTTCACATTCTTGAGCAGAGTGTATGCGGAGTTCCTCTTTACACCGTTCCGTGGTTAAGTGGTACACCTTACGCATGCCAAGCTGTCTGCGAAGGGCAGAAGTGTTCTCGTCGTCTTCGTCTGCAGTCGTGAGGACCTGATCTCCTGATTGCTCCGGAGGTAAAGGATTTCCTTTGCTGGTAGCGCTTACTTCGCCATGTCTTCGATGTTCGCTGCTAGTGTATTTCCGATTTTTATCATGCGTAGTTGACGCATCTTGTTCATCTCCACTTGACACCGAATCACGTACAAACACTCCATCTCCTCGAGCAAACGAGTTCTCTTCCACTGTTGCGTGTCCCGAGAAAAAGCCTGTTCTTGAGGGACTGCTCCGCCACTCTAGAAGTCCACTTTTATGACTTTGACTCCCACCTTGAAAAGCTTTCCACGTTGACGAAAGCAGCAAAAGACCAGTGCCGCACACGAGTAAACGGATGCCACAACCTCGTATAGAGGCAAATGCAGAAGAACCGCTTCTTGTTGGATCTTTCATTTTTGCATTGATATCATGGATGTTGGAACCTAGTCAGTTAATCTTAGTCAAACTTTTGTAAAAAAAATCTTAAAAATTCATATTTATTTATAAATTCAAATTGTTCATCAGCTACGTTTGTTAATTCAAGTTGTTTCCTCAAGTGGATAGTTTAGCAGAGTGGGGGAAACTGGTCCTCCCAGATGTGTGAATTCAACTCAAACATTATGCGACATGAGTGTGCGATTTTTCAAAAACACTGCCGGCGAGTGAGATATCACTAAAAAAGTGGTAAAGTTCTTAAGTCGGATGATGTGCCTGTGGCTAGACTCTAAGCAATCATATTAGGCACGCCGAGCATGCATAGGATAATAATTACAGTTCAATTCGTCCTTGTACCCTCTCAATAACTGCGCCCTTCACGACTCAGCTCACTGTGCTTCTCACTCACAACTCTGACACGTGATAGACATCCTGATAGACCGATCAAGTAGGAACCACGTCCCGGCAAAATGCTTAGTCGTGATTAATTTGAAGACATGTTGAAGCTGCGGACAGCCGCAAGAGGACCGGACTCAACGAGGCAGCGTCTTATGACAAAAATTGACATAGACATTAATTAGTTGTTACGCGTAATTGTCGTGTCCCTGGTATCTGTACAAATGGCAACACCATGGCTGGATCAAGGTTGCGACTCAACCTGTAATAAGGCCGAAACGCTGCTCAAAATACAAGAATCCTGCTTACCTTTCTTGGTGTTGTTACTTTCGTCCTTGTTACTGTTTATTCTACACAGAAACATCACAGAAATAATGCTTCTCATACATAGCAGAGACGTCCTATTGTAATACTCTTGAGTAAGATCTAATCCGATCCCTTGGCTCTCTCCTCCTCTTCATCCAGCACGTTCAGCAGCTCAGTCATCAAAGATTCGAAAAGCGCCATCTGCTTTTTTTGTCCTAGCACCGAAAAGAGCGGAACGTGGACGAAAAGACAGTTCTTGGTCCTGCACAGCGACTCGTAGAAGATGTAATTACACAAATATGTGCCCGCGTGGTCACTCGTCTTCGGTGCTGCACAAGCGAATAAAGTACTAGAGTTCATTTGAGTACTAGGTTGTTCACTAGTAGACGAGGCTTCTGGATCATCAGGCCTCCCTCCCGTTCCCATCGTAGACGAGGCTAATGTCTTCTGCAAGCGCTCGCGCAATTTTTCCACAGGAAGGCTCGAGTAGATTTTCAAGGTAGTTTTTCACTATCCCGAGTCAAGTGGGTTGCCCTCTTTGCCCCCTAGTTTCCCCTTTATTTCTTTTTTTTTTTTTGCGTTAGGACTATATGCTGCCACCCTTTCAACCAATTATTTACCCCATATTTCTTAGATCATCCAAATTACATACTGGGTGCGCAATATTTCAAGGAGGACTCCTCGACTCAGCATAGAAGTCCACACGGGATAGTGATAAACTACCCTTAAAGATTTCAGAGACTCCATTCTTCCTTATCGCGCACGGTCGATCGTACGCCAATCCACGAACATCAGACCCCTCGGATAAGTCTAAAAAGTTGACTCCACGTAGCTCCAGCTGCCACTCTCGTGCTGCAGCATAGAGACCAAAATGGACGACTAACGGCGTCTTTTTCTTCCTGTTCTTCTTGGAAGCTGTTTTTCCATCTCCATCTGCATCTTGCGTCTTCTCAGCAATCCTTCTAGCATCTTTGCTTTGTGTCGAGTTTCTATCGTCGGTCCACGTCTTATGTCTTTGTATTCCGATGAGGTCTTCGGGACAACACATATCGGACTCATCACGCTTCGGCAGCACCTCAATAGAGCTATGCTGATTCAAGGTTGCATCTTGGAAAGCGCCATGACCAGCCGCGGCGTTCGTAGGGCTGTTCTGATCATTAGAAGAGTGAACCACATTAGCAGGGAACTGCAGTAGAACAAATATAAACTGCAGTATTGCAATCGACAATCAAAACCCACTTCTTTCCCCGTTTTCATGATGAGTACGTTCTTGCAGAAGCAGTACTCAAGAACTAGTAGGAGTAGCAGTAGTGGTATACCCAGTCTAGAGGTATAAAAGAAGTCGTTCAAATAACTTGAGCAACTTCGTCGGTCCACTCACCTGGCTCTTCGGCAGCGGCGAGCTTGTTCCCGCATTCAGTATACATCTGCTGCACAATCTCACAGGACACCTCTAGCGTTATTGACTCAAGGTCCATCCGTCTGCACAGAGAAGCATATACGCCTCCTTCATCACGACATTGTTCAGTACCAGTCTTGTGTCGTGAGTGTCTTGTACCAGTTGTATTTTCTGCATCCATAAAGCGTTGCGTGAATTCGCGTACTAGAGTATCGGTCGGATTGTCCATGATACCGCGAAAGGGTCCGAAACCAGTTATCAGTACACGGCGTCTGTTGTCGGGAAGGCAACTTGTTTCGTTCTTGGAACAGGCCATTGAACCAGCAAGCTGGTGAGAGGTCTCAGGTGGTAACGAACCCATTTTGTTTTTTTGACTAAAACCGAAAGAAGATGAAAAGTCTTCAATGTCAAGCAAATGCTTAGTTATCTACTAATAACTAAGCGCCGGCGCTGTCGTGGTCCTGTCAGTCCCTTCTTCCATATATATAAAAATGTCCTTCTCCCACTGCGTTCACACTTTGGGGAAGATCCACCTATGCTGTCGAAGCTGTCGTCTTTCCTCGTCATATTCTTCTACAAAAAAGCTCGGCAAATGTTCATGCTCGCCAAACACTGGCGACTATGTTGGGTCGACAGCTCCAGATGAGATGTCACTCCCTACAACTTAATGTTGTCTCTGTCTCTCGCCGACCTGACCTTGTTGATGCTATTGTAGTGCTTGGCAGAGAGGTGAAGGAAGATGTTGTGTTCGTAGTTGCAGTCGGCAGGGGTTCGTGCCAGATACTTGGTCGTGATATGTGGTTACATAGGTACATTCTAAATGAATTGCTGTCGTGACTTCTAGCACGAACAGAGTTCGAGTTGTACTATGACCCTACGCCAGCGCGAGTCAGCGTAAAATCCACATTCTTAGAAGAACGCATGAAGATGCAGGATGTTGTTCCGAGAATTCAACTGTTGACGACGATGATGTAGCAGTACCCAACGAGGGGTATAACAAGACGTCATAGCAACTTACCTTGATGTTGTCACCTCCACCTCTTTTTCCTTTTCGGTAGAAGAAATAACAGATACAGAAATTGATATTCTTGATAGTACTAGTTGTACCCTTGCTGTACTTTGGATATGGATATTCAAGAAGAAGAAATATCGATATGATATTATTTTCACGACCACCAACGAAACAATCATCTCAGTCTCAAGATTTCAGGCCTATGATGTGCGAGTGCAATACAATACAATAAATCTCCCACCAAGTAGTACAGTGCAGACTGCCACTCAGGGGCGTCGTAGTTTTTCGTCACGAAGCAATTCTAATGTTGAGCTGCTTTGTTTGTCCTAGCCCAGGCCAGGTGTAGGTTGTCATGGCCCCAGACCCATTACCATTTTCAGTGACTTTCATATGCTATTAATTGAATCTGGCTGGATATCTGCTTACCTTTATAAAGACGTCGAGAGAACGCCAGAAGTTGATGAGTTTCGACGTCTTTATGAAATTGATACTAACAATTTTAGCCAGTCCGAATTTTCAATGAAGAGACATATTGTTTGTTACTCACAAGAAGTTAGTAAATGCCAACTTAAATGATTTTTTACTCCGTCTTGATTGAAGACCGAAAACGAGGCAAAGAAATATTCTGGACATGTTGAGGAAGATGAAAAATACTGGATTCATCAAGAAACAATCACGCTAGTAGTATTATCACTGTAACTGGTTGAAGAGGATGATCTAAATAAAACTTGTAAAAATACTAATACGCAGTATACTGATACGCAGTATACTGATACGCAGTATACTAATACGCAGTATACTAACACGTAGTATTATACTGATATTAAATTTCATATTCATTGCAGGTGCAGCTGCAGTGCGTCGCTAATAGGCTATTATTAGGAACCCAGTACACGCAGGACGCGTCGTCTCATGACAATAACATGCTCAGGATAATCTTCTATCTTGCGTTGCATAAATCTCAATAAAAATAGACTATTGGTTATTATGGTTTGATATTATCTAGGTGTATTAAGAAACAGCCATAAGATCGATTGATTGACTGATTGATTGATTTTCCCATTTATGAGGTAAAGGGGCTACCATTCAGTGTGGATAGGGGGCGGGGAATGCATGAAGTGAGCTGCATGAATACTGCATAGGTCACATACATAGGTCAAGCTCCGGAACCAGAAGTTTCTCCAGTTCTACTTGCTTGTTTTAAGAAGTTTAAGAAATAATCAAAAAGACCATTCACATTCTTCTAGACGAATATAATTTGTCTAAAAATCTCCTTCCTGGTGGTCTTAATGATGTCAAGATGAGAAGGTTTCCCTCAAGCTTTCGTGGGTGAAGCAGGAGTGGCGGATGGCTTCGACCTTGCCGGCCGCCGTGGAAAATGCCAGACATCAGCTTCAACCTCAGCCTCTCACGTGTGTGAACCTTGTTGAAAAAAAACAGATGCTTCTGGTGCATTTGCAAGTAGCATGCAGCTCTGATTTTTATGGTTGTCCGAGTAGAGCATTGATTTTGAGTGATGCTGATGTCCAAGTTAGCAGATCAAATAGATGAGTAGACCAAAAAGAATTATCAACATGTTCTATTTTCCCCCCGCGGCTGTTGGCAATATCAACAATTGTATAAGAAGTAGAAGTCTCATGTGGAAGGGGATCTGTATCTATTTAAGTCTCATGTGGAGCGTTCCGCTTCCGACCCTCATTACCTGCTCGATATATCCCAGATGATAGGCCGACTATAATCATCTGTAACAACTACTAGTAGTTGTACAATACTATCTCCACAGGCTAGCGCCGAAGAATTTCAAGAATTCAAATTCATACAACTTGTAAGTAAGTCTAAGTACATAAATGTACTCCAGCACCTCGATAAGAATAGAAATATGCTTAGTTCAACTGTCACAACAGAATAAGTGCTCCCAGCAAGAACGAGGCACACAACATTTCGAAGAAACCCTACCTGTCACAGACCCTTCGAAATTCATCTCATCCAAAATCACAGCTACTTACACGAAGGTGAAAAAAAACCTGCTTTCTGTTTCACCATCCCATGAACCAACCTCCAACACTAAAAAAAGAATATTTAAGAATTCAATACGACGAGGGCGACGAAGAAAAGTAGACTTCTTGTCGAAGACAATAAAACCTCCCGAAATTATTCTTCTTTGCCAAAACACTTCCAAATAGGTAAGACCCTAAACAGTGTATGCCATTTTTCATTCCAAGATACAACCCAGTATATTTTTTTGCCCCGATCCCGAACTTCATCTTCCCGCCAAGGACTCCATTTGCGCGTGCTTGATACTAGGATAGCAAACTTCGATTAGTGACTACAAATGGCACAGGCACCCAAGACAAGACGAGTTCTGGAGATGGTAGCCCAGGAACGCGACGACCTGGAGCTGGTAGCCCAGAAACGCGTAAACATCGGAGGAAATAAAAAAACGCTTCAAGAAGTTCAAGGGCCTCACTAATTTTTTTGTAAGCTAAGACCGCCGGAAGGGTGATCCTAGTGATGTCCGGCGTGCCTGCCGGCGACCGACGGGTGGAGTCCATGCCAGATTGCTAGGTGCAACGACTTCGCGAGAGACGACGCGTCGGTCTAATCGACGTCTAAATAATCTAAATAATCTTCTTCTAAATCTTTCTAGTATGTCATGATCATGAACTACTACTTCTTAAGATAAAAAGTGTAATATTAACTGGACGAGGTAGCGGTTTATGTTAGTCTCCTGCTACTGCTACCAGGAAAAGGACGGGCATGGCGACGGCGGTGTGCCATAAATATGCTTCATGACTGTTCATCAAGACTTTTTTAGTAGTGATTACGTTGTCACCTTCTACCTTAGACAGTTATATTTTTCAAGAATTTATCAAGAATCACGCATGCCTGTGTCGAAAGATAGCTTTCTCACAAGATGATAAGAACGTCGTGCGGGGGCTGCATCTCAATGGAAAGTACATAGCTGCAACAGAACCGCCTTCAGAAAGATGCATGAAAAGCAAGAAAAGCTAAGCGATAGGTCAACAATTTTTGGGGCGGGAGCAAGTGCAGCCTGAGGGGATGATGCGAATCATCTTCAATGTAGAAGTCGATATGGAGTGGAGGTATCCGATCGAAACTCGTGGTCTTCCACCAGATAATACAAGGATCAATGGTCGTTGTGGTGCAGGTGCAGCATATTTTCTATTTCTTCACAGGAGGTCGTCTATTTTTGATACATATTATATATAATTGCATAGGCGTACTACAACGAATACAAGATCCGATGTGAACTTACTAACAAATCAAAGAGATCATATCCAAATCAAAGTATGGTCTGTCAATAGCAGGTGGAGCCTAACCGACAATATCAACATCTTTATTTACCGTCAACGCACGACCAGGACCAACAGTGTTTTCTAAGGATCACTTAGAAGCTAGCAATAGCATGACTGGTGGCTTGTGAGAAGACCCAGACTTCGATCTTCAAAGTCTGGGTCAACAGGAAGGCGAAGGCTGTCGTTGGAAGCAGCGAGGTAGCTTCCGCTTCACGTCCATCCTCCTGCACATAATGGACAAGAAGGAAAAAAAACTGATAATTAGTATGAGAAGTAGTATTCGTACACCTGGCATGAAGATGCAAGGCCAAGGGACTGTAAAATCTATTAAGTAACGGAGGGGAGCGAAAGAGGGGGTAGGGAAGGAGAGTGCAACGCCGATTGCATAAGTACTATGTGCTTAATAAGTAGTGGCAAGGGGCGTTCTTGCTAGTCACAAGTAAATGCAAGAACAACTGGCACGTTGAGGATAAGGTTAATAAGGTTCAGGGTCCGCTGCACCGCGGCCTGGCCGATTTGGGACGAGTACGATTTGGGTTGGGACGATTTGGGTTCGAGTAGAACCCGACACGTGGTGTTGTTGTTCTGGTAAGATCTATAATACTTGTGGTGGAGCAGACCTTACTAGGAAAAAAAGGAAAATTTAGTGAGTTCTATAATACTAGTTAGTTGTTGTAGAAACGTGGTCGTGGAGGTACGTTGTAAGCTTGATCTGTCGTAGCAAATCCACCAGGAGAGCCACATGGACATGGATAATCGTGTAGGTGTAATATTCTTAATCATAACTGATCACGTTCTTGATCAGCGTCCCTTTCTCAGTAGAGGTAGGTTGCGCGTGGTATAAAAAAATCTTCTCGTTCTCTCCCACTCCCGTTCCCCCTATACGTAATCATCTTGGTCGTGCTTACCTTTTATTCACGACTAGAAGTGGTAGAAGTAGTTCGTGTAAAAGCCTCATAATCAAGGTTCTTTTTGTACTAAGATGAAACCAAATACAAAAAATCATTGACTACATGATTATCGTCCGAAAATGAGTAACTCCATCCATAGCAGATTGGCATGATCCTTTTACTTGAGGACGATGGCAAAAATAAGTAAGAGACCTGAAAATTAAGTTCATGGAAAGTCTTCGAGGGTGATGAGGGATACTCCATCGCAAGTATATCTTCAAGCTGCACCAGTGCTTCCTAATACTACCAGTATTCTCCGATGTAAAAATCTGGCCTCTGTTTTGCTTTATTTCACCCTCTTTCTTCTGATTTTATACAGTAGGAGCCATAGATTTCTCATCAAAAACTGACTAGAAACAGGCTCATCCTGAGGTTTCTCATCACGACAAACTCAGAGGGAGGTGTCTAGGTCCTCAAGTTCCTCTACTAGATCTACTTCTTGTTGAATGACCTTGACGAAAAAATAAGTAGAGCAGTAGAGGGAAATAAAATCCTCCTTAATGTTGTACTTCTAGTACTAGTAATTACAGTGTAGTACTACTACTAGTCGTTTTTCTTGTTGTATTACTCTTGTTGTTGTGCTTCTACTTGTTCTTTTGTAGAACTACTAGTAAGTAAATGCGTCTCAGTGACCTCATGAAGATGACGGCCAGCTTCTATGCTACAGCTCATCCTCAAACTGACACTGGATAAGTGGAGGCGAGACCTATAGCGTGGTGGAAGCATGAAATTATATATCTATAAGTTCCGAGAAACATAAGTAACCATAAGGAGGAACCAGCGGAGTGAAAAGGAGAGGAAGTGATGTTGAGTTTCTAATTTGCAGGTCATTTCGTTTTTCGTATATCATTATTTAGTGTGTCCTTCACATGCAACCGTGAGTACCCCGGCGTGCGTATGCGCTATAATAATTTATGGTCGGTCGTGTTATTATTCTATCACCGCTATGCCTATGTATGTGTTTGATATCATGACTGAAAATTTTTCACGTCGTTATCAACAGTGTCATCATATTCTTGAGTATCTGATCGGGCCCCGCCGTCCCCACTTCGCCGTGCTTTTTCTATTTTTGAAGTTGATGTGACGAGGCCCATCGCCATCACCATCAGCATACTAGAAAATAAATCTAAAATTCCTCCTCCCTGCAAGGATTTTTTTGGAAACAAATTGCACCACACCCAACTCGATTACTCAATTGACTTCCCTCTTTCTTGTGCTTGAACGTGCACAACCCCTTACCCATTTCCTCCAGTGGAGCCCTGCAACCTATGTCTCCGTGTCCGTGACCCAATTCCTTAATTCAAGTATAATACTCCCCACGCGTACTCCCGTTGTACCCTACGTCGCATTAATACTCCCCTGTACTTATTAACATGGTAAGTAGATGGGACGAGTATCATATCAGACGTCACGGGCTATTTCGTGGTTACCACCAGGGGAAGCCTACATAATAAAACCAGCAATGAATAACACAGATACACACAGATCTTGTATTATCTTGTACCTACTTCACTACCTCAATAGCCTCAACTTTCCCGTTACCTTGTTGACCTCCTCTTCAAGGTCTGGGCCGAAGCCGACCACCGTCTCCGACCCCTCTTCAACTTCCGTCCGACCTGCGTCCGTCTGCGTCGCGGAGGATTAGAACTAGTGCTGGGTGATGATCATGAAGATGATGATTTCCATTGGGAAATAAGTACTAGAAAGACGGAGAATGAAAAATGCAGAATGAGAGAGCCTTAATGATGGATTCCGAGCTTTTCCGCTTTGTGTATTAGTGCGTACATTTGCTGTTCGCTCTCGACTTCGCAAACGACAATTTTTTCTCCCATCTGCTGCCAGTGCAAACAATACTGTATCTGCTGATCATTCCCCGACGTACCTTGAACAAGAGCAAGAGCACAGTGCGCAACTTGCGCGGCGATTTTTCCAGGTGACATTTTCAGGTCTTTTCTAACGCAAAAAACAGCCTTGAATTCCGGACCATCTTCGTCATAGCTTGGATCTTCGTCTTCTTCATCATCATCTACATCTTCAGGGTCATGAAGATTAGCTCGTGCATCTTCTACTGGAATTTTCTCGTTCTCGTTCTCTTCTTCCTCGGAAGATGAAGAAAGAAGCTGCTCTTTCTTCTTTGCCCCCGCGTGTTTCTTGTTGTTCATGTTCTTTTTTTCGTTCTTTCTCGGTGAAGATCCTGTAGTGGTCCTCTGTTGTTGATGCTTGTAATCTTCAGGCAGAACAATAGGGTTACTCTTACCAATATTGGGTATACCAATCTTGTTCTGCGTGTCCACAGCTGATGACGAGAAGTTTTTCATTTTCTCACTCCTTGTAGTTGTACCACCAGGTTGTGTGGTACTGGTTCTAGACATGTTGGAGTTTCTACTAGTTGGAGACGAAATACTTCTTCCACCGCTTCCGCCTCCATGGAATAGACTTGTCGTAGTCCCGCCAGGAGTACCAAATAAAGCTGAACCACGACCAGCAATGGCAAGACTAAAATCGACGTCTTCTGGTCGTTGAAGCTGATAGCAAGGGCCTCCGCGGTTTTTCATAATACTGCCTTTGCCGTTTCGAAGAATCTGTTCCGTCTGATGCTGGGCTATCCTGTCTTGCTGAAGCCGATGCATCCTATCAGTCTTGGCCATCTGCCTTAAAGCACCCTCGCCATACGACATCATCATGTCCACTGCCCTTGCCGTCCAAGTGTCAACACCCATCTCTGGAGGTTCTGAATGCTGTCGTGATCTATTGCTTGGATCACGTTAGAAGAGGAAGAATTTATTAGTTAGCAGACGATATTTACTACATCCACATCCTTGTCCCGATTAGATTTAGACATCAACCAAACTACATCGCACCACTCAGATTCAAGCGAGCCATAAAAAAAAGCGCTAAGCTGACCGCTCCCACGCCGACACGAAGGACTCGAGCTGCTCATTTTTCCGGATCTGCCAGCTCCTGAAATGGGTGTAGAAGCTTGTTCCTGAAGAGCGTTCGGCGTCGCTAGCTGGGTCGCTATTTCACACACATCCTCATCGAATCCCATTGCCATAAGCTGCTCTTTGACAATCAAGTGCTGAGGGCGATCATCGACGTGGACCTCTTGATGATGTGGACGTCGATGTCCTACTTCTACTTGGTCGTGTCGTCCTAGGTCGTCATGAACATCTCTCTTGTTTATCCTATCATCTCCATCGGTATCGGTATTCTGGTTGTCCACCACCGACAGCAGGTCCTTCTTCATGAAGATACTCGTTTTATCCACCGCTTCAACCTCATTTTTTTGAGGCGGATCTAAAGCCGTACTAGATGTTTCTTTTTGTTTGTATCCTACCGTTTTCCCGCCAGCGCCACTCTTCGTCCTCCGATGATCCTGGCCAGGACGAGTCCGCTCATCACCACGAACTGCACCTACTGTTGTTTGCGGAGACAAAGACTCTTCGCTGACGACATTGCTCCCTTCATGCAGTCGTGTGCTCGTCTCTGCGCTTTCTCGTCTCCCCATTTTTACAACGTCTTTGCGATTTCTTGTTGTAGAGGTGGACGCGGTCGTCTCATGCGCTCCACCATCAGATTGTTGTTCACGCATCTTGATACGAAAATTACTGATGCTGATCAGAGTCGGTGACACAACACGAGCACGAAGAACAGGGGCAGGCTGATAAAAATTTAATTTTACAAGATCTTTAAGTACTAGACAAGTAGATGAATAGAAATTTATGATTATGGAATGTCCATGTTGATATTATTACGCGTATCTTCATTAGAAGTTATCACGAGCAGCATGAATGATGCCCTTCTTTAGGTCTTATCGATAATGTCTAGCACTTATGCATAATATGCCCGTTATCTACTAACACGACCATGATCATGATCCTCATTTCATTTTCAAATACAGTGCAACGGTGGAGGTGGCTAATGCTACCTTCGACATCGAGGCAACGCACGACTCCACGTCGAAGGTGCTTGTCTTTGTCGTGTTTGTTCCTTCAAAAATCATGATCAGGGGCTAGACTTTGATGAATTATGATAGTTCTACCTCAACTACGTGATACAGGAGGTGCAGCGCAGTCGGATTTTGCAGGTAGATTGCGCAAGGCGCGCGCGTCGTGGACTAGTAGTAGAAGTGTACCCATTCTGGGGGTATAGAAGATAGTTAATTAGTTGCAAGGACTCATAAAGATAAAGTATAAATAACGACTGTTGCAGCTACGACAATGTTGTAGCAACACAATCCTTCTACTTGACATCCACCTGTAAATCAATGATGAATGCTTACAAATACAAAAATGTAGATGTAATTGCGTGTGGGTCGAAGAACTCTAAAATGACATCGTCAAATGCAATTGTGGCTATTCATTTCTTGAGATTTTGGATCGGCTCCGAACATCGCCGCAGAGGCATCTATTTAACAAGGTACCTATAATCAAAGAGCAAAGTCTTAGCACCATGTTGTTGTACGCGAGGATGTTGATCGAAAAATTATAGAACAAGAAGTTGTTCTTTAATAAATGCTGTTGCTGTAGTTCTAAGAATGAAAATAGCTTCTTTATCTAACAACCATGGCCGTAAAATTGGAACTGAAACTGTTATTGAACACAATTGCAAATTCGGTCTTCCTAGCGCCAGAAGTAATTATAGTAAGCACACGTAGGAAGATATCATGTTTGCGATTCCTACTAGTAACTAAAACAAGATCGTGCCGGAGGCTTTAACTCTATTATAAATTGATTGATTGAAGACAGCAAATAGCACCGGAAGAAGAAAATAATACCTTGAGTAAACAAGATTGAGACGATGCTGATGGTAAGCGTAAGTAAGCGACTTGCTTGCTCATCAGCTCAAGCTCTCTCTAGTGTAAGTAATATTAGGATTACAGCGATCATGCTATGTACAACTACTTGCTCAAGCACGCTCGCTCCCCTTCAATTTAACTTCTAAAGTTCACCCGCTCACTTCTTGAAGCTGCATGGCATCCTAAAGATTTGATTATTGAAGAAAGAAAGATGGAAGATGTTGAGGACATCAATTTTCTAGGCATTAATTGGTATTGGAAATATGCATCGCATTTTGTTCCCGGTCGCCAACAAAAAATTCGCTAAAACTGTAAGGGAAAGAGATGGAAAGAAAACAAAGAATCATGAATAAAATGATGATTATGAAGATACCTAAAAAAGTTGTACACGTCAAGCCTAGAGGAATGACTTTCGACTTCAGCGTAAAAGGAAAAAGAAGATGCAGAAGAAGAAGAAGAGATTATAAAAACATGAATGGTTTCCTCTCTCGCGATCATGTGGCATTTCAAGACTAAGGATTATATGCCTTTCGATTTTCATCAGTTCTTACAACTAAGAAAATGAATCCTTTGTAGCTCATGTATAATTTCGTTCTACTTCTAACACGCCAAACTCATGAAAGAAAGGAAAAAATCTCAGGTCTTCAGCTTCATGTAGTTTTTTTTTTTCCACTCATCATGTTGTGCATCATGCAGAGTTCGAACCAATTTTTTTTCTTGATCCCGTCTGTTCATGTAGTCTTGAGGAGAACTCCTCGCTATCTTAGTTCTCATGCAAGAACCTCCTCGCATCAAGTTGCACGGCTCTGCAACATCACGTGTTTTTTCTACTGGCTTCAGATAGGTGGAACACGACGCCCAGAAAATAGAGCTATGGAAAAGTTAAAGTGAAGATGACAACAGTGTTTGCTTTTTTCCACTACGTCTAGTCTATAAATTTTCATTTGATTGACCGGCATAATATGTTGACTCATCCAATGATTTGCTCATTTTCGTCGTGGTGAATATTTTCATTGACACTTCACTGTCTTTCACATTGCTTCGCACCTCCTGCCTCCATAAACAAAAATACGACATGTAGTATTTGATTCCTCCTGGTCATCAATTGAAAAACCTCCTATTCTATTCTATTCTATTCTAGTCTATTGAAAGGAGTGATGTATTTTTTATCACACATCGAGAACGCTGTCCCTCTTAGTTCCGAGACCCCAATCAAGCCAGCTAAAATTATCCGGATCATTGCGCCATCGCAAATACCTGGAGTTGCGAAAGATTTGTTGCTCGTTTTCATACTACAAGCACAGGGTAGCGAGTCTTCCCATCCACATGCATTAGACACATGAGATGAGATTGATTGATTGATATGCCTGACAAGAGGTAGGTTTTGGAGAGCTATTTGTTTTGGATGATATGATCCTGGTCGTTCTAGTTCACCTCGTCCTGGCTATAATTTGTTCATCTCTACTAGAACGACCAGGAGGTGAACTAGAACGACAAGAATCACGAGCCACGAGCAGGACCAGGAGGTGGAGCAGGATTAACAGCGAAAACACCATAAAAACAGAATATTACGACATTTCGCAAACAAGAATACGAGAACATGAGGTATAGCGCAACCCCCGTGACGACGACGATCTTCATCTGTGTCGAGATGAAGGGCTTATTCTTGTATTTCCGCTCAAACGCGTCCACTTTATCCCTGGTTGACTTGTAGTGCTTCATGTCCTTGATTAGTTTTGCTGCTTGATCAAACGCTTGGAAGCCATCTGCGACATACTTCTTCTGGTTCAGTGGTGGCTTGCCGGATGGCACGTGGAAGGAGGATATATCGGCACTGGAGGTTCTGAGACCACTACTAGTGATGCGCTGATTCAAGATCCCTGTCCCTGTGTTTGCTGATGCTCCACCTGCTTTCTTGGCTGTTGATGACGAACTCGTACCCGCTGTCGGAATCGGCAGTTGCCGCACGGAAGGGCCCGTTGAAGATGGCATCTTTTCCTCTTCGTACTCCTCGTCCTAGAAGAGATACTGCAGAAGATGAAGATCTTCAAGTCGGAGTTGAAGATTTTTTAACTTCATCCAAGATTTTTTCATTCTTTTTTTCAAACTCTTCTATTACTATTTTTTTCGAAAAGTAGCCATTTCTCGACGTCGTCGTGAAGCTCTCGATGAAATCGACTGCGAGTCTCATCTCCCTTATTTGCTGTTGTGTTCATCGATTCCCGTACTTAGAAAACGAAGCACAGGGAAGCGAGCTAGTCGAGAGGAGGACTCGACAATCAGTAACGGAAGCATTTCCTTTTTTCCTATTTCATTTGTTGCGTGGAAGTGGATCTGTGCATTGAGTTTGAGGGCGCACTGCAGTGCGTATTTGCGAAGTAGAATCTAGCTGTTGACTAAGAAAAACATCATCGTCCTGTTGTACTTCTACTGGGACATGGATCCTCAAAGGAATCGTGGAACAAAGTCATACTACTTCAAGAGCAACTTACTGGTTCTGGTGCGTTCTGAGAATCTAAATGTGGATGATGAAGATGTCTTGATATGAAAAATGTTTCCTCGCGCAAGCGCACTAAGTCATGCTATGCTTCGTTGCGTTGTGATGATGGGTGCGAATGATAGTGACATTTTGAATACTACTGAAGATGGTGAAGATGCGCGAGCGCGAAAAGCTAAGAAAGATGAATCTGATATTCTCAAACTAACATGGCTAAAAAATATCGCTAGATTTACAGCTCGTCGTGGCTACTTTACGAGGATCTACTTTACTATGTCAGCCACCTTTGAACAAAACACACAGAATCTTTCTGTTTAGTCAAGAAATCACGAGTAGGCGAGGTCCTCGTGTTGAACTTGAAATCGATAATTCTACTTTGATTTTCCTTCAACTTCAACATCCTCCTCTTCGTCTTCCTTTATCTTGCTTCCAGTACCTCGTCCAGCTCCAACCTTGGTCCCTCCTGATGGTTTCCTGCTAGCCGGCTCAGCTTCCTCCCTCAATGGTGGCAAGGGACAGCGTGCACCGCCTACCTTCATCGCTAGGTAGAAGTTCCTCCTTTCTGCTCGTCGCTCGTCTAGGGCCTTCTTGCCTTCTTCACAGATGTACGCCTCCTCATTTTTCAAAATGTCTTCGATAGGAGTTATTTGCTCTTTTCGTCCGTTCATATTCTTGGTTCGACTGATTTCCCATCCTGGGTCTCGCACCGGCGCACGCAACCAGTGGTGGAAACGCTGGGATTTGAGGTCCAGATTTAAATTCAAGTACAAAGAGTGAGATGACGAAGTATTGTATGGCTCTGACTTTGTAGTTATCGAAGGAGGGTGTTTGCTTCTGTAACTTTTCAACAGCAAAAAATGGAGAGTACTAAAAGTACTGATCTCTCGGCTGCATCCATTGGCTCAAATCTGTCTAGAGTCAGCACAACTTCGGCCGTATCTGCATCGGTAACCTGTAAAGAAATGTTTGTTGTTCTTGACGAGATTGAGTATCAGACACAGGCTTCAGTTGTTTCAGTAGCAAACACTAACTCTAATCTTGCTTGAAGTTGAAATATTAAGTAGAGGACGACCAGGACGCAGTTCATTTTACTAGGACAACTGCTGTTTTTCTTTATGATTATTCTAGAAGTAAATTTCTAGTACCGTAAAGCTCACACTTCGCTGATATTTCCCCGTAAATCGCAACTGCCTCCCTGGCATGCGCTTGCTTGGCGCTATTGGTACCCTATAGCGGTCCACCTGCGGGGTCTCAGCGTGTTCTTTCATCAGTTTGTAAAGCGTTGTGTTTTCTAGCGGAATCGTCGGGACTCCACGCGTGATCGTGGTAGTGGAGTTTCCGCTTGAAGGTGGAGTTTCCGCTTGAAGGTGGAGTTCCCCGTTGCCAGCACTATTCTGCTCGTCATCCCCTTTCCCACTCTCGCTGGGCAGAAGCCCCGCGGCCGCAGCTGCTGCACTTGCGACACTGTAAGGTATTAGACCGCCTGTAGTATTTTGCTTCTGCTGCATTGAGGAGGACGCGGAAGAACCAGAAAAGACCAAGCCACCAGTCGCAGTGCTTCCACATGGTGCTATGGCATACAATGCATTGGGATCTTTAGGTCCAAATTTTCTGCCCTTTCTTGGAGACACGTCAGACTCCTGTGGTCCACCTTGTAGTTGGCTAGAAGAAGAAGAAGTAGAGCTACCAGTTCCAGTACTACCAGAGCCCAGCACTAATGACAGCGGTCTCAATTGCAAAGGCACAAGCCCTATCGCGTTTGTAGATGGTAGGATGCTGTTGATCGTGGCATTTTTGAAAAGCGATGCTGAAGTGGATGTTGAGGAGGGCGCTGCTTGCGCTGCTTCGCTCGTCAATGGTGCCAACATCGAGTTTGAGGAAGATGTCGTATTTCTAGAAGATGACGATAGCAACGTCGAAGAAGCGGATATTTCCTGTGGTTTTTGTTCCAGGAGGTGGGTTTCAGTCTCTACTGCTCCTTCTTTCGAACTAGATAAAGCACCTGCTACCTCTACCTCGACAGACGACGTATCGTCCTCTTTTCGCGCACCCCGTGGACACGACTTTCGATCTGAACTAGTTTCCTCAACAACAGAAGTACTAATATCGGTAGAAGTCGTACTCGTAGTTATGCCTGACTCTGCAACAGCACTACTTATCACCTCATCGTTAGACATGCCTAAAGTCGGACACGGAGCCGCCAGCGAAGATGATAATGGCGACCCCGCCAATGCTGGGGGAGGCAGCGGAGGTGCCACACCAGTTACGCCAGGAGACAAAACAGCAGGGGAACTCGGTGAACAGGCCTGTTGAGCAGTACCTGTTCGAGTTCTCAGTGGAGCCGCTCCTTCACGTTTTTTCCTCTCCTGTCTGTCCCGATCATCTTGCTGCCCTGCTCGAATATATTGTGGCTTTTTCGAGGAAGGAGGCGAGAAAGCAGCACTTCGAGGTTTTTCTGCTACTATTGAAGTTGATGTTGCAGCTGACGGGGCTACTGCACTAGGAGGTGTTTCTTCCGCTTGCCTCTTCGCTTCTCCTTTTGTTGTAATATTTGTTGCTCCAGAAGCTGCAGCAGCAAGTATACTACCTGGATAATTCCTCTTGCTCGGCGAGGACGGATCTCCCTCTATATCTCCTCTTGCGCGATTGACTTTTGCCGACAAACCACTCCCAGCACTTGGAGCCTTTCTTCTAGGTGACGCGATGAATGTCTTTGGAGAGGTTCTCGGTGATTTTTTTGGTGATCTTTTTGGTGCCGTTTTTGGAGACGCTCTTGGAGAAGCTCTTGGAGAAGCTTTCGGTGATGCTCGGGGAGAAGCTCGAGGCGAAGCCTCTGGCGATGCTTTCGGTGACGCTCTTGGAGAGGCTCTAGGTGAGGCGCTTGGTGAAGCTCTAGGTGACATTCTTGCCATTGCCCTTCCACTTGTACCACTGGTTTTCGAGGATGTTTTTTTTGAAGAAGGTGTTGAGTCCTGAGCAAGCATAGGCTCTGTTGCAGACGCTGAGTCTGTGGCTGCTTGTTTTTCTGGTGAGGGCACTGGTGGTGACGATTTTGGCGAAGATTTTGGAGGTGGCGAGGACTTTGGAGAGGACTTCGGCGTTCCTCTAGTAACTGGCAGTGGTGGCTTTTTCGTTCCTCCTACTCGGAGATGTTGTCCAGAACCAGACGAAGGAGTTGTCCTAGATGGAGAAGCTGCTGGCGGTGACCGTGGACTAGACGATGGCGGGTTTCCTTTGCCACCTCCAGGAACTGGTGGCGTGCTACTACGGCTTGGTGTAGAACTCAGTTGTCCTTGTCGACGACTTGCACTAATATTTGATGCAGCTCCTGTAGTACTAGATGATGTAGTACTTCTACCTATTGACGACATCCTCTTGCTACTAGTACTGGATGCAGATGAAGTAGACCCTGATGCAGATGAAGATGAACTACACGGATCAACAGTCGGAGTCGTACTGATTGACGAAGTAGAGGCAGACTTCTCTTCCCCAGCTGGTCTGGCAACTGAGCACCATTGTTTGATGTCGCTTTTTCTTGGACGTGGAGCAGGGGAGAAACTTCCAGCGGTGCTAGAAGTTGTATTCCCTTTCCTGTTTCGTGGCACTGAACTTGAGGGCACTCGAGCTCTACTGCCAGAGGAAGTGTTGGAACCAAGTGAGTTTTTGCGTCGCGGAGGCATTGGCTCAGGCTCTTCCAGAGGAACGCCAAAACTAGTTGCACCATTTCGGTTTTTCGTAATAGGCGTCGTGTCATCTGGAGAGAAATGATCTAGATCTAACGCTTGAGAAATCACGTTTTGATATGTGACTTGCCCGTCTACTTCATTTTCCCCTACAAGAAACTTGTTGCCTTGGAAACCGTCGTCTTGGTGCTCCTCCTCGTGTCCTTCAGGCATTGCTACACTTTCGGAAGAAGATGAATTCAGTTCTACAGGCTTCTCATCTACTTCGAGCCTATCAAAGACTTCTTCCACCTCGACGTCGTGCTTCGCCAAATCTGCTGTAATTTGTTCTTGAGCAACTTCATGGTCATGCGTTGTCGTCGTGTCTTCCGCAACTAATGAAGATGTTGACGCCACGACGATGCTCGCGGAAGAGGTAGAGGTAGTTGATGATTTGCTACTACTGGCACTGATGCTACCATCCGCAACTAGTGCCTGTGACTGTGAGTTGTTTCGAGGATCATGAACAGTCCTTTGGGAGGTCTTTTCTTTCTCCCTCTGTGCTCTCGACAAAGAGCGTTTACCCCTTGATGTTCTAGAAGACGTTGACCCGCCTGCAGCCCCCGCAGAGCGTGCGACATCGCTATACAAACTCCCTTTCAATTTTGCGGTTCTGCTGAATGGCGAGTCGCCCAGAACATCTTGATGCTCAGCACGTAGACGCCCTCGCGCAGCTGAAGTGGTTGTTGCAGCAGATGTTGTTAGACGAGCACCAGTGGTCGTGGTACTGCCAGAGGGTGGTCGGACTTTTAGAACTTGCATTCGAGTATGCTGGGTGGGAGACCCAACGTTTCTTGTGCTATGAGGTGGTGAGGCAGTCTTGGTTGTCTGCAGATGGAGCTGTAGTTGCTGCATGGCATGATTCCCGGATGATGTTGGAGATATTTTCGACGTCTGCAGCTGCGCTTGGACTTGGTCTCCTACTGCTTCGTGTTGTACTTCTGCTGGTGAGGACTTTTGTTCAACATCCCCAGCACTAAAACTACCAGAAAAGAGTTCTTCTGACCCCTGTTTCGCTTTGTTACTACGATGAAACATAGCCTTGTGCAACGCAGGTGTTGGTGAAGTCGATGTTGATGTTGCGCCTCCGAGAGAATCCACCACATTTTGACTTTCGTGAAAACTAGCGGAACCACTACTTGTTATTGTGTAAGTACTAGTTTTGCTACTACTCCTACTCGACGTGCTGCTACACGAAGAGGTAGAAGATATTTTCGAAGGTCCAGCACGATGATCATCTGTTGCCCCCAGCACAGCCTCAGCCGATACTGCAGCTGCGACTTGCTCTGACGGCAGACTTGGGGTCGGCGTAGAACCTGCTTCATGAGACAGGAAGGGAAGTGGATGATTTGGATGTTGGCGAGATGCAGTAGTTCTTGTCGTCGAAGCACGCTCCTCCTGGTGACAGCGTTGTCTGATGAACAAGCGTATCCGATCTGCTATACTACTTGAAGATTCAGTCTCTCCAAGAAGAGTTCTCCTACTACTTGGGTTGCTTGTCATTGAACTTGATCCACCTCCTATAGACCCGACAGAATCATCCTCGACCATGTCTTCCTCTACCCATGCAGGCCTATGAAGAAACAAACTAGCACTTCTCTCCTGATATTCATCGTCCTCGCCGTAACTGCTTGCCGTTTGACTGACACCTCCCTCTATCACGCTCATGATGTCCTCGAAACTGGTCGTATGCTCAATTTCGTCGTCTGGTGGTAGGACGTCTTCAAATGCAGGTGAGAAAGGGCCATCAACGTTAGTACTTCTAGTAGGTCTGTCGTCCTCCTCGTCTCCTACGGCAGAAGAATCGGCTTTCGTGTTGTAGATGAACCGTGGCTCCCTGACTTCTTCGTACCCCAACGCCGAGGACGATATAGGAGGAAGATCGCCACCTCCATCTTCATCCTCTAACAGGAACGAAGGAGGGGAGTAGAATTCTGGTTCTTGTGGCGGTGCTGGGGTCTCAACGTCTCCCGCAAAGAACCCTGCTCGACTGCTCTTGAAATTCCGCAACGCTGCCATCTGCGCGCCGTGCGCCTGCAGCGCGGCGGAGTCGGAGACATTCATGGTGTGTCTCGAAGTCGAGGATCAACTACTCGAAGTCGCTCTTCAATGTCCTCGAAGTCGAGGATCAACAACTACATCACACAGCACCTAGTATTAGTTATTCCTGTTCCTCTACTTACCTTCTACGGCGTCGACGTAAACCACGCCTTAGGAACAACGATAAACGCATAGAAGTAATCACCACGATGGGTCATGAGAACCACAATATTTTTCTACTATCGGCGTTTTTTGGTCACGACAGTAACATAGAATTAGCAGAAGTCCTGCTTTCTTATCTATCCCTCACAGTTTTGCTCAAGGTATCACTTTTTTCCCTTCTATCACTCGAAGAGAATGGATAGTGCTCCCGCTCTTCGCCCCAGCTACGTCGCCAAACAACGTCACCTCAAATTATCGCTTGATGAGACAGTTGCCCAAGTACTAGCCCATCCTTCTAGTAGGCTACCAGTGGCTTATATTATATCCTTGTCCTTCCGCAGAAAAATTATCAACAAAAAACAGTTCTAACTTCTTGATGGTGTTCATTTTTTTCGGAATTCGCAAAACCAAATTTTGAGCACCTACCAGCACTAGCACTTCTCGCACTAATTATGCAACGAGGATGTTGCTCCTGTCTTCACATGATTCCTCGTTACTACTAGTAGTGGAGGTCATGGTAGTACTAAAGGTGGAGAACCAGGTACTTCTAGGGTACGAGTAACTAATCGACCCCGCTAAAAAGAAGGTCATAATCTAACGATGTTCATGTGTGTAGGTAGTATCTTCGCATGCGTCTATTTACATATTTTTTCAAACTCTGTACAGGATTAAAATATTTACCCAGGACAAGTGAAAAACGATCTAATTTTCATGTCCGACCAATATCTTTTACATGATGAATGTATACATAGTCATAGTCCCACCAGTATTTTTTACAAGATGAATGTGTAGCGTTGTGACTCATATCTACTTTATGCCTAAGCCTATTCAGTGCATTTACTGTCGTTTTTGCATTAACTACATGAGGATTACGATGCACTGTGCTGAGTTTTCTATCTTAGCGGAGATCATCAAACAGCTTGGGTATCTACTCATTTTTAGACTTAGAGGTACGAAGAAGATAGTTTTTATTCTCAAATCGCGTTTTGATTTTGGTAGTAGAGTTTGTGATTACCCATGGTGTGAGTCGTGTACGAAAGCTTGGTAAGTATAAGTTGTTGTAGCATTTGCATTATGGTTCTTGTCATAGCAACTCATGCAGTATGAGTCCTTTAATTTCAAGTGTAAGTAATATCAGAAATGCAAAAGTGATGTAAGCGTTAGAAAGGGGAAATGTAAATGAGACGAGCCCAGTAAATGTATTGCTTCGTGTTAGTTCAGCTCTTTATCGATGTCGATGACAAGAATGACAAATGGAAGATTCTCCTGACGAATTTGAATGTCTACAGGAAATAACAAGTTCGATGCCTATAATAAGCCTATGATCATTGCAGTAAAGCATCCATAACTGCTTGCCTTTGCTGTAGGTGCGTCTCTACATTTTGCAAATTTTTCATGCTTTGCGACTGAAGGGCCGCCGCACGCTGCTGATCTGGAGGTATAGCGACAGCACTTGCTGCTGAAGCACTTTTACCGAGTTTTGGTTGGTGTACAACTATTCCTACTCTTCCTCCTGAGCGTCCTCTAGTGCTGAGATGATGTTCTGCGCTTGCTCCTATCATCTTGCCATTGGCAGTCAGGTTGAGGTTGAGTTCTTGATGCATCGGGGAAGGAACAGCCACTACCCTGGGTTTCACCGTGGTCGGAGGCGATACTAGTGACGCAAACAGCGATGCTGCACTGCTACTACTAGAAGATGAACTGGATGCACCTCGTCCTGTGCCAGACACTCCGACAGCACCCAAGCCTTGTTTCAACTGTCGCAACTTCAGTTCCAATAAGTCGTTGTCCGTAGGAGGTTCTCGGCGATAAGCCATCGGAGCGTCGAGGCCTTGAGCTTTACGATGCCCATATTCGCTTTCTGCCCACTCCTTCTGCAATTGCTTCTTCTCCTCAATGTGATCCTCATTTTGCTTTTCGATGCGGCCACGAAGGTGGGACTCCGCGAGTTGGAGACCTGTGAGACAGAAGAGGTGGACGATTCGTATCGAAGAGATATTGAGCTTGGTGGTCGCCACGAAAAATTAATTGTAGTAAGCAGACGAAAAAACTTTGAATTTCATGATTTTGATTCAAATTGCGTAAGTAAACATCAAATCTGAACAAATTTGAACAATCTGGCACATCATGAATAGTACCAGCTATCTACATCCTCTGTTTTTCCAAATCTTTATCCATAGAAGTACCAGCTATCTCCATCCTCTGTTTTTCCAGATCTCTATCCTTCTCCTGCAAGCTTTCCTTCAAGGCGCCCACTTCGTCTTTCAAATCGCCAACTTGCTTCTTTTTCTCCAGAAGTTTGGATCTTCAGATTAGAAGAGACTACTTGCAAGACATGCTGCTCCTGTTCTTCAGTAACTGCAAGCTATGCTGCGGCCGAATGTTCATGTTGTGGCTCAATAACTACAAGAATAACAACTACACCAGTATCGACTACATCAAGAACATGATCAACAGTGAGTATTATACTTAATGAGAACCACCTCCTTTAGCATAACAACTTCTCTTCCATCTTCTCGAAATCGCTTTCCAATCCTCGAACATCCTCCTCTGCTTGCTTTCTCTCCGCATCTAAAGTCTTCTCCAACCTCCGTATTTGCTTTTCAAACCTCTGCTGCATCTCGTTCAACTCTGCTTGATGCTGTTCACCACCTCCAACGTCCTTCTGCTGCTGCAGTTCATCTGCACTAGATTTGGCTTGGGCGAGCTTGGACTGCAGTGAAGAGCCTGAGTGGAGGTGTGGAGATGCGAGAAAGAAAAGGTACTAGACCAGCGTGGTGCTGTTGAAAAAAACTTTTATCAGCTTCAGCATTTTCCACCCACTTTGCTTTTACATTTCCAGTTTTACTGCATTTCAGAAAGGCAAGCTGCTTTCCATTTGCGTCTGACATTTGCATTTCACATTTTGTTCCTCCAAATTCATCCAGTTTCTCCAAATTCAACACCATATTGTTCACGACTAATTTTTTTCCCATTCCTTCGTGTTGATCTACTTCTCCTTCTCTTAGTAATCGATGCACTTGTTTTTTGGCAGAAGAATCTGTGTACTGCTGCTTCTTAGAAGATCTCCTTCTCGTCTTCGTAATTATGATGTTCATGTGCAGCGAGTGCATCTCCTTCTCCTTGTTTTCTACTACTAAAGCAACAACTTGACTTTTAGCCGAAGAAACTGCCAAAGAGACCACTTGCTTCCTCCCTAGCTGCAGACGTCGGCGATTTCACTGACTGCTTATATCCTGCTAATGACTGGTCTGTTCGTCTGGTGCCTCGCTTTGTCTCTGGAAGAACCCCTCCCGACCCACCTGCGGCACGTGATGGTGGAGGTTGGAACGTTCCTCTTCCATCAGAAACACTAGGTGGAACCCCTCCCGACCCACCTGCGGTACGTGATGGTGGAGGTTGGAACGTTCCTCTTCCATCAGAAACACTAGGTGGAACCCCTCCCGACCCACCTGCGGTACGTGATGGTGGAGGTTGGAACGTTCCTCTTCCATCAGAAACACTAGGTGGAACCCCTCCCGACCCACCTACAGAACGTGAAGGTGGAGGTTGGAACGTTCCTCTTCCATCAGAAACACTAGATGGAACAACCCCTCCCGACCCACCTGCGGCACGTGATGGTGGTTGAAACGTTCCTCTTCCATCAGGAACACTAGGTTTTTTCCCCGCACTAGCGGTACTACCAGTAGACGTTTTATTCGCAGTTTCACGAGAACCTCCCCTTGTTCCTCCTGCTGAAGATCTCATTTGTTGTTCTGCTCCAGCAGAAGATGCGGGAGCTGAACCTCCTGATGAAGGTCCTCTACTGCCTCCTGTACTTCTTATGTTCGCCTGTGGACCAGGTGAATGCGTTGAACTTGGAAGATTAGCATTTCCTGCAGCACTAGCTTTTGAAGACGGAATTCGTTCCTCGTCTGCTGGTGCTGCACCTCCTCCACTAGCATTACTCATTCCACTCATTCTTATTTCCGCTTGTGACCCTGTTGATCCTCCACTCATTCTTTCCGCTTGTGAAGTAGAACCTCCGGATCTGCGGTCTTGCTCTTGCATAGCAGCCGACAACCGAGCTACGGGTTTGTTATGTTCGTGGCTCTTGTGCGCGTGCATGAAATCACTATGGTTCTTCATGGAGTCGTATTGGTCTAAGTCCAAAGCTTTAGCCTTCGCCTTTGTTCCCATATATGCCCCAATCGGTTGCAACACTGGAAAACTCTGTGGCTTGACTTCTGGATCCGCAACCGGAATCGGCAATGGCGGTTTCTCCTCGATTTTCTCAACCGGCACGCCTAGATCGACTCCGCCGTACATGGACTGCGTGTGCTCCTCGATCTCGATGCCGCCACCCTTCTCCTTGTGGTGCACGTTGGTTCTCTTCTGCTCCTTGCGCAGCGTCGGGATCAACCTTGGATAACCGTTAGCGAATGGCTTTCTGCCTTCTGCGGATTTGCAGGTCGTCTTCTTGACCATGTTCATCTCGTGCACGATCGATCTCGGCTGATATTTCAAGACGTCTTCCTTGTTGATGTGCAGTTTCTGCTTCTTGATTAACCATTTGGCTAGAGTCAAAGCCTTGGCGCATTCGAACAGCTCATGAACCGAAGCAACTTTTTCCCGCAACTTCTGCATGTTGGCTGAGAAATTCCTAGCGTGCTGCATTGCAGGATCGCTTTCGTCAGTGGTAGGGGCATCGCGGTAGCCATCTGGACCCATCTCTAAGCGTCGGGCATCGACCTTCATCTTCACGTCCACGATCAGCACTCGATCTTTCGAAAGTGTCACACTGCCAGAGTCAATAATGAACCATTGTCGAGCACCAGTGGAGCTGTGATCGGTCTCGAACAAGGAGTCGAACTTGACGCCTTCGACTGGAGCATCGCCGAAAGAAAACTTCTTCAGAAAGTAGTCGGCTTGGAACATCACCTGGAGGTGTTGTGAGGTGTGAAGATATCGTTTCATCAACAACATCAAGTACAACAAGTAGGTTGCGGATACTTATATTCGAAAAACTGAAATAAGCGAGTAACTACTGAAAATAAGCGAGATACTGAACAAGGAAGACTAGCCCTGTCAAAGCTACCTCCCTTATTTCAGTCAGTAACTCGGTCATTTTCAGTTTTCGAGTAAGTCGAAAATTGTGCAAGAACTGTAACTAAAGAATGTAGTAGTGCAACTAACTGACAGTGAAAAGGTTGGAACATGAATGAAGTTTGAGATCGCGAAACTCCACAATGACGAGGAAGTGAACAAGTGGAATTTTTACCTCTCCCAAGGGTCCGTCGCACATCTCATCAGGGATAAAGCGTTTCTTTTGTTCCGCACCTCCCAAATCATGCGGATCCGCGGGATCTAAGGAAAAAACCGGTTCTTGCCCATGATTCAGCTCGATCATCTTGCACGCCTCCACCAAGTATTCCAAATTGATGCTGTGCTTCGGGTCGTGCGCTTTTCCCACGTGGAGATGCGAATCTTCGTCTAGGAACAGACAGAGATGCTCTGGGTCTTTTTTCAAATCTTCCTTGTCATTGGAGTCGAATAAGTGGAGAGTGTCTTCGGCTCGACCACGGTAAGCATCGGACCAGACGCAGGCGTGACCGCGCTCGATCTCGGCAGTCTCCTTGAGCTCTTTGGCCTCAGCTTCTTTGTGCTTGGCGTTGGCGACGTTCTCGGTGATTTCCGCGTAGCAGCCTTCGCACACCATGTCCTTGATGTCACTCTCGCCACGGGCTTTGGCTGCCGGATCGGGGTAGAAACCGTGGTCAAGAGGTTGCGTGCAGTGGGAGCACTTGAAGCAGCAATGGCCGTCTGGACCAGCTTTATGGTACTGACGGCCGCCAGCTGTCATGATCTGACCGGAAAGTTTGCCGCCACAACCTGCGCATTTCGGAATGCAGTTCGTGCACGTGATCCCCCCGTCAGCGCCCTTGATGAACTGACCCTTGATCGGCTCATCGCAGGTTTTACAGCGGAAGCAATCCGAGTGGAACTTACTTCCATCTCCCAATTTCCCAATTTTCTGACCTGGCTCGAGGGCTTTTCCGCAAAACGTGCAGGCATCATCTGCTGCTTTAGCACCAGGTCCTCCTTTATTAGCCGCTTTCGAACCACCTTTCGGAGGATGTTTCTTCTCCCATTCATCTCTCTGGAATTTGTCAGCACAAGCTCCACACATCCAATCAGTCTCCTTCGTCGTGTTCCACCTAGGATCCTTCTCTTTGTCTGTCAACAACTTCCGCTTTTCCATAAAGCCTCCTTCAATCCCCTCCTTGCACTCGCAGCACTGAAAACAGGACTGATGCACGGACAGGCCACCGCCGATCGTCAAGCCGGGACCCCCGTCGAGCATGGTCTTGTTACAGACAACGCACACTCCAGCACTTTTTTCCGCACACGCCTGGCACTGGGGACCATTGTCAGTGTCAAAATATGTGCCGGAAATTCCTTTCCCGCAATCTACGCAATCCATTTTCGGCATCTTTGTTTTCTAGCTTTGGGGAGGAGAACCTCGTCGTCCACGTGGTCCACTCAGTAAATACTAAAACAACACTATTAGTATTACGACTGTATTGAGATAGACATAGTCATAGATAGAGGTTGAAAAAAATAATAAAACTAATTTTTGATATTTCAATGTATTACCGAGTTACTAAAGCTTGTAGAAGTGATGAAGAACCGTGGCGCGATTCCAAAATCAAAATCAGCGAACTTACAAATACAAAACGCTGCTATTAGCATGGCACTTTCCGCACGGGTAGAAATCGAAAATGAGACATGAAGGTGGAATCTCACTGATGAGAAGACCTGTGGAGAGCGCCGTATTATAGTTCATACCTCAAGATGAATACTTCTACACCAAAAAGACTAGATGAAATAACGCTTGCCAGGATTTAATAAACGTGCTTTTGTCAACACCACTCGTTCAAAAATAGATTCAACTACTACGAAGTTATCGCGAGGAACAATTGCAAAATAGAGCGCGCGTCTTTTGTTTCATCCACGCGTCAGGCAAGAACTTGCTCCTACGTTGATCATTCTCTGGGCAGGCGGGCGGGCTTAGCGTGCATTTACTTTTGTAGCGGTGCTGCGGTCAGTGAATGGCGTCGCAGGTCTCGTCGCCGCAGATTCCCGCTGTTAGTCATTTTTACCCATGGATAGCGCCAGCCCCAGCTTTGCGGAGGGCTATTAACAGGGTGTCTGTGGTCGTTCGGGCGGGGCTGTTTCAGAAGTCTTGCCCTGGGCAGGCTGCTTCAGAAACCTTGCTCCAGGCAGGTTGAAAATCGCCCCTGTCCGGTTCTATATTATACTATAGGCTAGGCGTGTTCGTGCTAGCCGCTTGCTGTCTGGTAACCGTTGCAGCACATCGCAGGCGGGCAACAGCAATGGCAAATCGCAGGCGGGCAAATAAACCTAGTTGCTACAATATTTTTGACGCGCTTTGCTCTCAAAAAGAGACTAAACCAGAAGGATCCTCACAGGACAGATCTTTTCATCTTAGCTTGTTGAATGCTCGCTCAAGTTACCTTACGCAGCTACGTGATAATGCTTCATGGTGATATTCAATCTCTCCATTTTGCACAACATCAATAAAACATTAATGTAGAAGTTAGTGCATCGAATATTCGGTTTTGTCTACTTAAATAAACAACTTAATCCTAAGGTACCCGTTCACTCGTCTCTCGTTTCTACATACTCGACAATGTAACCCCTCCGGAAGGGAAGCCAACTATCATTTCCTATGCTACGACATAACTCCATTAGATTCTTGTTCATTTGTTGATGATCTCACTTAGTACTTCTCGCAGCTCGCCCCATTTTTGCGAAAGGAAAACGACCTCCAAACTAACTAGGGCCTTCATCTTTTTCAATGTTTCCACTAGACGATGAAGACCTACAACATGAAGTGAAAATTATGTTTATGAACGAATAACAACATCAAGTAGACGGGATATAATCAATCAAAGAATTATCGGCTAAAAATATTTTTTTTTACTTATAGTGCATCTGTATCAGCAAGAACCATCTGCAAGTACTTCTAGATTCTTCTACTTTTCAACGATCTTGTTGGATGATATAGACATTATTTAACGACCAACACCAAGTTCATCGTGAGGACATAACAATCATCAGGTCCATCATACTCACATAGTGGCTACTGCACGATTTGCAGCTCATCAATCTCCTAATATGAAGTCTGCTCCTGCTGCTGCTGCTGCTTGGTCTGACATTAGAGGAAGCTTTCGCCCATCCTGGTCCGCTCATCTTGACCCCTTGCGCCTTGTATTTCATGAGAAAACAAGGGAAAAGGATACCAAGATCCCGAGAAAGATGGACACTAAATGTTGACCTTAAATCTACTGCCTCTTCTTGTCTGGTAGCCCTGTTTGATGACCTACATGTAGAAGTGAACCTTCTCGTGCCTCTTCTTGCTGCTGTTTGATGACTTACATCTAGAAGTGAACCTTCTCGTGCCTCTTCTTGCTGCTGTTTGATGACCTACATCTAGAAGTGAACCTTCTCGTGCCTCTTCTTGCTGCTGTTTGATGACCTACATCTAGACGTGCCTCTTCTCGTACCTCTTTTTGTCTGGTACCGCTGCTTGATGCTTCTATCTAGATCTAGTGCCTCTTCTCCTCGTACCTCTTCTTGTCTTACATGATCGTACACGCCAAACAGATCCCAGGTGGCAATTCTTGGTCGGCCAGTTCGGGGTCTTGCATTATGTCCTTATTGCAGCTTTTACAGAAACTCCCAGTCTTCCCTGGTGGCGCGTTGAAGTACTCTACGCCACCCAGAGGCGTTCTACACCGTTTACATCGAAAGCAGCAATACCCATCCGGTCCTACTTTGTGGTACTCGAAGCCATCGGAGATAGTGATTTCCCCAAGCAGCGGCTCATTACAGAAAGCACACTTCTTAGTACACTTCGTGCAGCAAAATTTGTCTTTTTTAGAGCTTACCGATATTTTTCATCTTAACGTGCATCTTACTTGGCTGGCGTGTCTTCGTTCCCCTTGAAGTTATGTATCAACCCAAGCAAGGATGCCTCCTAAGATGATGAATTACAAATTCAAGCCTTAATTTTTCCTTCTGGGATAAACTTTCCATCAATCGGCTTATCGCACTTGTAACACTTAAAGCACTTCTTATGACACTCGCGTCCATCATCCAGTTTTTTGAATTCTTCTCCCGCTTCAATGTCTTCGCCACAAAAGGGACACTCTCCACCATTGGGCTTATTTTCTTTACGCACGGTCTCCGCACAATCATCGCACACCCAAGCACACTGCCCAAAACTGCTCCCATTTATTAGAAGATCAAAAAAAAAACAAAAAATGTACTCACCTCAGAAAGAGGTACTTAAATGTTCTTAAGGACGATTTCCCCACCCTTCTTGAAAATAACACAAATGATGACGATGATATACCCAGCCATGAGGCGGGTGCGCAAATGACGTTCTAAATATAGTTCTTTTCTTCTTTTGTAGATCTCAACTGCAAGACAAAGATGAGTACGTCAAAGATACATACTTACAACACCTTTTAAGATGAAGTCTCGAAGAGATGACGAAGTAGAATTACGGTAACAACAAGCCAAAGCCATAAATCTTTTCCCAGTTCCTTCCACAAGTCCCTCTTATCGGTAAAGCCTCCATCGATCTGCTCTTCGCATTCGCAGCACTCAAAACAGGCAGCGTGGATCTTCAAATCACCAACATCGCCAGTTGGGCCACAGTTGAACAAAGTCTTCTTGCAAACGGCACAGAAGCCGGCAGCCGCTTCTGCACATGCGGGACACTGCTCGCCATCCAGCGTGTCGAAGTAAGTGCCCACGATTTTTTTCCCGCAAGTACAACAGTCTATGTCTGGCATCTTGAGTTAATTGATCTGTTAGGTTAGCGTTAGGTTAGGTGCATGCGGGCCTACCAGGTTAATTGATCTGTTCCAAGTTCTCAAGCTAATCGATCTCTGGCATCTTCTTGTGTTGAGTTCAAGCTTTCGGAGTCTTCCTCTTCCAGTTCTCAAGTTCTAGAAGAACAAGAAGATGAAGACATCTTCAATTTTACGTACGTAGTAGGAGCGTGAAGTAGATAGCAATAATATTACTATTATATTATTTTTATACTCAGAGCGTTTATCAATAGTTTGAAGGAAGGTAAAAGATTCATCAATGATTATTCCTCAGCATTTCATATTTCTTATTCTGTTATCAAGTTCAAGAAGGAAAACATTTTATTCAATGTCAGAAGATAGTGATGAGAGTACTTATCTATGTAAGTATCGCAACCAACGATTTATCCTCAGAAAACATAATTATCGTACCACGGTACTCAATTCTTGAAGAAGCCTCTATTCCAACAGCTAAACGTAAACGTGCCGCGTCTACAACCAAGGAACAAGGACGAGGACCGATTAACACAAGAAACAAAAACAAATACAAAATGTCAGGCAATATAAGGCTAAACAAAACTTTCTCTTTCGTCTAGAAAGTCTATAACTTCTTGGATGGGACGAGGAGTGGGGGTGCTGGGATGACTTTTCAAGTATATCAAAAAAGCGACCTGATGGTGCCTAATGAACCAATGTAATGTAGGATCAGGCAAAATCTAGATTAGAATATTGATTTCGCATTGATGAAGAATAGCCAACGCTTTAATTCTAAGGCAGTGCGCCATGCTCGTTTGGGCGATCCCGATGTGCGCACTCGTTCATTTCCGTGCGTGCGCCGGCTTGGCGATGTTTGGCTCGTCGCGCGTGAGACCGCTCGGTACTTTTTGGGCGCACTTTATGCAGCTACAGCTAGGGCAGGCGTAGGGTTTTATCAAATATAAAAGAGCTACATAAAAAAGCAACAACGACACCTCCAAGCACTCAGCCTCACACATCCGACCCCTCAGCACTTGAACCAAAAACACGCGATCCCCGTAGAAAGTTTTTCCGCTCTCTCTCCTTATCAACAAACGAAGCAACAAACAAGCCCAACCAATCAGCCCACGAACCCGTGAACCTTCGCAGTATACGAACCCACGAGCATGGCATCCTTGTAAAAAACTTCTAAACTTAGGGGCTACAGCCTTGAGGCTTCAAGCTAGCTAGAAGCCTACAGCGCGCCACCCTGGCACTTTGTCTATAAAGTCGAAAGCTTTGCGACTTTCTAAGTTTCGAGTAGAAGTTTTGAATTTCAAAACGTTGGAAACAGCAAAGTTTTCGACTTTATCGAAGATGGATAAACGAAAAAAAAAAGCCAGACGCAAAATTTTAAATTTTATTCAAAGAAGGAAAATTTTCCAAAGTTTGAAACTTAACCGCTTCAGTCCTCACGCAAAGATGGCCAAACCCGACAAGAAGCCCGTAAACTCCCTGGCCTACTATTCCGCGGCGTGCCTCTTCAATGGCCGCACGCCGCCAGAGGCCCGGCCCCTGTTCTACCGATCAACCCCGCCAGACGGTTGTCGCGTGGGGAAGGGGCCGGGAAAGCGGAAGCACGCAATGGCGGGGGAAGTGCGCGCAGAGGGTGGAGGATTCTAGTGGGAGGAGTGCTGCCGGGCGCTTAAGTCTAGTAGAGCACTTCTACTCATTGGCCCATTCAATCACTTATCGCGCTGGGCCAGCGGGCTATCGCTGACGTGTCTTGTAGTACGTGGGCTCTCGGCTAAGATAGGGCGAACACAATCCATGGGCGAATACGCGGCATGCAGGCGCGAGGGTGCAGCGGGCTACAGGACAGCGGCAGGCGCGCAATCATGTAACTGTGAGTACACATTCTCATATATAAGACGCATTTTGGAATTCAGACCACATTATCTCTCCAGATGTTGTTGAGACCTAGTGGCCGTACTCACTGGGACAGAATTCGTATACTCTTGGACAGATTTCTACTAGCACCATGATGACTCTCAAAAGATTGATAACTTGGTCTGTTCTCTCAACATTTGACAACCTAGAAGTCTGCTCGACGTCCCTATGAGCGACGTTTCTACAACCGAATGATATCAGGAGATCGATCAACTTCGTCCTGGTTGCTTAGGAATTTCAAGATCGTGGTCACAGAGCGACGTTTCTACAACCGAATGATTATATCCGGAGATCGATCAACTTCATCCTGGTTGTTTAAAATTTTCAAGATCGTGGTCACAGGAGTCCCCAGACAAATCATTTCTTTCTTAAAAATACTTGATCTATACTGCGGATTTAACAAGAGAGTTCTCGGATGGGGATTCTCGTTTTCTCTCCTCTGCTCTCGTCGAATAGAAAAACTTTTCTGTGGTGGTCTTTGAAATAACAATAAGAGTATCTCCGCTCCCTAATTAAACTCGGTCTCACTCTGTCTCTCTCTCTCACACTCACTCCCGCGCCCTCTAGGAAAAACTAAAAAGTAGCATCAAGAAAGTGAAGAGTTGTAGCACTAGCCTCAAAAGTCAAAACGACATAAGTACGTTCTTTGTCCCTTTCGTCTTCAAGTTTTTTGATCGTTAGATCGTGGTTCTGCTTCAGCGCGTCCTCACTATCTTTCCGCTCCTTCCGTAATCGCGTGTCGAGTGCCTGAGAATCTTTTTTCTTTTGGTTAGAAAGAACTTCAACTCTGATGTCTCCCCTCTTCGTAGTTGTGCTGCTTCTTCAAGAAGTAGCTTGTTATTCTAAGTACTTGTAGTAGTACTAGTTCGAGTACGGTACCGCCGTAGCACAAAAATCAAAGGACCTCCTCCTACTTCTTAGTATCATGATTCTGATTCCAAAATAAATTGTGTTTCATAAGTTGTTCCACTTCTCCCTTTAGTTTTACAATGTTTTTTTCAGATGTCGACAGTTTCTCTTCGGAGAGACGTAAGGCTTCCCGCAACTCCTCAAACATAGGCTTACACCGTTTGCACGGCTCTCCGGCTTTACCACCACCGAACATTTTGGGTTAGAGGTCAAGTCGTATAATTACTTACAGTTTTGATTAAATAGTGGTAAAGGTAATGGATTGGCTGCAGATGGCCCATCATGACGATGATGCCCTTTTAGTAATTATATAGGTCCAGCTACGCTACTTACTTTAGAAATCAGAAAACTGTTTGACAAGTTAGGAGAATGCTTTGATGATGGGGCGATAATTGGGTTTTCGGGAAAGAGTGTTACAGAAGTCGTGGTGTATATTTCTAGGTCACAGGCGTCACTCTTCATCCGAGACCACTTTTTCATCTCTCAGAACAGACGACTCTACCTTAGCTCCAGATGTCATTATGCTTGCTCTCTCTCATACGCAACAGAAAACGTGCAGAAAAATCATTCATGATCTCCTTTTATTTTTGATGGATCATTTTCCTCCAAAAGAAATAGATTTTCATTTGGTTTTCCTTCTTCTCTCAGTCTCAGCTACACCTTCTTGTTGGATGTTCGCATGCGCCTTGTTTTCCGTTGAAAGAACCGCAACTGTAAGCAGGAGCTACTGCCTTTCCGCATCTTTCATCTCCCTCGATAAGAAAGTATCTATAAGATGTGATGATTGAATGCAACAAGACAGGACTCTTCGTAAAAACGGTAAAAAATCTTGATAATCCTTTGTTGCTGTACAACTAGTACAGGCATTATTTCTGTTTAGAAGATGAACCTCCTTCTAGCACGTTTGCGTATCTTCAGAGGGATGACGTGCTTGTTGTCCTTGCAGTCCTGACGAGCAGGATGGACAGGTCTGATAGAGCTATATCTTGCAGTCCTGGTGACGAGCAGGATGGACAGATCTGATAGAGATGGATGTCAGGAGGTCGTCATCAGTGCACCTCAAATGATTATCCTCAATCATTGGTCGTCAGATGAAACAGTCAGGATAATTTCCACTTCTTCATCTATATTCTGCATTAAAGTTGTACTTCATCTTGCAGGAAATATCTTCATGGACATCTTCGGCTGGATGTCAATACCATCAATCTTCGTGCATCAATAACAAGCATATTTTTAGAAACGACAATCAATTTGAAGTCAACTTCCTTGCATCATGTGGTTATTGTGGGGTAACCACATGACTGTAAGAAGCAGGGGCAGATGCTGCTCGCGCATTTACAAATGTACCTACCTCCTTGCAGCATAATGCTTCACCTCAGCCGCAACCTTCCCTAAGATGGTCGAATTTTTTATGGTATATTGTACATTTTTTTTGCGATAGACCTATACCATGATGAATGAACACTATCGAATTGTCTAGGATTATAAAGATCCACATCAACATGCCTTTTATACTAGGAAGATTTCATGATGACCCACTCAAATTTCATAAGGTTACAACTAGTAGCTCAAAGTCCAGTACGAAACACAGCTCAAATAGATACAGTCATCAGATTAATATGGGATAAGCAGGGCCGTGAGCAGCTAATTTGTGAGTTATATAACACGAGCTGTTGTCAACAATGGACTAGAAACTAGAAATATGGCTCCTTATATTCATTGACCACCACATGAGAACGGCATAAGCACAGACTCTTCTATAAATATAGTTTCGATTATGATCCTCGACAACATCTGCTTTATCGGAGTAGAGACTACAAATGTTTTCTGATGAGTCGATCATGCTTTATCTTCACAATATTTCGTCTTCGTCGATGTTTGCCGGCACGACACTTCTACACATCCTCAACATGTGGCATTACTACTAACCACGAGAATAAAAATACAAATAGTAGCAGCAGCACGAGTTAAAAAATTTCAATATTATTTCGACTGATTTCAAATATTTCTCTATACTGATTTTCGTATCTCGACTTCCGCTTCCCGTCCTGCCGCCTAGGAGAACGTTCATTGAAGAAATGTTTTCAATCGCAGACGAGTAGGACAGTATGAAAGGAAAACGACAACTCATGCATCCTAGGTTGCATATATAGACGACAGAGTGCTGCTCAGATTCTGTTTGATCATCTTGGCGCAGTAATTAATCGGTCCGAATCCTAATTCTTCTTCGAAAAAAACCTCCTAGCTGTGTGGATTGTCAAGCTAGAGATTGCTTGCGTTTAGCACATTCATTGTTCTTGATGGTCACAGAGAAAAAATAGTTTCGGCTTGGCGTCGTTGGCTCGTAGTTTTATTTGCTAGAAGAAATAGGTACTTGTAGTAAAAAAAGTAGTAGAAGAGTTTTGGCTGGCAGTATTTAAAAAGTAATAGAGCACAAGTTTCGGTTTGGCCCTAGCTACCAAATGTCGCGTCGTGTGTGCAGTGTTGAGTCGTGTGCAGCATCGTTCTCCCTTGTTTGTTCTTCCTTGATGTAGTAGTTCTCAACTTTTATTGTTCCTGATGAGTCATCCAGTTCTTGTTGCTGAAACTAGAGCAACGTAATGACTCTGTTACTTCAGTTGGCTACTCGGTTATTTTGAGTTTTCGATTAGATTATTATATTTTTTGACACAAGCTCTCGTCCACGCAGTTCTCCTTCTTCAGCCATATTGACGCTTCTTCCGTGTCCTAACTCTACGTCCCATTCTGCTCCTCTACCCCAGCTCCTCTACTAGCCCCTCTCCGACGAGTCGTGACTGTAAACCTACCAACAAGTCACCTACCTAGTAGTAGTAGTATTAGTAGTAGAGTAGTGTACCCATTCTTGAGGTAGTTTGGTATTTTTAATTAGATGCATTTTGTGCTTTGTTTCTTTTATTCCTCACTCCAAAAAAGGAGCATGGAAAACAGCTCCCATCCTCGTGCAGAAGACGCTCTGCCTCTGCATGGGCTGCGATATTCATCTTCTCCAGATCTGGGAGGTCTAAAATGGCACTCACCTCTTCCTTCCGCAATTGAAATGCAGGATTTTTGCGAGCCTGGAAGTATCAAGATGGCATGAGTGTCGAGGAAACAAGAGTTCGCCTTCAGAAGTATCAGTAAGACAGAATGATCAAAAATATAATCTTCACATTCATCAGATTCAGTTGTAGCAATAGAGGAGTGATAGAAAGGAATAGCTATGTCTTGCATGTAACCTACACAATGAAGGTGAATATAAGTTATGTGTTATAGGGACGTAGAAGTAGTACGTTAAGTTCCATGCTCGCGACCATGTCCAGCATCATAGTGAAAAGAATGTTGTTCTTCTGCACGAAGGCTTCGACTAGAGCGGTTCTTTTCCGTTCCTTATCTCGAAAAGCCAACGGCAGTTGTCGGAACCACACTCGTTCTCTTTCCTCTCCAGCACGTAGCACATAGTCGCCTTTGCAACTGATGATATGCTTCAAATCGATGGCTGAAGATAGTCCTGCCGAAGGTGGCAGATGCGCAGGCTGATTGGCGAGAAAAGCAGAGACGGCAGCATCTGATTCGACATTTTCGCTGTCACGATTCATTCTGATACTCATCGCGATGTAGTTATCCTGCTCGTTTTGCTGTTTTCCGTGTCCACTTGTTTTTGATCTTGATGTAGTTGTTGGAGTTGCTGTTGCACTTGTTCCTGGAGAAGTTGTATTGTTCTGGGAAGGTGTAGTTGTTGCTGTTGCACTTGTTTCTGGAGAAGTTGTATTGTTTCGAGAAGATATTGACCTAGTACGGGCAGAATCCACATTGACATCGCTCCCACCTCCAGGTCCCTGCTCAGGTCTTCGTTTTCTCATACCACGGGGAAGTTTCACAACAGGACGAAGAGCAGAAGCTGACGCAGTACTGGTGGCTGAGGATGAAGCTCCTGCTGGTGCCGTCGGCAGCTGCATCCCTTTACGAGTACCTTGTCTTTGTTCACTGTAGTGTTGCTGATGTGCAGCAGCTCCTCGAAAACTAAAGCTACTGTATGGAGATGGAACAACGCGGGCCGCTCCAGCTGCAGCAGTTGAAGAAGAAGATGACGCACCACTAGATGATGGAGCACTTCCTCCACCAGTTCGTCCGCCGCTAAGAAATAAGCCACCAGCACCACCACCGCAATAATAGGAAGGCGCCCCTGCAGAAGCATACGGCGAAGGAACTACAGCCACACCGCCTATGACACTCGGCGTGGTTGTAACGCATCCTGTTGTCCACGCCTGATGACTCGTTCTACGGTTCAACGCGTCCAATTCTTTCATCAGATCTCCCTTCAAGCTACTTTCGAGATAAACTGTGTAGGTTTCGGCCACGCGGCGAAGGTTGTCATACCCAATAGGATCCCACCTCCAGTCAGGCACAATGCCAGAAGGAGAAACTGCTTTTAGCCACCTGGCGACGTGGCGAGGGTGTGGCAATAAAATGAACTAGTCGTGGATGATCACGACTACCTACTACAAGGGAGGTCCAAAAGCAAAAGTGTTTAACAAGTATACCGGTCCAAAGCTGGTCTTGGTTGTCTTACAACATCAAAGGAATACTGTCGACTTCTAGATCATCCTCATCTTCTAGAAGTGTACTAGATACTACTTCTACAACTATCTAGTAGACCGCTTATAGTAGTAGTTACAGTTACAAGGGAGGTCCAAAACAAGTGTTTAAAAACAAGTATACCGCTCCAAAGCTGGTCTTGGTCGTCTTACTAGTCGGAGTCTGTCTTCTGGGGAAGCCAATAGATCGGCACGTCGACGCGACACTTCGTGCGATTTAATTTCATACGGAAAACCATCTAGGAGTCTATCTGCCGCAATCACGGAGAAGCCAGGATATGGTGTGCTAGACTTTGCGGGTTGAAACTCTACGCGAGCAGGAAATTTTTCACCAACCGTTGCGAGAAGTCGGAAATACTCTCGGAGTCGTGAGCGACGGTCGCGATTTGTATGCCACTTCTGCAAAGCGAGTCGATGGTCTGCTAAAATCTTGTCGACATCAACTTCGATACTAGGATTAGGAGAAGGAGTGGTGTCGTCTTCTTGTTCTACTACTTGATTATTATGCAGCACTGTGTTGGTTGTTGTTATAAAGGAAGCAGCTGGAGGCAGCCGGAAAGAGTCTTCATCTTCATCTCGCTGATCATGCATTTCTGGTTCTTGCACTCGATCATGCAACAAGTAGGGTGCTGCAGGTGGAGGTGTTGGTGAACCATGACGATCGCCTCCTTGTCTACATTGGTCTTGCTGCATCGTGTTGAAATACAGCACAGGTGGAGTAACGGGAGGCGAGTCGATGTCTAGAGCAGGTGGAGTGGAGTAAGCACTGTCCAAAGACGAAGCATGGTTGACCGAGGATGCGAGACTATCGTGTGAGGAAGTGAGATTATAAGCGGGCCGTATACTCTTGCTGGGACTGGTAAACGCACCACCTTTAGTTGTCCCGGCACTCCACCAAGTGCTGGCGGTAGCAGTGGAGGTGTTGTGCTTCAACGACCCCATCTTTGCCACCTGATCGGACGAAGACACTGGCGTAATCATAGCAGGAGTCTGTTCCTGCGAACGTGGCATAAGGATTTCACTCGATGTGAACGTCAGCATAGGTGTAGCTTTGGCTGGTGTTGATGATGATACTCCTCGTTCTTGTGTCTGTGGTCCTTGCACTTCGTAAGCCTTCTCGGCGTCTCGTCCAACCATTTGTGAGGCAGACAGCATCTGTTCTGGTGTTGGTAATGTCGGAGGACCTTCAGAATCGATGTTATGGAAAAGGTCTTTTTCTTCATCATCCTCGTCCAATGGAGTTCTCCCCTTGATGTTCATAGAAGATCTACTGTTCTTGAGTACCTCTTTTTTATGCGCTTCATCAAGCAAATCCGCCATTTCACCCTCCAGGGTCCAGCGTGCTAGCAAATGCAGCACAGTTCTAGAGTGATTGTCAGGGACAGCTACCAAGTTGGGTGGCATTTTTTCCAGCAATATTTGCATCATGGAGATGTCTCCGCGACGAGTGGCGTACAGAAGTGGCGTGTCTCCAGTTTTGAGGTCTTGTGAGCGAAAAAGTTCTTCCTCGAGCTCGGGGATGGAGCGAGCTGGAGGAGGGACTGGGACTACGGATGAAGACGGAGTATCTTCATCTTCAGATACATGAAAAAGTCTCTGCTGCAAGGTTTCAGTACTTCTCGGATTGCCACGCTCCTGTGAGGCTGCCTGAGTACTATCTGTCGTGCGTGGCGGCATAGGGAGCACAGGCGATACAAGAGACTTTCTACGAGGCGGAGCAGCAGAAGCAGAATGCCTACTGGTGCTTGAGGGAGCTTTTTTGCAATCACGACGAGCAGGGAACGACGAAGAAGATTGTCCTCCTCGTGTAGAAGTTGTCTTAGAAAGGCGGCGAGCCGTAGACGGTCTAGAATTTCTGGATCTCGACATTGGATTTGGAGTCGCAAATAAATCTTCAGTAGCGGGACCCACGCTGTCGCTATTTCTTGGCGGCGCGGATGGAATCAGAGAGTTGAGCATGTCCGTCCAACCTTGTCTCGAAAGGAGTGAGGCAAAGTTGATCTTCGGCGCCGTGTCTTCATCCTTGCAAGACGCTAGGATAAAATCGCGAGGGCTCACGAAATCACCTCCAGTGTGATCTTGAGATCTAGCAACGTCTTTAACCGTTGAAGAGCTGGAGGTGCTAAGACGACTCCGTCTCTTGGAGTTCCAAAGCAACGAGGAAGATGAACTGTTACTACTAGATGAAACCGTAGTAGTTTCCTCGCCATCTTCATCAGAAGTGGAAGAGCTAGTTGTAGAATCCTTGTCGTTCTTTCTTTCCGCCTGCTTTTTTTTAGATACTACAGCAGTTGCTCTTGTTGTTGAGTTCGATCTTTTCGTTTTTCTTTTATCTGCGACAAGAACTATCCGACTTGCATTTCCAGCAGCTGGAGTGCTTCTAGATGATGTTGATGTACCTTCCGTACAACTTGATGAGCTAGAGCTTCGTCCGCCATTCTTCATCGTTTGTGCTCGGTGCTTGTTCCCCTCGAAGATGCTGGTCGTGATCATGTTTCTATCTCGTCCTATTATATTAGACGACGCACTAGCGTTTCTTGTCCTACTCAGGGTTCGTGCAGAAGATGAAGAAAACGGCAACTTCCGATTTGCTGACCGGGGCGTGTCGTCTGCTGCCATTGCACTGTCGTCTGCTGCCATTGCACTCCTTCGTCGACGACGGGGCGCACAGCCACAGAGCACTTCTCCAACATCTCCATCGGTGCTGGACGACGATGTTGTTGTTGTTGAAGTCAGCTGCTTGACACCAGGAGGAGCTTTGCGCAAATGATCTTCAGTAGTACCTGTCGTGCCTGCTGCTGGTGTTGCAGGACCGCGAGAAGAGTGACCTTTCGCGAGTGTCGCTTCGTGAACGCGGCTTTCCCTAGCCATGATAAGGCTCTCGACAGCACTTCGATGTCTGCCGTTGGTAGTCGAAGACGTTGACGCGGAGGCGCCTTTCGTAGTACTGTTACTACCCTTCAAAGAATTCGATTTTGACACTATACTGAATGAATTCCTTTTAGGTACCAAATGCAAGTCATCACATGAAGAATAGTATTCGAGACTGCAAGTAGATTCATCGCTATCCGCGATCTTTTCAAGAGCCTCCTCGTCCTCGTCGAATTGCGATAGTGGCTTTGCAACCGCTACCACTTCCTTTTTCTGTTGTTTTACTTGTTTCCGGGCAGTATATAATACCGAACTTTTTGTTCCTCCATCAACAGTGTTCACTGCGCCTGTTCTTGACATTCCAACTGCGTTTGTGGAAAGCCTGTCACCGCCAGATTTCGCAGCTCGACGTTGGTTGAACTTGTTGACTGGTTGGCCCATGATCGTACTTGCTTCACGTGGTGTCAGTTTATTGTTCTTTGTAGAACTAGATGAATCGGGTTGAGCGGTCATCTTCATTTAGAGTCTGCTAAATTGCATCTCGGCCTTCTCATCTTGACCCCTTTTACCTTGTAAATTTCACGAGAATACAAGGGAAAAGGGGACCAAGCCGCCGAGAATGATGGAAAAAAGCTGACCATAAATCATTTCCTCGCCCACCACCGGCGTCCTCAACGAAGGCAACAACACGCGTTCGTCCAGGATGCTTTGCAGAATGGCGAAATCGCCGAACTGCACTACTTCATGAAGCGCGGAAATAAACTTTTTTGTTGTCTTCTTCTTCGCAGTGGCACGACCTCTAGTATCTTCAGGAGTTTCGTCTCCTCCACTCCCACTCGCACTCACATGGACCATGATGTCGTCATCCACGATCTCGCGACCGTACACCCCAGCTTCGTTTAGTGACAGACGACGGCGCATTAGTAAACTACTACCATGAAGCGGTCCACCAGTGCCGGAGGTTGCAGAAGGCTCAACGAGTAGCGTTCGAATCAAGCTAAAGTCTTTCGCTTTGAGGCCTTCTCGGTAAATTCGAAGGCCTAGGTCGCGTAGCCACAAGCCCTCATCCGTGAGCAGGTCGATGGCTGAGAGGTCGCGCTCATCTAGCCACAAGCCCTCATCCGTGAGCAGGTCGATGGCTGAGATTAGCATGCTTCTTGCATTGACGAAGTCGCATAGCTGTGAGATCGTTGTTTGGCGAATCAGTTGAGGATCTTTCTCTTGTTCTTGATCTTTCGAAGCAGAAGCAGAAGGCTGCTCTTGTTCTAGTTCTTCCTGTTCCTTCGGTTTCGCAACTGGAGAAGCCAACTTTTGAACAGCATGAGATGTTCTTATAGTCGGTTCTCCAACTGCAGGCACTGTAGTTGGTGAACTAGACGCTGCCGCAACTGCTGCCGCTACTGTTGCTCTTGCTGCGTCACGTAATTCATGCTTATTATCCTCTACTTTATTTTCCTGTCCATTTTTAGCACCAGGTTCAAGAGGAGGAGGCGGCAAGGAAGCAACGAAAATCAGAAATCGCGTGACTGAAGCCAAAAGTTGTATAGTATTAGTGGCTGCTCCTGCAGACGGTGTAGTTCTAGTTCCTGTAGTTCTTGCCAAAAAATCGCCCTCGTCTCCCGCACTACCGGGTGTAATATTATTTCTTTGAAAGATGGTGGTTGTGCCAGTCGTTCCTCCTGGTGTTGCATTTTTCCTGAGGAGACTACTGACCGACGTCCCCGTCCTCGTCCCCATCATGATATCATCTGCGTTCTCAGTGTTCCACATATTGATGTCTACCCCTAGTACCTCTACTTCTCCTGCTGTTCTTGTCCGATTCATCTGCCCCCCTTCAGCCGCCTTCAACGCCTTCTCGACCATGTCCTCACTCAATTTGCGAAAACGAAAAGCATCAGCCAGCTCGTAAAGCTTTTCTCGCATGCCCAATAGATGCCAAGGAACCGACCCACGAAGTAGGCGGTTCTGCTTGTCTTGTTCACCTGAAGAATGTAGTTGTTTTCGTTTCTGCTTTGCTGCTTGATCATCTCGACCGACTGTGGGAGCAGCAGACGAAGAGGACGTCAAAAAAGATTGGGAACCTTGCTGTAGTTGATGTTGCTCTTCAGCTCGTCTGGGTGGACCAGCAGGCGCCGCGTGACGGTCCGCACGAGCCTCCCAAAACGGCTCCTGAAATGGAGCAACAGGCGACTCGGGAGAAGGGGAGCCTTGATGTTGCGAAATCCACCTTTGAGCCTTGTTTTTTGCGTCTCCAGTATCGTCTACGTCTTGCTTCATGAAGAGGCACTGATACCACTTGCGTATTCCAGTAGTGCAAGAAGCTGAAAAGCTAGGTGGATTTGCATCTACTCTGCGAGAAGTAGCAGCGGAGAAACAAGAGGTTTCCGAAGGCGTTCTGCATATGCTATTAGACGAAGGAGCATTTGGTGTTGATATTGAACTCGGCACGATGCTTTCTTCATGATTGCAAACTCCAACACTGGTATGATATTTCGGCAGCAAAGCCTGACTCTGTACTTCCAACATCTCGATAAGATCCTCGCTTTTGTTTAACCGCTTGGAAGAAGTTGGCGCCAGAAGATCGTCCTCCATCTGACCACCCGCGAATTGAAGTGGCTCTTCATCAAAGAAGAATGTACTGAGAGCCTCAACATAGTACTTCGCTGATTGAGGACGCTTTTCTTGTAGTTCTACTTTCTCTTTTTCATTCCTACTTTTTGTTTTTCTTGTACGTTGTTCCTCGCCATCACCTCCTCTTGCTCCTGATGCAGCTGCAGCTGCCGTTGCTTGATCTTCATACGCTACTTGTACAACTTTTTCTCCGTCAGTAGTTGTTGCATTCCGCCTACTTTCTTCCATCATAGGTTCCAAGATCGTGTCTTCTGCATCTTTCGCTGCTCTTTCAGCTGCCTTCCTCTTCTCTTCCGCCGTTTGTCCTTGTGGCGCGAAGCTCCCCAAATTTTCAAATAAAGGTTGAAAAACGGGTAAACGAGTAGTCTCGCGCCAAAAGTTGCGAAGTTGCTCGAGAAGTATCGGCGTCGAGGCCTTTGCCTCTCCATCTGGTGGAATCGTTGATCCTCCAACAAGGGATGTAGCGCTCGTCGTTATCAAGTCACCAATCTTGATACGACCAGGTGGACCTGCTTGGGGACAAGGTCTCGAATCGATATGCGTGGACAGTTGTAGTTTGTCCATGCTTGAATTCAATGCAGCCAAGTCGACATGCAATTTGTCTCCTTCGTCAATTTCGTGTTGTCCTAGTCCTTCTTTCATTTTGTCTTCATTAATAGTCGCACCGAAAAAGGAATCGATCTCTTCCTTCAATCGTTGTTGACAGCAGCTGTCGTGGAACTGACGGTGGCCTTCCTTGTGAAAGTTGTTCTGTGCAATCAGCGAAAAAATTTCAGGGTCGTGCGTGGACACGGCGTAGGGGAGGGAAGCGGTGGATGGACGACTCAACGTTTTCTTTTGATTTTTTTTCCCTAAAACCTTTCTGAGAAGGTCAATAAAAGAACGGCGAAATCGCGAGTCGTGTTTGTTAGATTTACCGCCGGTGGAGGAACAACAATGGAAAAATCAAAGCTGTAGACGAAGATTTCCTTTTGAACAAGAACTACCGCATCAGTATTTCAGATTCCGATAGATTCGAAATAATGCGTGATGGATGTCATAAGTTCATCACCTCCACCCCAACCCTTCACCTCCAAAAACCGGAGCAACAAGGTTGACACCGCGTCACGGCCAGAATCGATATCAATCGAAAAAACGGCTTCCGGCGGTGTACGTTCCAAGATTGCTTCCAAAGTTTTCATCGTGTTATCCCTGACAGCACGTTGCGAAGTTGTACTACCGTTTTTACTTTCTCCCCCGCTAAAGCCCGAATCTTCAGTACCCTCCAGTGGTAACACAGTAGCTGCGAGATGAAAAATATTCATCCCCCTCCCAGGGATACCGTGAGAGCGGCGTAGAGCTTGGAAAATGGCGTCTGCAGTGGTAAGATTCCACTGGTACGTTTGCTGAGCTTCTTTCTCTCCGATATGGGGCGTTAGAGGTGGTGAAAAAGGAGTTGCTGATGCGTTGCTAGCTTTAGATGACCAGGGTCGCTAGGCTCGCTTCTAGTATGCAACAAGTTTCAAGAAAGTGGGTATAATAGGTTACGTCCGGATGACTGTTGATGCACGACTCATGGCTATACCTTATGCTTTCTTAGAAGAAGTAGTGAGGATTCAATGCATAAGTCAAGAGTCTCTTCTCCGCGGCGCATCGAAAAAGCGCGTCGCTCAACTTTTGAGTGTGCTCTGGTTTGACGCAATAAAGCCCACAAGCGGTCCTCTTGTAAACGAACATAATCGCTTTTCATCTTCATCTCTGCAGCGCCAGCAGTTGTTGTAGTACCACTGGAAGATGAAGAAGAGCCACCACGAGGACCTCCACCACGACCACCAAATTTCTTAATCATCTGATCTACATGACCGCGTAGTCGTAGATCTTGTTGTGCAATATGATCAATACGTTCTTGATCCACCACAACCACCTCCACACCATCTTGTTGATCATCGACATTCATTGGATCTGATGTACTCGAAGTTGCTGTTTGTTTTTCACCTCCATGACGATCGGGCGAAGGCGAAAACATCCTTGTCCAAGACGGTAAAAAATCCGAAGTCTCTTCTTGGTTCTTTCTAGAGTGAATGCTTCTACTCATTGAAAATCTCGATATTAGGGGAATGTCGTTCCCCCTTTGCCTTCTACTTACTTGGGAACGACATTCCCTTTCCCATATCTTCGTTCTCAATGTGAGAGGCGTCATACAACATTATCGAAGTTCTCGAGGCTGCGAGGACGCGGCGATGAGTCTTCATATCTTTATCTTGACAACCGCCTCCAGTCCCAGTGGCCATAGAAGTCCTCCTCCTCATGTCCTCCTGTCCAGCACGCACAGCCAATATTGCACTCCATAGTTCAGAAAAGCGCAGTTGGGCAGTTACCAAACGCTCATCTTCAATCGTACTAGTTGCACAGGAGTGACGGTCTTGGTTGATGTACTCTACTTGAGGTTGATGAGAATGTTGAGCTTGTAACTTGCTTGACGATGATGCCAACGCAAATGACTGCTCAAGCGGTCCTCGTTCCTGTTGTTGTAGGGCTGCCGAAGCAAAAAGATTAGTTCCCGGAGCACCAAGAACAAAGACCACACAGCAGGAAAAAAGAAGCAAGATAGACGAAAGCATCTTCTTGGTGACGTTGCAGAAGTTGCGACCAAGAGCGAGAGGCAAGCAAATGCTTAGTTGCAATGAAGTTGATGTTACGAAGAGCAGTACATAATTATATTTCTTACCAGCAGGAGTAATCAATCAATCAATCAATTGGCGAATAGCGCGGTAGCATAGTATATTTGTTAAACGTCCAAAATGAATCCAAAACAAATCAATCGATCTTAATGTACATATTCACACACATACCAACAACCCAATTTCCAGCGATTATGATATCTAACTTACCAAATTTTTCCGTTCACGAAGTCAAAGCCTCGGTACGTCAACAAATCAATATCCTCGCTATATGTGTTCAGTCTCAGTACCAATACGCACAAAATCATAACAAAACGAAGCATGCCTTTGAATGACTTTCGATTTCTTGCGTTCCAAAACTGTGTCTGAAAAACGCTTTGAAAAGCTATAGCTATTGATTTTCTTCAATGACGAAAACTAAGACGGCGTCACTTGTTTCGAAAGTCATTCATCGACTAGCATTAGAAGTAGATATGGAAGATTTTGACATGATTGTTATGCGTGGTGAGGACTAGATTACGTTTACAACTTCTAGACGAGGACTTCTGTATCAGTATGAGTACTATTATAATATGTAGTATGGTGGACCACTTATTAAATTTTCTACGACCTCTAGATTATATGCTTCGATAATATGGTGCATAGGAAGAGTGAGATTGACATCAACCAAGATTGATTCAAAATAAGACCGATGACATTTTTCAGTTGTCGGTGGACGAAACTTAATCTAAATTTCTAGAAGACTCCAATTTTCTCTATATATAAATATTGATTATGTTATTGACCACCTAAACCAAGAAATCGAAAAAGCCCTATTGAAATTGGATGAGAGCAAGGATGTCGTCGCGCTTGCGATGGTGTGCTTGTAGAGACAGAAAGCATGATGCAGAGTTTATAAAAAAACTGCATGACCTGTTGTTTATTGATGAGAATGGAGCGTGGATGAAATAATGGCCGAAAATAGTTGGTCTTCATCGAATGGACGTCTTGAAAAAGAAACAGAATCAGAAAGACATCGACTTTGCGGTAGTAATTGCTCAGCATGAACATGATCGACTTGTTCTAACAAGTAGCGAATGCAGAACTATTAGCAACTTAATGGCATCACCATGACGACCATCGTCATGATCAAGTAGTAGTAGTAGAAGGAGTGTACCCTTTACTTGGCAGGTAGTTCTCCTTCAGCTACTTCACTCTTCCTTCCCTCAAGAATAGAATCATCAGTATCGTCATCATCCTTAAGATCATCACGTTTTCTTGCTGACCATGATCAACAACACGGCACAATGTTCTTCGTCAGACACGTCAACCGGACACCTTGCAGACACGTGCAGACTGACGCCTCCGCAGACACACTTGCTCCTGACGCCTTGATGAACAACCTCGGAGGAGGTGCTGGTCCTCGAGGTCCTCGTGCATTATTTTTAAATAATTGGAGGCACACGTACTACGTAGTACAGAAATGCAGCAAATTGAGCAAGAATTTTCAATTTTTTCAATGTCTTCAGGTTCACTCTACCATAGGATAGAAGGAGGACCTGTGGATTCACCTTCCAGTCTCAGATAAGAATAGGCTCATCCTCTACTTTCGCCACAGGATAAATCTATATCCTCGACGTCCACTGCGATTGCGAATCACCCTGTTCAGGTTCAGGAACTTATAGCTTTTTGCTTTAGACATTTACAGACTTCAAGAAGAAACAACGTCGATCCGGAGGACCCGTGTCCGTGATAGATCCGGCGTCGCGTCTACTTCTACTTGTTGGAAATAATTTCATATTCTCAAGCACACTATCTCAGAAATCAAGAATATTAAGTTTAAGAAAGTCGATTTTATAATGTTGAAATATTTAAGCAAGAACAAGATTGATAATTATGTTATTGTTGATGAATAGCAAGATTTTGAGTTAGGCCTTAATTGATTCATTGAAGTAGAAGTAGAAGATTTCTACAGTCTACTTCTAGTCTAGTACTAGATTCTGAGGTAAAAAAGATCGATGAATTACAATTCGCTGATTTTGAATAGTGTTGGAACACCCGAACACGTCCAAGCGCACTACGAAGCTCCTGAGAGCAAATGGAATCACTAAAGTTGCAATGTAACAGAAAGACGATCAGAACGGACGTGCCGGATGATCACTGACTGCTTAAGGCCCTGAAATGGTATCAAAATGGGTTCAATGTCATTGGGATATCATGAAGGGCCATAGTGCAGTTAAAGATCTGGGAGATCTTGCTGCTCATTCATGTTGGAACTCATTGGGTTCAAATGATGACCCCACGAGGAACTAACAAGAGCCCAGGACAAGGAACGGCGTTGGTCATGATCAAAGTGACGAGTGAGAGCAGTCATTTGGCATTGAAAAAAGGTTCACTCATTGGATCTTGAGCCAGTAATGACCATTGGCCAACAAATCGAAAGAAGTCGATTTTTGTTTGACGATGAAGAAATTAGGTCGAGGCGACGTCGAGGTAGGTCTAGTAGATCATGTAACATTAAAGACCTAGAAAAAATCTACAACGAACTCCTCAACCACCTCCGAACTCAACTCCTCAACCCCCGAACCTGGAACCAAAAAAACTGCAACAACAAAAACACGAACCCCCGAACCCATGAGCCATGGCATGGTAAATAGTTAAGTCGCTAGAAGCTTCCAATGTAGTAGTTATAGCTTAGTAAAATTAAAAACTTTTGGACTTTCAAACTTCAAATTTGAAACTTGAAGCTTCATATTCAAAATTTTTGATTTTATCAATGAGGAATGAACTTGGAGAAATTTCATGGCATATACGTCGCCAAAGCTTATCATGACCCCCGTTGTCATTATCGGCACACGTTTTGCGTCCATTCGCACCCATCTTGAACTTCGAAATTTCAAAGTTTTTGTATTTCAAATTTCGAAACTTCGCATCCAAAATTTTTGATTTTATCGAAGAAGATTACAGTTTAAAAATTTCAAATCCAAAAAAAATATTAACTTTATCAAAAGAAAAAAGAACTCGAAAGTTTCAACTTTCGCTCAACAAAGGAGACTAAACTTAACAAAAGAGAAGTAAGTTCGCGGGCCAATGACTTCGAGCTGTGTCTTCTTAATGTCAGCACGCCGCCCCCGCCCCAACTCCTGTCCCGCCGATTAACTCCGCTAGACGTTTTGCGGGCGGGGAAGGAGCCGGGGAAGCTAAAGCACGCCGGGCCGGAGGAAGTGCGTGTAGGGAGTGGAGGACTCTAGTGGGAGGAGTGCTACCGGGCGCTCAAGTCTAGTAACATTAGCCTTAGATATAAATACATGTCAAGCGCATAGATTATCTGATACATCCCATTCTCAAGCGTGTCAACAACTCGTCTGGACAGCGCAAGCAGATAATGATAAAGCATTCCTGTGCTCCCGCTGACCAAGCAACCCGTAGTATTAAAAGACTAGCTAGCGGCCAAGAGCCATCGTCCAGCCTAGTCGACTACAGGCGCAAACTACTCAGGCGCAAACTACTTAGCTGCAGCTGTCTTCGGAGTCGGACTGCTCTTCTTCATCTTTCCTCCTTATATATAATACTGATTGATTGATTGATTGATTGAGTGGACTCTCCCCCCTTGCTTACGTAGTTGTTATGTTGGCCTGCACATCACTCGTCTATCTCTATGTCTGGTGTCTCTATCTCTATGAAACGAGTTGAAGTTTTTTCCAAAAAATCTATCTTTGAGTACGTCGTCGTGAGTGTGGCATATTTTCATCTTTTCCTACGTACTACGCCTAGAGATGAGAGTGACTTCTACATGTACAACATGATCAATCATTTTTTACTATATTCTCTGATGAAGAGCAGCATAAAAATCAGTATTTTGAACCATGAAGGCTCGGACGACCAACTGTTTTTAACCATGAAGGCTCGGAGGACCACCTCAGTCGTGGTGGATAGCAGTCACCTCCATCTGTAATTCTGGTACGTAGGTGGAGGAAGAGATAGTAGACGTCGGACCACCCAGCCACCCCTATTGTTATTATAGAGCAGTTCATAGGGGTGCCACGTCCGGGATGGGATGGATCGGATGGATCGGATGGATCGGATGGATCGGATGGATCGGATCGAACGGATGGACTTTCCACCATTTCAAGTAGGACCGGAAGAATCAGGGGGGTCCATCCGATCCATCCAAGTCCATCCTACATCCGTTCTATAAACTACGCTATTATTAGTAGATCTGGATTAGAATAATTTGATCTTCTACTTCTAGTTCTAATGAATCTATCTTGATCTACTACATAGTGAAGCAAGATAGGTAGCAAAGAACAATATCAACAGACACGATGTCGTGATGATCTCACAAAATCAACATACAACTGGTGATTTCCTTGAAATGGGGACGATTACAAGTAGCTAGACGACGTCTAAAAAAATCATCCACAGAGCACGAAGATCTTCGGTAATTTTGTTGTTGTAACATCAAGAAAGTATGTAGTATGGATAAACTGTAGGTCTGAATCTGAAGTTGTAGCCGAGTACTACTCAGATTAGATGACTCCAGCTCGAATTCGAAAAGAGTCCGTATGACACATCAACAAGAGTCCTCTCTTTGAAAAAGTCGAAAGCTTCGATATGAATTTGGTATTCTTAGATGCCTTTTAGACTTGAGAAGTAGACCCTGTAGTTGATACGACGTCATGATCATGTTCTTCTTCATGTGTAAAAAGTTCGTCTTGTCCTTGAAACCATCTGAATATTTCATGATGTCCACCGTAGAAGCTTCTAACTCCGACAATGCAGCTATAGGCTTTGCCACCGGCATTGTTCACAGAAGCGTAGGCAGAGAAGTTGTACAATTTTTACTATTTGCAGGTGGAGTACGAAGTAGCCGAGCTGCAGGCCTTCAGCTTCACCTCCTGCTGACACGAGAAAAGTCCCAATCACGACATCATCAGGTCTCTGGTGTTGTTGATAACTTTTTTTCATTTTTTATTCTTGTCGTCGGATAATCAGCACCATCAAGGACCCATAGTACTTAAGAGTATGGCGCAGGCGCTAATGTTACAACAGTCACTCGCCCTTTATTCATTCACCCATGTCCGCAGTTCATTTTTTGTTTTTTTTTTGGTGCCTAGGTCTACAATTTCCGCAATAGTTCCACTCAATTAGACCCCGCGGGATGAAGCCGGAAGCACAGCGGCCAGGCGCTACAACTACGCAAACGATTAAGCACGACGGCAACCGCTGTAGAAAAGCTAGAGCCCAAGCCCCACGGGCATAGTAGTCGATAACTATATCTGTAATATACCGCCCACGTGCCCCCAGCGTCCTCGTACACGACACACCGGGGCAGGACGTCGAAAGGGTCTTACGGAATGCTTCCACTCATTGAGAGTGTCGATCATATGCGGAGGTCGTAGTTTCCGCTTTGCCTTCTTACTTAGGAACGACATTGCCACCTGAACCTGATCTACATGATAAAAAGAATGCAAAAGAATCCATCTAGAAGTAACGTAGTTGGCAGGTAAAGTAGAAGGACACTAACTTACTAATACGCGGCGAGAACATTTGAAATTATTTTTACTTTTATAATTGATGATCATCTTCATCTGCATGTTAATATTTTTGCGTCATGATCGTGGTCTTCATCCAGAAGTATCTTGTACAAAAAGATCAATCATATATAATTGGGTCTTGTCGCACTTCTGTGCCACGCATTTTAAGCATGAATGGTAAAAATCTAAAAAATGTGTATGTGAAATATATTTTTTGCTGTATTCTTCAGAGACAGACGAGAAAGATACGACACAGCTGCTTTGTCACGACAAAGCAAGTAGATATTATTTATGATTTTCCGTTACCTCTGTTCGATGCTCTTCACCGCTAGTACGATTCATTCATTATAAAAACCCTTCTAACCGTAACCACTGATAGGGTAAGTATAATTCGTCTGTGGGCGGTGTTTCGACGATTGTAATAACAGTATTCGCTACTACTTGAGGTACTCCTATTTCATACTTCTTCTAGCTCGTGGTCGTGCGTGCTCCTCTATTTCATACTTCTTCATCTTCGCTATTTCATCGTTCTTGAAGATGAAGCCGCTGGTGTACGCTCGTCGCGGACTTTCTTCACTATATTTTGACAGATTCTTGCTACCAGAATCATTTTCATCTCGTTGTTAAACAAGGCGTATTCTTTGTTCTCAGAAATCATGATCAACATCTACAGTAGATGCTCGATAAGGGGCATCATTAGCATCACGATCACCCACATCACGACGATGATGAAGAAGAAGATGACACGACTGCAGCGCAGATGCATACGAGCGAAGCCACCACCCCGATCCCTATCAGCAAATGATTCCCCACTTTTGCCGCTGGCGAGACATTCGTATGTAACTGGTTGTGGATCAACGCTGGAAAGATAAAAAGAAGAGGCGCACAAGCTATGCCAGCGATGGCGTTGACCAACTTCTGCAGATGTTTTTCGCCGATCGCTGCTGCTGCACCCACAATGCCAATCAAAATCATACTGCGGACAACATTCTTACACCACTTGCGAACATACTTCTTCTTTTCGTACTCCTTTAACTCCTGCTCATACTTGTTTTCTTCTTTTCGCGAAGGAGCTGCGAGTCGTGTACGCGGAAGTGTAGCTGGAGACGATCCACCACAACTGTAGTTTGTATTCGCATTATGGAGTAGTGGTGTAGTTTGTTCCTGCCACGACAACGTCCTAAAATCTTGTTCAGCCCCGTATTGAGTGTTCATCAGATTTTTCTTCTCGTTCATGATTTTACTGCCGACCAAGCTTCTCGGAGGACCTGGAACCGGTCGTGATGCTGCTATGAGGTTCTCTAATCGACGGCTTTCCTGCTCGTAGTCTTCCAAAAGTAGGTTTGCATCCAACGAGCCACCGCGTCCACTTGATACGTTGATCAACGTCTTTCCTGAAAAAGGTATCTCTGCGCTATTTTCCACCACTGCGCTATTTTCAGCATTCACCGACGTCTCCAACCCACTACGACCCACAGCACCAGAATCCTTTCCTGCAGCATCATTCTCAGCTCCCTCAGCTGTAGCCTGGTGTCCTTCGATTTCATCCGGTGGCGTAGGCGCCGCGCAGTCCATTTTAAATAGGTCGTGAAAGACACGCTTTTCGTAGAAGTGTGGGATAACGAAAAAAAGAATCGGAATCGAAAGGAAGGAGCAGGCAGCCATGCAAATGCCAATAAACAGCTTCATTCCTCCCTCCGGCAACATCCCTGTGCAATACGTGGCCACACCAGATGGGTCTTTCATGTACGCCTGAGGAGGTGAGAACATTGTTAACATGGAAATGGTCGTAATTGAAAATGGAAATCGATCTTTTAGTATCTTTACAGTTAATACCTACTCTTATGTTGTATTTGTTGGGGTTTTATTTAGGTACAAAAACAGCTAGTGAGTGATGAAACTCAAAAACTTATCTTCAATGAGAAATATTAGTACCGTGACGCTAATCGCCCAACCCAGGATACAGACAACAGCAGAGATTCCAAGAAAAAGGCCATTGAATTTGTCCTTTCGCTCATATGCTTCATAAATCGGCAGGATTGTGTTCATGTACCTGACGAAGTCGGAGGGTGGTGTAAGTGTACTTGGGGTTTACGATCGATGATTGAAACCGAAGAAGACCAAAATCATATCAATTTACATATATTTCTCAAAGAAAAAAGTAATGTGTCAATTTATTAGAGTCAGAACCCCAACCTATTGCAGCAGCTTGTTCGCAATAGCCACGCGAAAAAAGTCAAAATCTAATGCTACAAGAAAAAGTGGTTGTCTATCATAGTATGTAATAGTACTCGCAGCAGTAGAGACTGGCACCAAGAAGGCAGACAAGGGCATCCATGTCCTCAGGCAGCCACCAATTAACGGGTTTAGAAGAAGTAGCATCTTGTGTGTTATCGGTAGTCGCATCTTCTACTTCTTGTTGTGCGTTATCATCTGCAGTTGCGCCAGATCCAGATGTTGATAATTTATCGGTAGTAGAGGCATCTTCTTGTTGTGCGTTTGCAGCAGATGTTGATGAGTTATCGGTAGAAGGTGCCGCCACCGAGTTTAGCTGAGGACGACTCGATAATGGTCGTTTCGGCGCCTGTCTTACTAGTCTTGATGCTCCACTTGAAGAAGATGACGACGAAGATGTTACGTTTCGCTTTCGGCGGAAGCTCACTCGCTGCTGATGAATTCTTGAAGATATAGATATGTCTAGCGTTGAAAAGGGTCCACCAGGTTGCGTTGGGTCTCCTCCTCCTGCATTAGGATTAGGTATAGGAGCGCCTGTCGTAGTACTATAATCACCATTTTCAGATGAAGTTAGATCCTCTCGAGCCGAGTAGAAAACAGGGATTGGAGGAAACGTAGACGATCGATCGTGATCTTCATTTTCATTTGAGGGAGATACAAAATCATCATCTTCTTCAGGTTCAGATTCAACTCCACCTCCACCTCCAGCTTGAACAGGGAATAGTTGGTGAGCTCGCGCTGCCCTCCTAGAAGCCGCATGTCGCGCTCGTTGTTTTCGAACTCGATCGGCCATTTGCGACTCTGCGAACTTCCTCGCACGTTCTTCCCCGTACCCCGCGGATTCGTCTTCTATGTTTCCTCCAAGTGGAGGTACAAGTATAACAGGTAGGTCACCGCTACTAGTTGCACCACTTTGTTGTTGACTTCCAAAATGGAGGTGATGTGCTTCCACGAACGGGACAGGAAGTGTACTAGACGGGGGTGGTTCTGCTATTCCCAATGCGGCACCTGGTGCGGATGCACCACCACTGATATCCGGCAGAGAAGCAGAAGAAGACGGCGGTCCAGCAGCTCCTGTTTCTGCATTCTCTTGTACCGTAGGCGTTTGTCCTCTAACAAACGGTAAGGGCATTTGATCGAAGGTGAATTAGAGGAGCTCAAAACAATTCATTTCTACCCTATATCTCATCTTCCCAAGAATCCTAGTATTCCTTTTCCTAAGAAAAACAAAATAGAAGAAAATTGCGACCGTTGGTGGAAATGAATTGTATCAAGCCTCAAGTAAACGCACCTCGTGGTGAAGGTGCTGTTCCAACCTGCGATGACGACGGTCCTCCAGATTGCCTACTAGGAGCTCCTCCCTGACCCTGACCCTGAGGCTGCTTCCCCATCTGTCCTGAAGCGAAATAACTGTCTATTTTGCTTCCTCGTGTTCTTCCTCCTCCTCCTACGCTACTTGCTCTACTGGATGCAAAAGTCGCGGTACTCTCAGAGAGCAGTGACCGGCTCGAACATGTCAAATCATATTCGTGAAACGCACTTCCGGCATCGGTAATATTGGCACTACTTCGCTGAGCGAGAGACGATGAAGGCGGTAAGGTCGACGCAGTAGCACTACAGCCAGGAGGTACGACAGCTCCTAGCATTAGCGGTTACAGTATTACATTCCTCAGATCATCCTTGACCCTTTTGCTAATGGAAAACGAGAGAAGGATGGTAGTGAAGAATGCAACGTCGAAACCCTTAATAGCACTCCTTGCCCAGCAGCACCTCCTCCCACAACTACACGCTTCATGAGATCTACTTGCGACGATCCCGCTAGTCCTTTTCCCTCTCTTATATTCATGTAGTTGTCCATATGCTGTTGATGAGGATCTACTTGATGATGTCGATGTCCTCCTGGTCCTACATTTATTGGCAGCTCATGTTCACTACCGGTAAGTTCTGGACTACTTGGTGGCACTGGACCATCACCCCCAGGCGTAGTTGGGCAGCCTCTTCGCCTGCTGCTGCTCCGCAGACTTCGCAGAGAAGCGCTGTCACTTCTATCGTCCACAACAGCACGACCGTCTCGACTTCGGCCCTCATGACCTTCGTCGTCTGACGTAGTGACATTATCATTGCTGAACTGGTCACCCAAAAGACCCGCGAGTTGGTCCGCGACTGTTGTATTTGATGATGGAATGCCTGCTGTATGAAATCCTCCAGCTAGTAGTTGTACTGGAGTTGTAGACAAAAAGTCGCTAGATGATAAGTGCCCGTGGGTGGTGGTTCCGGAGACAAAATCACTGGCTGGCAATCGAACATCCCGATTGCCTTCAGCGGTCCTAGGTGGACTCTCTGGTTGAACACTTGATGGTAAAGGATCCGAAGCACCAGGGCTAAGAATTGTTCCTGCAGAAGCGGGAGGAGAGAGTACAGGACCAGATGCTACGTGTTCCGCAGTGAGCTGTTCTTGCAGGGGGTTAGCTGTTCTTGCAGGGGCAACTGCCGAAGGTCCTACTTGTTCGGAGCCTCCTACCTGTTCTTGATCAGCTTCACCATTTGATGGACCACTCGCAGGATTATTGATAACGATGGGTATCCTGCTCCTGCTCAAGGTCATTCCAACTGGTAATGTACTAGAAGAAGATGAAGGGGGAAGATCTCCACCGCCACGACGTGCTCCATCACCTCCTACACTGGTGGATGAAGGGGGAAGATCTCCACCGCCACGACCAGCTCCTTGTGCACCCTCGTCATTATCCTGTGGCTGTCCTCGTGCTCGTTCTTGCACCCTGCGCTTCGAGGAGCTCGTACCTCCTCCACGTCTTCTTCGTCCTCTCGCTCGGTGCGACGGAATAACAACAGTCCCTTTAGTACTATGCATGCTTGATTGATGTTGCTGATGTGCGTCGAGCATTCCCTCAAGAACATCGTCGGACCCTGTACCATCAGTAGAGGCTCCATCCGACTCGTCTCCTCGATCCTTCTTTGCAACAGCATCAGGAATAGCTTCACCAACAAGTTGGTGAACGTTGCCACTATTCAGCTCTGACATACGAATTGGTCGCACTTCTTCAAATGCGTCTTCCTCCAACAGATTAGGCTTACGTTCCGAAACTACTAGCTCTTCTAGCTGGTGGTCCTCCATTGACGTTTTCGTTCCCACCTTTATTTGATGTTGCTCTCTTAACAATGCTAATCGTTCTTGTTGCTCTTCTGCCAGGTGAAGCCGCAAACGGGAATCAGCGGTGATTCCGAGATCACGACCTGGTGCTCTCGCAGTCTGAGTGACCCGTTCCCACGGTACAACTTCCTCTTCTTCGGATATTTCTTCTTCGTCTTCCCATGGTTGCGCGATGGGGTCTCGCTGCGCCTCTATGGGTATTTGCTGAGGGAGCCAGCTGTCGACAGCGCTAGGATCGGCAAAAGTTAGAGCTACAACCGCGATATTAGCATCCCTGAGTGCATCCTTGGTCCCTTTTCCAAGTGAAAAAAGAGCCAGGGATCGGGGGCGCTGAGGATGGTTCAGCGTGGGTAGCCTTAAAAAAGAGAGTGCTGGGGGTCCCAGGCCAAGATCTTCGCCCCCTCCACTTCCTCGACTCGCCGCGACCTCCCGTAGTCGCTTCACCTTCTTCTTGTTCCCACCTGACTTCGTACCACTACCCGGCAGCTTGAAGGCGAGGCCCGCCGTAGAGGAATGAATGCGTCCTCTACTCTCAGAAGAAGAAGAAAGACGATTCATTTCTCTAAAAAGATGGAGTCCTGCAGGTCCAGGTGCACCATCCCGACGATCACCTGGTGAAGGATGGAGTCCTGCAGGTCCAGGTGCACCATCCCGACGATCAGAAGATGCAGAAGAAGAACCTCCTCCAGTCACAATGCCATTGCCGTTACCTCCACCACGACGACGCGTCGCGCCAGCGCCACTAGGTCCACCTGCTGAAAGCAGGTCCTCGACGTCCCTGCTTTGGTGCCCGGGCGAGGTATCTCTTACATCTGTTTGTTCTCGCGACTTACAACTCAGTCCGCGGTCCACCTCTGCTTCTGCATCGGATAGTTCGTCCTTAACCTCAATAACCAGCGCCGACGCTGCCTTAGCCTCAGGGAGGACATCATTAGAAATTTTGACAATGAATAAATAAAGCTTGCTATTCGCTCTCCACCTTGTACAAATTTCTAAGAGGTAATTATTACTTGCAAGTTGAAAAATGCACTGACCATGCTGTCTGCATCCACTGTATCTGAAAGAGGCATGGTATATCAACTATGATCTACGTACTCAGATGAAGAAAGGAGCAAAGACGTCCTGAGAAGTGAAATCAATGGCCTTAATGCTATTTCCCGCTCCGGCTCCCTGCTCTTTTTCCAGTTCAGCAGGCTGGTCGCCATCTCCCGCCGTTTCGAGCTCACGACGACCTTGACTCGTCTGGCCTTGTCCTTCACTTGCCGGCTGCGCCTCTTCTGGTATGCTTGTTGGTTCTCGTCCCTCTAGTTGTATCGTCGCCGCAAGGAAGGCGGGCGGCGCAGTGCTTCTACGTTTTGGTTGTGTTCTCTGGGTCTGGTGCGGCGGCAGCGTCTGAGCATAGAACATCAAGATATCCTCGCGAGGAGGAAGATCTTCACTTCTACTGCCCATGAACGGCGCAGATCGAATCACAGGTCGTGCAGCACTTCTTGGATCTAAATCCGGCGAAACTCCTATCTCTAATGATGTCGACGAATGAGGTAAGGAGCCAGAAACTACAGGACCACGAGGACCACCAGCACCTGCGCCAAGTCCAACATAGGAACCTCCCGTGCTGGAAGTACTCAGAAGAGCAAAACTGTTGAAGCCAAGAACTGAGAGTAGGCAAACCATCGTTGTCACAGCAGCAAAGAAGCTGTTGCAGACGAAGTACTTCACTTTGCGCACACAGCATTGCGGAAGGAGTAGCACGAGCATGATCGACAACCACAAATGCCTACGCGTGAAGGACGCTGTCGAACTGAATTTTTTCAGAGGTAGGTCCGGAATCCAGTTTTTCGTGACCGAATCCATAGAGGACGCTGTAGCGATGCACCCGGAAATAACGAAGGAAATTTCTGCGACCATCAGACACGAAGTAAGACAAATCTTACCCCATTTACCGCCAACAGCGTGCATTGCCAAAGCCTCGAAACCGAGCTGCTCCTGTGTTGATGTAGAATTGGAGTGCTGGTCTGAGCAGAGGGTCAAAGACGTGGAAATTCTTCAAAAGTGTCCTCGAGAAGGTCTTCAACAAGAAAGTCTGTTGTACTGACAAGAATACCTTGAAACCGACACCAGGCAACTGCTTCCACGTGGAGTGAAAAGAGTTTCGTGTTTGAATCAGCTTTAGTGCAGAAATACAACAGCAAGCGCACACAGCGAAGTAGAGCAGGGAACCGGTGACCACGCCACACCTCCCAAGAGAGACGTAGACTTAAGATTAGAAGAAGTAGCAGAGAAGGAATTCCGTCAGTTTTTCATCTCCAAGGCATAAATGAAGATTAAGATAGTTCTTTCAGTTTTTCGACGATTAGCAGAAGATCATCTCCAAGGCATAAGTAAAGATAGTCGTTCCGATCATGCTTTTCCCCAGTGTAAAAGCTGTCGTGAGCGTGCCAGCACCAGGCACTTCAACAACCTGTAGTCCTTGTTCGCCTTCCGACGCGTACTCAAAAGCTTCTTGTTCCATCAGGTCTACTGCACTCGGAGTGGTTTGCTCTCCTGCTCGAGTTGGCAGGAGAGACGCTCCTGTAGTTTGTGTTCGGTGGGGTGTAGTCCTAGTAAGCAGGCAATGTGAATGTGAATGTAGTTGTTCTTACTAGTGGTCTTCAGTTAGCAACTTTTCCGGATGAAAGTGCGACGAAAAATTCGAAAATCGGAAGTCGCTAGCCATTATTCATCACACAGCTACTAGCTTCTCGTTCGTGATGGACCCAAGATAGCAGCAACCATACTCATCAGCACAGGTCTTGCTAATTGAAAGCTTGTTTGTAAATGTGACTGTTTTGTGGTTCTCAATTCAAAAAATATTTATAAGCAATACCAGCTTCTGGCGAAGGTGTGGGAGTATCTCCCTCTGATGAGACTTCCCGGAAGAAGAATGGCTGACTTAGGACATAGTCGTTGCCGGATGACCCGTGAGAATATCATGAATGGGGAAAAAAATAATGGTCCTGACGAGCAAGTAGATCGAAAAACAAATGAGCATGATTCTTGAGCTTGAACATCACATATATTTATGCACTGGAGGAGCTTGCGGGGGAAGTGATTATACTAACTGGTGAGTTAACTTAGGTGAGAGAAAAGATACGCTCTCTGAAAGGTTCCTGGACGACAGTCGACAAAAAATGTCGGCTGAGGGACCAACTAGGGAGAGGGTTGGGGGCAACGGGCCCCGCGAACCCCGTCGTGTGCGGTGCAAAAAATGCACTCACGCGCGACGCCGCCGGTCGATGCAATGGCGCATCTCGGCGAAGGCGAACCACGGTTCGCGCCTCCACGGGAGGCTCGGGTGCGGTCGGGTGAGAGCGTTAATGCTACACCCACGGGGCGGAGTTCACATGCAGAGCGGAGCAGAGCGGAGCGGAGCGGAGCGGGCTGCCGGCGCACGGGCCAAAGCGCTCGTGCGTAGGCCGCGGGAGGGCCAACGCGCCCTCCGGCGGTGCGGTGGGCAGGCGCGTGGCGCCCAGTGGGGGGTGCTGGGGAGCTCGTAAAAATCGAGTTCCGCCGCGCGCGCGGCGCGCCATCCCCTCGCGGGGCAAAAATCGCCGCGAGGGTTTGGCGCTTGTGGCAGCACACTTTCGTAACCTCAAGCTGAAAGCTAGCTTGGGCAGGTTTTAAAAGCTTTTCTTTTTCCCAAAAATCCAGGGACTTTCTGTGCGCGTATATTCGCAATCTAGAAACTAGTGACTAGCAGTGCCCCCGCACTCTGGTTTTTCAGCAAAACAAAAAACAAAATGACCTCCCTGAAAAGCGTCGGAGACCTCGTCATCCACACAGGCAAAAATCCTGTGGGGAGCGAGGACGTCGACGAGAAGGGCAAAGCCCTTCTGAAACTGATCGACGGATCACTGTTTCACCCCTCCATGGCGGAGGCCATGGAGGCGCTGCATAAGCAGCTGGAGGAGAAGACGCAGTATGAGGATAAACTCATCTTCTGCGCAAACTTCCAGGATTGGATTGCTGCACTCCGACAGATGGTCGGTGAACTTCCGGATACGGAATTCATCGACACGGTCAAAAAAGACCTGGAGGACCCGCGCTTCGTGGGGGAAGGTGGAACCCTAACCGAACATGGCACCTCCTTGATGTGGTTCCACTTGTGGTTGGGTGCATACCACGAGGAACTAACGGCCGAACCCTGGGCCTCGAAGTCTCTGATTAAAAAAGAGACTTTTGAAGCTGGCGCGAAGCTCGCCGAAAAACGAAAGTTTCGTGAGGATAGCCCGCAGCTGAATCTGGCGGAAGTCCCGGCGCAGACCGCCAAAAAGGAGGTGTTCGTCCGTTACCTGATCGAGCGCACCAACAAAGAGGTGCTCAACGACTGGGACGCGAAACCGGCCAAGACACCGTGGACGTCGGTCCGCAAGGCGCACGAGGAGGAGGACCGAAAGCTCCTCGAAGAAGAGGAGAAGCAGCGCAAGGCGGAGCTCGAAGCCAAAAAGAAAGAGGAGGAGGACTCCGTTGACTTCGCCGACAAAAGCGAAGAGTCCTCAGAGGAGCCGCCGGAGACTGCAGCTCTGTTCAAAACGTTCGCGAAGAAGACCGCAAAGGCCATCGCAACGGCTTTGAACAGCAGCGGAGAGGTCAAATTCCTCTCCTATGACGACACGCGCCCGGCTAGCGAAGGAGAAAAATTCTTTGTCTTCCGACGCGTGAACGGCGTCGAGAAGAAAACAGAGGTTAAAGTCGTCTGGCCTTCCGTCTTAACTCCAGGCGAAGAAGTCGCAGACGCACATGAGCAGTATAAAAACTGCTTCTTCACGAACGGAGAAAAAGCCTCTAAGCAGGCGAGCCACGTGCTTACCGCGTTATTAAAACACGTGGAAAAGCACGGCCTCCGCTCCGTTTTCGACGTGGACGAAAACAGCGTCCTGAACACGACGGCAGGCCAACGCCTCAACCAAAAGGCGCTGGCGCTGCTCTTCGGAGCGTACGCGGCCGCAGGCATCTGGGGCGAAGCCCAGGTGGGAAAAAACCAACCCAAGGTCTCAAACTGCGCCATCGCAGGCTTCAACGGAGACAACCTGCAGCGCACAAACAGCGCGTTCCAGAACCTGGTCCGGAAACAGGTCGTCGCCAGCGTCC